CCCAGCAGCGTCCTTCACGAGGCCGATCTGACACCACTGGTATCAGTTACCGACATGTCCACTCAATTCCACATAATCCCATCTCTTTTCAAGCTCGTCCTGCGCCCGTTTAGCCCCTTCTATCCTGCCAAACAGAAGCTGCTTGGGCATACAGTGGCTGGGCATGCGGCAAATGCAGCCTCGCCTGCCGGAGGAGTTCACCGATGGGATTGTTTCGAGATCTTTCAAGGCTAATACCTGAAGCTTCGTGTGGTGCGACAGACCAGGTAGCTTCCACACAGCGTTACACAGCTGATGAAAGATAACACCAATCGACTGATTCGTAATGAAACCTTTGCTGCCAAACCGAAGCTGGTCATAAGCACTGCCCAGTATCGGAAACTTTTCCACTCGTGGGGATTTGTGGGCGTGGAGTATTTGTCCACACAAATTACCGAGGCAGGTGCTTGGTTTTGGTGGGGCTGATGGTAAGGACCCACTTCGTGGTGGCAAGTTCCAGGTTCAGCAGCAGATCATCCAACTTCTCCTCAGAGTGAATAGCAATCACCAGATCACCCACGCACCGTTCACACCGCACCAACCTGAACCTCCACCACTGTCGCCTGTGTCCCCGTGCACTTCCTCCTTATTCTTTTTCTTCTTCTGCTGCTGCTTCCTCTCCTTGCGTAGCCTCTGCTTCTCCTCCTTGGAGAGTTCGGGAACCGCCTCCATCTGCCGGGAGCGGGAGGGCGACGCCACCACACTTCTGGGACGCTCGACCGGGACACGCGGGGACCCCGTAACCCCTACCCCGCCCACTTTTATATAACCCCGCCCACCCACGCACTAGCCCCGCCCACGCACTAGCCCCGCCCACCCACGCACTAGCCCCGCCCACTCACGCACTAGCCCCGCCCATTCACGCACTAGCCCCGCCCACTCACGCACTAGCCCCGCCCACTCACGCACTAGCCCCGCCCACTCACGCACTAGCCCCGCCCACTCACGCACTAGCCCCGCCCACTCACGCACTAGCCCCGCCCACTCACGCGATAGCCCCGCCCACTCACGCGATAGCCCCGCCCACCCACGCGCTAGCCCCGCCCACCCACGCACTAGCCCCGCCCACTCACGCACTAGCCCCGCCCACTCACGCGCTAGCCCCGCCCACTCACGCGCTAGCCCCGCCCGCTCACGCGCTAGCCCCGCCCGCTCACGCGCTAGCCCCGCCCGCTCACGCACTAGCCCCGCCCGCTCACGCACTAGCCCCGCCCACTCACGCACTAGCCCCGCCCACTCACGCACTAGCCCCGCCCACTCAGGCACTAGCCCCGCCCACCCAGGCACTAGCCCCGCCCACCCAGGCACTAGCCCCGCCCACTCAGGCACTAGCCCCGCCCACTCACGCGCTAGCCCCGCCCACTCACGCGCTAGCCCCGCCCACTCACGCACTAGCCCCGCCCACTCACGCGCTAGCCCCGCCCACTCACGCGCTAGCCCCGCCCACTCACGCGCTAGCCCCGCCCACTCACTAGCCCCGCCCACTCACGCGCTAGCCCCGCCCACTCACGCGCTAGCCCCGCCCACTCACGCGCTAGCCCCGCCCACGCGGGGGGCAGGGGCGGGCCCTGGATGTGCGTGAAGCGCGCGGCGCGGCACCGGGAACGTGGAGTGGGTGAGGCCACGAGTTTGTAAACGGAGACAAATCCTGAATCTCGCAAAAGCTTCACAGCGAACACGGAGCAGACTTTCTGAAACTACCGCGATTATCCCGGACGAATCGGGATGGACCCGGTAGCTTCAGGAAAATTACACAGGGAGGGAGGGAGATGGGGCACACGGGGAGATGACAGACCCAGGTAGAGGGGGGCCCGGGAGAGGGGGGCACACGGGGAGCGGGGGGACACGGGGAGAGGGGGGCACACGGGGGGACACGGGGAGCGGGGGGACAACGCAGAGGGGACACTGGGAGACACGGGGAGAGGGGAGAGAGGGGGGACCCGAGGGGACGCGGGGAGAGGGGGGAAGGAGTGGGAGAACCAGAGGACAGAGAGGACTTGGGTAAGAGGGGACTCTGGGAGGGAGGAAGACGGGGAGAACGGGGATACCGGGAGAAAGGGGACCGGGTAGAGAGGAGGGAGACGCGGGGAGAGGGGGACCCTCGCACCTCGTCGAGAGCCTTGCCGACTGCTGCAACAGCACTGTACGTCACGTGGCCTACGGCGCATGCGCAGTGGGGCGCGCCCTGCACGTACAGTGCGCCTCACGCTGTTACTGTCGTTAGCGTTGCGTCCGGCGTGGCCGCAGCGATCAACGAACTAACAACGACATCACTAAAATACTAACAACGACATCACTAAAATACTAACAACGACATCACTAAAATACTAACAACGACATCACTAAAATACTCACAGTGACGTCACTGAAATACTCACAGTGACGTCACTAAAATACTCACAGTGACGTCACTAAAATACTCACAGTGACGTCACTAAAATACTCACAGTGACGTCACTAAAATACTCACAGTGACGTCACTAAAATACTCACAGTGACGTCACTAAAATACTCACAGTGACATCACTAAAATACTAACAACGAACACTAAAATACTCAGCGAGCGAACATCACACAGTCAAATGTGCCCCGTGTTTTCAGTTTTCAGCATCATCAGCCACGATATAACCACTGCTGGATGGTGGCCTCCCTTAGCCACCAACACCTCTCGCGATCCTGGGATGTAATAATCCACCAACATTGATCCATCTCCTCGGGAGTCGTCCCCTTGGATGATTTCATCCTTTGGCTGCCGCTCCGTCACTCGTCTGGGCCGTCGGGGCCCAGCGTCCCTCCTGGCCCTGCCGCCCACTTCTCTTCTTGGGATGACGTCTCTCTACCCCGTGTGACTTCTATAATCCACTGCTCTCTGAGTGTAATTCCATGGTATTTATATAAGGTCATAACATTCGGGTATTGCCTGAGTGTTGTTTCCGTTGGACGTGTTGTGATATTTTTCAATATATTTAATATATATATTTACTGCTGTCGGCACACGACCATGAGCACGGCAGGAGATGCCGGCTGCTGTGGACATTCCGTGACTGGATTTGGGAAGTACGGAAACATCTAAATTCGTTCAGCAACCGACGCTAACCAGCGAGAAGCGTGGCCGAGTGACCCCCACGACCCTCGTCCGGGCACTTTGTTATTCATTCTGCCGACTGGTTCAGTCGGGGTTAGATTAACGTCTTTCAAGTGAAAGACGGGGCAGGCACACGCCACCGGTGACTATGCACGGCAGGTTGTCACTGCGCCACGCTGAGCCACGAGGTGGCAGCAGACGCCGCTACCACAGGGCCACCAGGAGAGGGCTTCGTGGCCGCGTGTTGCGGCAATGCCGTACAAATATTATCTAGGTAAAGTCACGTAGATAGGGTCAAAGGACACAACAAAAAATAACAAAGAAACACGTTTCGATCGCAACACAAGCGGTCGTCTTGTTTTGCGATCGAAACGTCGGAGTTTTTATTTTCTTTGAATATTCTACGTGAGCGAAAAAGAACTAAATCTTCAAATCCAGATTACTATCTACGTTACTTTACCAAAAGACCCAAGAATATGAATTCCTACAGCCACGAAAGCTCTTAAGTCAAGACTTATGCCGCACAAAGTGTAATGATGTGTAGTATTTTAGTCGTGAGGCGCAGTATTCGCTGGAAGGTGTAGAGATTAATCGGCTTGTGAGTAAATCGCGCACAACACACGTTCACATTGCCGCATGCTTGTAGCCGTCCGGTCATTGAGGACGTTATACGGACATCTCGATGGCGAATCGTGAACGTTCAAGTGACGTTCAAGTGACGTTATTGGAGACGAAGGTTTTAATGTTGAGGACTTGAGGTGACATAGAAAAACAGTGAACTGCACACACACACAAGAAAGGGAGAGCGACTCAGTGTCCTTTAATGCAACACCAAAGGCTACAATCCAGGAACGCAACCCTGTTTTTACCATACCGCCTATTATTTGGCGAACGCGGTATTGCCTAACACGGCATTTTCCAGGGATGCAGTACCTATGTCTACGTGTGTAGTATACGTGACCAGCTAAGATAGTTTAAATCAGGTGACCACGTGTCTGGGAGACTTCACCTGGGACGCCACTCGCTCCAACCCACACGGGGAGGGGGCAGCCTCCCGGCTCTGACGTTGGCCCCGCCCACGACTCGGGTAGCCCCGCCCACAGAGCTCCAGCCGCTCCACTCAGTTCCTGAATAAGCTCCCCAATACGTGGAACGAAACGTTGGACACCATGCCAAACAATGCGGTACACTCGGAACACACATGGTAGAGCTATGCACGTGTTTGTCCAGGGCGGCGGCATAATTCTGAGACTCGGGGTCGCGGCAACGTGAAGAAGTTATTGCAGTCGGAGTTGCTTTGCCACCAATATGCCACGCTGTGAGCACGGGTAGACCACAGGGGGCCGATGTCGTTCCTGGCCCATGCCACCGATGAGGCAGCTCTTGGTATCCCATGCTCACTCTTTTGTAGGATTCCCCACTGATACGCCACAATGTGAAGCTGAGGGGACTATGGGAGGCTGCTTGTGAATGTTGATGAGCGCCAATAAGGTTCGATTCTGAGACTTCTCGAAAAATATTCTCCACAGCGAGAGGTCCTCCAGCAGCACCCACATCCAGGGTCAAGCCCTGATTGGCCGTTCAGTTGCCAAAAATTATGGCCCAGATTTCCTGGGGCCCACAGCGCTTTGTTAACAGTCTCCGGCCAAGAAACAGAAGCCAAAGGAGCTGATGGAGAAACTCTGTGATTTCATAACTCGGGAGTTTCACAGGCTCCTAACTTGGGAGACTTTGGTCACTGAGAAACCGAGAGACTCAGCAGTACAAACTCGTGATTATGGAACCCAGCTTAGAGACCCAACCCCATGACCCCAGCTTAGGGGACTTCGGCACTTCGAGCACGAGGGAGACAGGAAATACACGAGGGAGACGGACGCTGGGTCACGGTGCACGTGGTGATTTATTATTTGTGATCACGCGGTGGCGTGGGCTCATCGGTCGGAGCACCTTGTCACGGTGCGGGTAGCGGCAAGTCACGCTTCCGGATGTTACCCGGGGCGAGCGCCGTTCATTCTTCAGAGAACAGCACAGACGAATGACTACCCCCGACTGCCCACAACTACGGTCAACTACCCCTAACTACAGCTGACTACCGGTGAAGCTCGCGGGTACACACACCTCCGTGTGATTATTTTCCAACATATATGTGGTGTGTGGCGGGTGTGGTGGAGTGAGGGGAGAGTGGTGGAGTGACGGTAGTAAAGCTATCATACGTCCTGGTTTGGCTGGGACAGTCTCGGTTCAAAAAACCTGTCCCGGTGTCTCACTCCCCACGTGCTTGCTGGTTTAAAACGTCTTGGTCCCCACGCGGGCAAGGGGCGGAGCAACCCGTGTCAGGGGTGGGGCCTGTGAGCAATGGGCTGGGCCTTTAGTGGGCGGAGCCTGTGACCAATGGGCTGGGCCTTTAGTGGGCGGAGCCTGTGAGCAATGGGCTGGGCCTTTAGTGGGCGGAGCCTGTGAGCAATGGGCTGGGCCTTTAGTGGGCGGAGCCTGTGAGCAATGGGCTGGGCCTTTAGTGGGCGGAGCCTGTGAGCAATGGGCTGGGCCTTTAGTGGGCGGAGCCTGCGGGTGGTGTTGCTTGTGGGCGTGGCCATGTAACGTGGGGTGTGGCTGACCAAGAGAGGGGGCTCCCGGTTCACTGTGTCCCAGTTCAGCCAAAAATGTGATAGCTTGAGTGAGTGGTGAATATGGGATGTGAGTGATGAGTGAATAGGGGATGTGAGTGGTGAGTGAATAGGTGATGTGAGTGATGAGTGAGTGGTGAATATGGGATGTGAGTGGTGAGTGAGTGGTGAATAGGGGATGTGAGTGGTGAGTGAATATGGGATGTGAGTGGTGAGTGATTGGTGAATAGGGGATGTGAGTGGTGAGTGAATAGGTGATGTGAGTGGTGAGTGAATAGGTGATGTGAGTGATGAGTGAGTGGTGAATAGGGGATGAGTGATGAGTGAGTGGTGAATAGGGGATGTGAGTGGTGGATAGGGGATGTGAGTGGTGAGTGAATATGGGATGTGAGTGATGAGTGAGTGGTGAATAGGGGATGTGAGTGGTGGATAGGGGATGTGAGTGGTGAGTGAATATGGGATGTGAGTGGTGAGTGAGTGGGGGAGTATTGGGAGTGGGGGTGCACGTGGGAGAGTAGGTCAGCACAGGGGAGCGAATCAGGCGGCAGCACTCGCTGGTTTCCGGATGCCGCAGAAGCTGTAGATCTTCGCGAGCAGCAGAGACACGATCTCCTCCTCCTCCGAGGCCTGGGCAGACACGCGGGACACGTGTGCTCACAAAAAACACTACCCAGACAAGCATGGTAACACACAACATGCTCACACATGTGTTCTCACAAATACAAGATCACCCAAATAGCCTGAAAATATTGTTGGGGCAAGTTATTAGCGAGAAACTATTTGGGTGAAAATAGTGCACGAAAGGTTGGTGTGATCAGAACCACACCAGCCCACCATTCTCATCTCAGTGCTGCTTACCGCAGCAGCTACTAATGTAAGGCTGAGTCGATCTAGGAGAGGCCCAAATCCAGTTCGGATATCACCCATCACTGATGTTGGCCGTGGTTGGCAATCGAACTCGCGTCACCGGATTCATAGCAGTGAGCTAACCACTACACCACCGCTTTCCGAACATACATGCTATCATGCTGGTACTGGTGGGAGACTGGGGAGGGAGGGTAACGGGAGATAAGAGCGATGAATTGGGGAGATGCAAGGGAGGAACTGGGGAGGTGAGGGGGAGGGAACGGGTTTGTCCCAAGGCTTGTGGGACACCAACGCTCACCTCGTGCAACTGCTGCTCCTCGGCGAAGGCGACAAGGATGACGGAGATGAAGAGGTTGAGGAGGGTGAAGCTCATGAAGATGATGCAGGAGCCAATGAGGAGGGGTCCGAGCACAGGGCTCACCTCCATCACCTGCGGAGACACCGCCACGTCAGTCCCAGCTCTCCCTCACAACATCATCCATGATCTCAACATCATCCATGATCTATCCACCGCTGGATGAAGACCTATCACAGTGCCGCAACTTAGTAATCTAACAAGCGCTGTGTGCGAGCCGACTTCATGGCTCCATTTCCTTGGAAGACGTTATGTCGAATGCATTACATTAGCTCCTTTGGCTGGCACTCTGCTGTTAGCGTTGCCCACTGGCCATCGTCCATTCTGGTCACAGCGCGTCCTGCGCACATCCCCAAACCGCGTGCTCCTCCTCTCGGTGTAAACTAAAATCACGTGCCACTCTGCGCTCATTTGTGCACTTTTCAGATTTTGCTCCACGTCCACGTGTCTGATTGGCATGTCGTGGCAGGCGACAACCTCAAACGTATCTCAATAACAGAGACTCGGCGATCGGCGTCCAGGCCCATTGGTCTTCTCGCCGTGTGCTTCAGTGACCGTGTCAAGCTGCTCACCACCACCACCGAGCAAGAGGCGTGGCTGTGTCAGCTGAACAAGAAACCCTGACTGGTGAGCTCCAGAGGGTGGACAGGGTGACTCACGTCACAGGGTGACTCACCTCACGGTGACTCACAGGGTGACTCACCTCACAGGGTGATTCACCTCACGGGGTGACTCACCTCACAGGGTGACTCACCTCACGGGGTGACTCACCTCACAGGGTGACTCACCTCACGGGGTGACTCACCTCACAGGGTGACTCACAGGGTGACTCACCTCACAGGGTGACTCACCTCACGGGGTGACTCACCTCACAGGGTGACTCACCTCACGGGGTGACTCACCTCACAGGGTGACTCACCTCACGGGGTGACTCACCTCACAGGGTGACTCACAGGGTGACTCACCTGACAGGGTGACTCACAGGGTGACTCACCTCACAGGGTAACTCACCTCACGGGGTGACTCACCTCACGGGGTGACTCACCTCACAGGGTGACTCACCTCACGGGGTGACTCACCTCACAGGGTGACTCACAGGGTGACTCACCTGACAGGGTGACTCACAGGGTGACTCACCTCACAGGGTAACTCACCTCACGGGGTGACTCACCTCACAGGGTGACTCACAGGGTGACTCACCTCACAGGGTGACTCACAGGGTGACTCAGCTCACAGGGTAACTCACCTCACGGGGTGACTCACCTCACAGGGTGACTCACAGGGTGACTCACCTCACAGGGTGACTCACAGGGTGACTCACCTCAGGGTGACTCATCGGGTGACTCACAGGGTGACTCACCTCACAGGGTGACTCACAGGGTGACTCACCTCACAGGGTGACTCACAGGGTGACTCACCTCACAGGGTGACTCACAGGGTGACTCACCTCACAGGGTAACTCACCTCACGGGGTGACTCACCTCACAGGGTGACTCACAGGGTGACTCACAGGGTGACTCACCTCACAGGGTGACTCACAGGGTGACTCACCTCAGGGTGACTCACCGGGTGACTCACAGGGTGACTCACCTCACAGGGTGACTTACCTCACGGGGTGACTCACCTCACAGGGTGACTCACCTCACGGGGTGACTCACCTCACAGGGTGACTCACCTCACGGGGTGACTCACCTCACAGGGTGACTCACAGGGTGACTCACCTCACAGGGTGACTCACCTCACGGGGTGACTCACCTCACGGGGTAACTCACCTCACAGGGTGATTCACCTCACGGGGTGACTCACCTCACAGGGTGACTCACCTCACGGGGTGACTCACCTCACAGGGTGACTCACAGGGTGACTCACCTGACAGGGTGACTCACAGGGTGACTCACCTCACAGGGTAACTCACCTCACGGGGTGACTCACCTCACAGGGTGACTCACAGGGTGACTCACCTCACAGGGTGACTCACAGGGTGACTCACCTCACAGGGTAACTCACCTCACGGGGTGACTCACCTCACAGGGTGACTCACAGGGTGACTCACCTCACAGGGTGACTCACAGGGTGACTCACCTCACAGGGTAACTCACCTCACGGGGTGACTCACCTCACAGGGTGACTCACAGGGTGACTCACCTCACAGGGTGACTCACAGGGTGACTCACCTCAGGGTGACTCACCGGGTGACTCACAGGGTGACTCACCTCACAGGGTGACTCACAGGGTGACTCACCTCACAGGGTGACTCACAGGGTGACTCACCTCACAGGGTAACTCACCTCACGGGGTGACTCACCTCACAGGGTGACTCACAGGGTGACTCACAGGGTGACTCACCTCACAGGGTGACTCACCTCAGGGTGACTCACTTCAGGGTGACTCACCTCACAGGGTGACTCACAGGGTGACTCACCTCACGGGGTGACTCACCTCACGGGGTGACTCACAGGGTGACTCACCTCGGGGTGACTCACCTCACAGGGGGACTCACAGGGTGACTCACCTCAGGGTGACCAACCTCACAGGGTGACTCACAGGGTGACTCACCTCACAGGGTGACTCGCCTCACGGGGTGACTCACCTCACAGGGTGACTCACAGGGTGACTCACCTCACAGGGTGACTCACCTCCCGGTAGTTGAATGCCCCCAGCTGGAGGCTGACAAGCGTCTGGAGTGAATCCCAGACGCTTTTGTAGTTCTCCAGGCACCGGCCGAACATCACGTGGCACTGCGCACAACACGTGGGTGGCAGCGGAGCACGAACCGTCACGCTCGTCTCCCACAGCCTGTGTATGTGTGAGTGTGCATGTGTATGTACATGTTTGTGTGAGAGTGCATGTGTATGTGCATGTGCATGTGTGAGTGCATATGTGTATGTGAATATGCATGTGTGTGTATGTGAGTGTACATGTGCATGTGTATGTGTGAATGTACATGTGTATGTGTATGTGTGAATGTGCATGTGTATGTGAATGTGTGTCTGTATGTGCATGTGTGAGTGTGCATGTGTATGTGCATGTGTATGTGTGAATGTACATGTGTATGTGTGCATGTGTATGTGAATGTGTGTCTGTATGTGTATGTGTGAGTGAGTGTGCATGTGTATGTGTGAATGTACATGTGTATGTGTGAATGTGCATGTGTATGTGAATGTGTATGTGTGAGTGTATGTGTGAGAATTTGAGCATGCCTGTGGATCGCAGTGGTGAGCGAGTTGTGCTTCGAAACCAGTAAGTGGAGTGTGACTAGTAATAGGTTTTTACCCTTTCATCAGGTGTCAGTGTTGGTGTCAGATAAAATGGTAAAATCCTATTTCTATATCTTGCTACTGGCAAAGGAGGTCTCATAATGGAGTGTGATTCTTGCTCACAACCAATAACAGTGGCTACAATCTGAAATGGTCTTGGGCCTGCCCTAGGTCGACAAAGGCGGCCAGACACAGTGCTGACCACCCACCCCCTCGTGTGCTGTGCCGGCCTTAATAGATGACAGTGTTAAAGGCTATACGGGGGATCTTCGCCGTTGTGCTTACCGACAGCGCATACGCCCCCAGCGCGACGAGCAGCACGGTGAGGAAGCTCGCCATGTCGCGCCCGGCGCGTGCCAGTGCGCCCGTCAGCAGGCACATCTTGGGATTAAGGCGCAGCAGCCGCCACAGCTTCACAGTGCCCAGCAGCACCAGCAGCGCCAGCACGTAGCCCAGCGCCGAGTCGGCCAGCGCCGTCTCATAGAAGCTCACGAACCTGGGAGAGAACGCCGAAGCAGCATCGGCATCAATGAACCCTGACCCCGAGCTACGCAGGCTCCAGTGTAGCTTGGATGTGCGTCGCTGCTTGTGTACGTGTGCATTCATGTGTACATGTGCTTGTGTGAGTGCATATGTGGGTGTCGTCAGTACGGGAGTGTGTGCATCTACTTGGGTGTACATGTGAAAGTGCGCGTTTGCGTGTGTGTATCCATATATACTTACACACACGCTCATATGTATGTGCGTATGTAGAGGGAGTGAGTCTATCTATAGGACGACTATTGACTTCCCACAAAGTGGTACCCCTTTTATTGACTGTAGAAGGATGATGGGCTGCATCAATCCGCAATCATAATTTGAACTCCAACATTTGTATTGTGAGCTGCTCACGCCTGTGTTGTGTGTTTACACGCTTGTGTGTGTACACGTGTGTGTGTGTGTGTACACGTGTGTGTGTACACGTGTGTGTGTGTGTACACGTGTGTGTGTGTACACGTGTGTGTGTGTGCGTCCACCTGTGCCCACCTGTTGGGGTTTTTCAGGTGCAGGGCGACGTCGCGCTGCCCCAGCAGCAGGCGCTTGGTGAAGAGCGCCAGGCCGGCCCAGCTCAGCACGATGATGGCCACCTCCAGCAGACTCCAGCGGCAGCGCAGGTAGCGCCAACCCAGCCTGCGCACCGTCTTGACCTGCGGCCAGGGAGGTACACGGGAGGTACACGGGAGGTACACGGGGAGGTACACGGGGAGGTACACGGGGAGGTACACGGGAGGTACGCAGGGAGGTACACGGGCCACCTGCTGATGGACGCCCCCACCTGGGCCGGCGCGTGTCCCCACGGTCCGCCGCACCTGAGTGTTGTCCACGTTTCCTCCCGCAGCGGCTTTGTCCATATCTGAGCTATTGGTTGAGCAACACGATTCCCGGTTCAGAAGCGAATTTGCGCTGGTGGTTTGCTCCATCAGTGCCGTTGCTTCTGCATTGGTTACTGGTGAATAGCTGTAATAGTTGTCTCATCCATTGCTGTGTTTTACATTTTATTTATCGCTGATCTCTATCACAATAACTCTGCCAAGCACGCAGTGGCCTCCTCTCCCCAGTTTACTCCAACGGTCAACGTTCAAGATCGTGACAACCGATCTTAGTTTCACGAATGTGAAAGCGATGAAATGCGTCGTTACGAATATCCGAGCCGATCAATGCGTGACGGTGGAATCCGTCTCCAGGGGAGCAACCAGCTGCGCAATCACTCACTCCGGTGAGAGACGTTCACAGAGAAGCTGCTGCTGCTGCTGCTATTGCTGCCGATGTCGCCCAGTAGCTGCGGAGTGAACCGGGCCTAGCGAGTCACCACACAGCCACCCGGCTCTTCGCGCTCGAGGGACCGTTTGCTTTTATGTCGATGGGCATCTGCCACGCACCTGCACCACCATATAGTAGATGATGAAGAGGTAATAGATGATCTCAGCCATCATCACAAAGATGTGCAGAGACCCCGTGTACTGATACAGGCGCAGGCTGTGCAGCTCCACCCAGGGCAGGAAACCTCCTGTGACAACATAGCACGTGGCGTGGAGTACACGTGGTGTGGAATACACGTGGCATGGAGTGCACGTGCTGTGGAGTGCACGTGATACACAGTGTGCACAGTACACGCGACACAGAGTAAAAACTGTACGGAACACACGTGGCACGGAGTGCACATGGGATACACATAGCTGGATGATGCAACACAGTCATCATGAGCCATCGGAGGCCTTCAGCCAGCAGTGGATTGACTACGGCCGATGACGATGAAATGACGATTACTGCATTGCATGACGATGCAGACACGTGTATGAACACTCATCGGTCCCATGCCCGACTGGCCTCGGGCTAGAGGCTTCGTCCAGCAGCGAAGCGAGAATGACGGCTGTTCTGGCGCTCTCTACTCACCCAGGCCGTTGGTTTCCATGACGACGGCGGCGGTGGTGAAGAGGTTGACATTGGCGTTGTAGACGGTGAGCTCCAGCAGCACGGCCCTGGTGCGCGTGTCCAGCCAGCTGCTGTCAAACAGCACCTGCAGCAGCCTGAGTGCAGCACGCGGAGAGATTCAGCACGCGCAGACACACACACAGCACGTGTCAGAACTCGTGCACGGCACACCTGATGCGTCACATGCAGTGCCCAGTGTGGTGCCGGGTTCTGTGCTGAAGGTTGGGATTAGTGTGCGGTGCTGAATGTGGTGCTGAGGGTTGGGATTAGTGCGATGCTATGTGTGGAGTTTGGTGCAGTGCCGAGTGGTGTTGAGGGTTGGGGTGAGTGTGGTGCCGAGTGGTGTTGAGGGTTGGGGTGAGTGTGGTGTTGAGTGGTGTTGAGGGTTGGGGTGAGTGTGGTGTTGAGTGGTGTTGAGGGTTGGGGTGAGTGTGGTGCTGAGTGGTGTTGAGGGTTGGGGTGAGTGTGGTGCTGAGTGGTGTTGAGGGTTGGGGTGAGTGTGGTGCCGAGTGGTGTTGAGGGTTGGGGTGAGTGTGGTGTTGAGTGGTGTTGAGGGTTGGGGTGAGTGTGGTGTTGAGTGGTGTTGAGGGTTGGGGTGAGTGGAGTGCCGAGTGGTGTTGAGGGTTGGGGTGAGTGTGGTGCCGAGTGGTGTTGAGGGTTGGGGTGAGTGTGGTGTTGAGTGGTGTTGAGGGTTGGGGTGAGTGTGGTGTTGAGTGGTGTTGAGGGTTGGGGTGAGTGGAGTGCCGAGTGGTGTTGAGGGTTGGGGTGAGTGTGGTGCCGAGTGGTGTTGAGGATTGGGGTGAGTGGAGTGCCGAGTGGTGTTGAGGGTTGGGGTGAGTGTGGTGCTGAGTGGTGTTGAGGGCTGGGGTGAGTGGAGTGCCGAGTGGTGTTGAGGGTTGGGGTGAGTGTGGTGCTGAGTGGTGTTGAGGGCTGGGGTGAGTGGAGTGCCGAGTGGTGTTGAGGGTTGGGGTGAGTGTGGTGCTGAGTGGTGTTGAGGGCTGGGGTGAGTGGAGTGCCGAGTGGTGTTGAGGGTTGGGGTGAGTGTGGTGTTGAGTGGTGTTGAGGGTTGGGGTGAGTGTGGTGCTGAGTGGTGTTGAGGGTTGGGGTGAATGGAGTGTTGAGTGGTGTTGAGGGTTGGGGTGAGTGTGGTGCTGAGTGGTGTTGAGGGTTGGGGTGAATGGAGTGTTGAGTGGTGTTGAGGGTTGGGGTGAGTGTGGTGCTGAGTGGTGTTGAGGGTTGGGGTGAATGGATGTTGAGTGGTGTTGAGGGTTGGGGTAGTGTGGTGCTGAGTGGTGTTGAGGGTTGGGGTGAGTGTGGTGTTGAGTGGTGTTGAGGGTTGGGTGAGTGTGGTGCTGAGTGGTGTTGAGGGTTGGGTGAGTGTGGTGCTGAGTGTTGTGAGGGTTGGGGTGAGTGTGGTGTTGAGTGGTGTTGAGGGTTGGGGTGAGTGTGGTGCTGAGTGGTGTTGAGGGTTGGGGTGAGTGCAGTGCCGAGTGGTGTTGAGGGTTGGGGTGAGTGGAGTGCCGAGTGGTGTTGAGGGTTGGGGTGAGTGGAGTGCCGAGTGGTGTTGAGGGTTGGGGTGAGTGTGGTGTTGAGTGGTGTTGAGGGTTGGGGTGAGTGTGGTGCTGAGTGGTGTTGAGGGTTGGGGTGAGTGTGGTGCCGAGTGGTGTTGAGGGTTGGGGTGAGTGTGGTGTTGAGTGGTGTTGAGGGTTGGGGTGAGTGTGCTGCTGAGTGGTGTTGAGGGTTGGGGTGAGTGGAGTGCCGAGTGGTGTTGAGGGTTGGGGTGAGTGTGGTGTTGAGTGGTGTTGAGGGTTGGGGTGAGTGTGGTGCTGAGTGGTGTTGAGGGTTGGGGTGAGTGGAGTGCCGAGTGGTGTTGAGGGTTGGGGTGAGTGGAGTGCCGAGTGGTGTTGAGGGTTGGGGTGAGTGTGGTGCTGAGTGCGGTGCTAGAGGCAGCACCGTTGAGCGTGGCCATGATCCGTGCCCAGCTCAGCCACGTAACCTCCGCCGCGGTAGAACGCCAGGCGGCCCCACAACGGGAATGACCTCGACTTGGCCTGGCTGCGGTAGCGCCACACACCGGCCAAGAGCTCACCGGCGTCATCACCCTGAGGGTACCACACCACGTCACACACACCACACACACAACACCACACATCAGACGCACACAAAACACCACACCACGTCACACACACCACATACACAAAACCACACATCAGACACACACCACACACACAACACTACACCACGTCACACACCACACACACAACACCACACATCAGACACACCACACACACAACACCACACCACGTCACACACACCACACACACAACATCACATATCAGACACACACCACACACACAACACCACACATCAGACACACCACACACACAGCACCACACCACGTCACACACACCACACACACAACACCACACATCAGACACACGCCACATACACAACACCACACATCAGACACACACCACACACACACAACACCACACATCAGACACACACCACACACACAACACCACACCACGTCACACACACCACACATACACAACACCACACATCAGACACACACCACATACACAACACCACACATCAGACACACACCACACACACAACACCACACATCATACACATACCACACATCATATACACCACACTATACACACCAAAGACAAAGATCCCCCGTATAGCCTGAACAGACTCTTGGGGCAAATTCTGTTAGTGAGCACCTATAAAGGCTGGCACGGTACACGAGGGAGGGAGGGGGTGGGTGGCCAGCACCACGCCTGGCCGCCTTTGTCTCCCCAGTGACGATGTTTTTACACATTTCACCAGGTACTCATTTGAGTCGGAGTAAACCTAGGGGAGGCCCAATACCCGTGATAATCGTCAGTGGTGTTGGCCGTTAGCAGGAATTTAACTCGGGTCGCTGGTTCATAGGGGAGTGCACTAACAGCGACACTACCACTCCACAAATCACACACCATTACGTACCAGACACACACACACGGACCACTGCTGTGGTGGATGTTAATCGAGCTGTCTGTGACCACAGAGAGTGCGTGTCTATTATCCCACTGGAAGAAGAGAGAGGGGGGGGCGGGGGAAGATGGGGAGGTGGGGCATGAGGATTTGGAGCAGGAGGGTAGAGTCGGGTGAGCGGGTGCCACCGTGGCATTGAGCTGCGGCTGCTTGGCCCACTGCGCCCCGTGGTAGTGCTGCGTGTCCTCGTCCTCCCAGGAGTAGAGCGCGCGGCACGGGGGACTGACGCTGGAGAGCGGCGGCGCCACGCGGCAGCGCCCGGGCGCCACGCGCAGCTGGCGCAGCCTCACTGCCCCCACGAGGCGCGCCGTGCCCCCCACCAGGAAGCCTGTGCCCCACGCCGCGGGGACGACACCGCCTACGGTTAGCACGGTGCCGTGGTTATTGGCGAGTGCCGATATAGGCTCCGAGTGTGGTCATGAATTAAAACGGACTCAAGATGAGTGTCAGATAAAAAAAAAAATCTGATTTCGGATTCAGTAGAACTGTTGTTGAACGCAGCCAGCATCACGAACCATTGTTGGTGTTAAGGTTGGGCCACGTAATGGTCTGGCCAAGTTTTTGTTGTGAAACTCTCCGCCACAATTACGAAGTGTACACACATTTAATGTGCCAATTATTATCCTTTAAGATCACACCTGCAGTGGAAGAGCAATCCTCACAAGTTGAGCAATTAGATGCAGGTTTCACTTGAAGCTGCGTTGAGCATCTTCAGGTCAGCAACCAGGAAGTCAAAACAATATCAATGTCACTATTGGCCGAGTGCGATGAGCCTTTGGCACCGCGCAACTGCGGGCACATTTTGTCGTGCACGGATCCTCAATGAGCTCAAATATAGCTGTCCCAGGACCGCGGTAGAGTGCCTGAAATACTTAGAATTGTCTGCAGTGCGACAGTAAGTACCAGGGGAGAAGGCACCTGCTGACGGATTACATGGGCACTGACATTTACCAGAGAAGAACGTGCACGAGTCGCGGGCGCCAACTGACCGCACGACGTCCATGTGGTGTGCGTAGCGCTACATGGACAACATGGCAGGTGAGTGTCGTATGTATGATCAGTCAAACACAACTGTGCCGTGTGGGGCCACGTGTGCATGATGGGGGAAGGTCGATTGCCGAGACGGGCATCAGACCGGTCTTCATAAAACCGGCGACCTCGGTGAACACCTAAGGCCAGATGGTGGGATGAGACTATCGGGGCAGATCTTGCAGGTTGCCGCATGTCCGCTGTCCAACAGCAGCAGGATCTGGTGGAGGGGAGAACACGTTCGTAGCGAGGTGGTGCGGTGGTGGCATCAACGGCTTTGGCCACAGTGACGTCGCATGAGCACCAGGGTGCCCGCGCTCACCTGGGTGCTCCGCGAACAGCGAGGGCAGCAGCGTCGCGTTGGCCCAGGAGAACACGTCCCGGAGGCTGACGGGGCCCTTGCCCAGCTCCCCAACGAGGCTGGCGCTAAGCGCGCGGTTCAGGTGGTAGGCGTGGGGGTCACGCTGGCCGTACGCCACGAGCAGCAGCATCCAGAGAAAGCACATGTACACTGCAGGCACGGCGATCACAACGCAGATTGGTGTGACAATTGGCACGGAGATCGACATAGCAATTTTCAGAGGTTGGCAGAGTAATTGGTGCATGGCACAAGAAACAACAAAGCAATTAACACAGTAATTGGCACAGCGATTGCAAAGCATAAAGATGGCAATTGGGAAAGAAACTAGCATGGAGATTGGCATAGCGACTGGCGCAGGAGTAATGCAAACAGATCCCAGCCGACACGTGGCTTGCTCAGCATTCCCAACCCCACCGAACGGCAGGGCGTTAACGTAAGGACGCACACAAAATAACTCGTCTAGGGTCTCTCCCGGTAGAGAGAGGAGTGCGAGGAAGTGCCTGTGAGAGGGAGGGTGCGAGTAGGCGAGTGGGAGAGCTGACCCAGGATTTCCCGGAGTAGGCCGTACATGCGCTGCTCCTTTTCGTGCTGCCTCTTGAGCTGCTCCATGCGTGTGCTCGATGGAGGAGTGTAAACCACGCGGCTCCGCTCTGTCTTCTGGGCACCCGGCTCCAACGCTCGGCTCCGCTGGTCTGTAGTGACGCGGACACACACACACATCCCCTGTAGCCTTGACTGGACTATCAAGGCCGACACAGCACACAAGGCGGGGGCCGGCACCACGCCCGGCTGGCTCGACCGAGGGGAGGGGCGGGACCAGTTAAGATGTCACCGATGTAGGTCATAAGCAGGAATCGAACTCATGTAGCCGGGTTCGTCGTGGGGTGCACTTACCATTGCACTGCCACTCCCCCACACAACACCCGCCATTCACCACTAAGTGGCGGTGACGTCAACACAGTGCTGGTGCCAGGCCAGGTGCACTTTAAGGGCACGTGAAGTGTTGAAGGCTCCCTGACAGGTCACGGGATAGACCCAGGTGCCATGGGTTGACTGACTGGAAGATGCACCAGCTGTGCCCCCGACTGTGCCAACTTGCTACATTTTATCCCCCCGGCACTCTGCTCGCTGTTGTGAGTGTCAAGCCTCTGCCGTCCGTTGATGTTAGAGGGCGATTGCCTCCAACTGACCGGTAGCGTTCTTCACGAACCTCCTTCACAGAGGTCGATCTTGACATGACTGGTACCAGTCTTCGGCAATTCCACTCAGCTCTATAACCTCCCGTAGCGCATCTGTCCATCTCTTCCACAGCCCGTGTCATGCCTATTATTGGTTCTTTCGGTAAAGTCACGTAAATAGAATAAAAAATGAAAATAAAACAATTATAAGATGAATTTAAAATAATAAAATGCAATAATAAATTGAAAGTAATAAAAGCAAAACCCACGACGTTTTGATCGCAACACAAGCGGTCTTCATCCGTCTGATGAAGATCGCTTTTTATTTTATTTTTTTCCTTTTTTTTCTCCCTTTTTTTCTATTCACGTGACTTGACCGAAAGAACCAAGAGCATGAATTCCAGCATTCACGAAAGTTGTTCGTGTCATGCCTGTTTAGCCCCCTCTATCTGGCCAAACAGAAGTTGCTTGGGTATGTGGTGGCTGGGCATGCGGGCTACATGACCCAGCCAACGCAGCCTGCCTGAATGTTTCTAACCAGCTCAGATGTCCCATTAGAGGGGTCCACGTTTCGCAAGCGTAGAGAAGGGAGGGAATGACTGTGGCCGAGAAGACCCGAAGCTTCGTGTGGAGCGACAGACCAGGTAGCTGCCACACAGCGTTACGCAACCGATGAAAATATATTGCCGCCCGACTGATTCGGAGTGAGACCTCTGGTGTCAATCTGGAGCCGGTCATGAGCGCACTGCCCAGGTATGGGGGGAAACTCTCCACTCTCCCCGCAACTTCCCCATCGCCAATGCGAACTTGAGGGGGCGGAGTGTTTGGTGGCACAAACCACCCAGGGGGAGGGCGCTTCGCTGTGAGCGAAGCGCCGCTATTCAAGCCCCCCCCCCCCCCCCGTGCACCAGGCGACTAAACACCGCGCAGCAAGCCACACGAGGCTGCACATTAACACAATGCACGCATAATCATGCACAAAGACAAACACACGCACACAGATACACACACACAAGGCTGCACATTAACACAATGCACGCATAATCCTGCACAAAGACAAACACACGCACACAGATACACACACACGAGGACAAAGAACACAAGTAATACAAACACTGTACACAGACGCACGTTGAATCGCACGCGCGCGAAAACGAACACAACGCGCAACAAACCGCCAAGAAACTCGTTAAACAATCAATTTACGCTCCGAAAACAAACAACGATAACACACACTAACAACGATAACAAACACTAACAACGATAACACACAAACAACGATAACACACACTAACAACGATAACACACACTCACAACGCGCACTCACAACACACTCACAACGCGCACTCACAACACACTCACAACGCGCACTCACAACACTCACAACGCGCACTAACAACACACACTCACAACGCGCACTCACAACACATACTCACAACGCGCACTAACAACACACACTCACAACGCGCACTCACAACACACACTCACAACGCGCACTCACAACACACTCACAACGCGCACTCACAAACGCGCACTCACAACACACTCACAACGCACTCACAACACACTCACAACGCGCACTCACAACACACTCACAACGCGCACTAACAACACACACTCACAACGCGCACTCACAACACACACTCACAACGCGCACTCACAACACACTCACAACGCGCACTCACAACACACTCACAACGCGCACTCACAACACACACTCACAACGCGCATTCACAACACACACTCACAACGCGCACTCACAACACATACTCACAACGCGCACTAACAACACACACTCACAACGCGCACTCACAACACATACTCACAACGCGCACTAACAACACACACTCACAACGCGCACTCACAACACACACTCACAACGCGCACTCACAACACACTCACAACGCGCACTCACAACACACTCACAACGCGCACTCACAACACACACTCACAACGCGCACTCACAACACACACTCACAACGCGCACTCACAACACACTCACAACGCGCACTCACAACACACAGTCACAACGCGCACTAACAACGCGCACTAACAACACACACTCACAACGCGCACTCACAACACAAACAACGCCCCGAGGCAGATGCACCACCTGTGCCCCCTACTGTACCAACTTGCTGTGCTTTAGCCACCCGGCGCTCCGCTCGTTGTTGTGAGCGCCACTCCTCCGGCCTCCGTTGTTGTTGGAGGGCGACTGCCTCCAACTGCCCAGTAGCGTCCTTCACGAGCCTCGTCCACAGAGGCCGATCTTGACACCGCTGGTACCAGTCATCAGCAAGTCCACTCAGCTCCACGTCCTCCTGTACCACATCACTCCATCTCTTCTCTAGCCCGTGCCGCGCCCGTTTAGCCCCCTCGATCCGGCCGAATAAAAGCTGTTTCGGCATGCGGTGGCTGGGCATGCGGGCTACATAACCCAGCCAACGCAGCCTTGCCTGCCGGAGGAGCTCACCGATGGGACTTTGACCAGATCTTTCAAGGATTTGTGAGCTCCTCACACAATCCAGCCTGGTTAAACCCAGGATGGATCGTAGGCAGGCCAGCCTAAATGTTTCCAACCGGCGAAGATGCTCCATTAGGGGGGTCCACGTTTCGCAAGCGTAGAGAAGGGAAGGAATGACTGTGGCCGAGAAGACCTGAAGCTTCGTGCGGAGCGACAGACCAGGTAGCTTCCACACAGCGTTACGCAACCGATGAAAAGATATTGCCGCTCGATTGATTCGGAGTGAGACCTCTGCTGTTAAACTGGAGCCGGTCATAAGCACACTGCCCAGGTATGGGAAACTCTCCACTCTCTCCACTACTGCCCCATCACCGATTGGGAGTTGTGGGGGTGGAGTGTCCGATGGTACAAAATACCCAGGCAGGTGCTTAGTTTTGGTGGGGCTGATGGTAAGGCCCCACCTCTTAGTGGCACGCTCCAGTCTCAGCAGCAGCATCTCCAACTCCTCCTCTGAATGAGCAGCTATTACCAAATCATCGGCATACATAACGTGGTTGATCAATAGGGAGCCATCCCTTGATCGCACCCGGGCATCGATCAGCCTCCCATTATATCTATACCAAATGGAAATTCCCCCGGTACAGCTATTGAAGGCTTCACAAACTACGTGGTCAAAATAGATGTTAAATAATGTGGGAGCCAGAGGACATCCCTGTCGCACCCCAAGGTGAACAGGGAATGACTCCGACTCCCGGCCATGTAGTTTTAATCAGGCCCGCTCACCATCATGAAGGTCCTTAATGATCATGAGCAGAGGGTCAGGGACTCCGAAAGCACGAAGAACAACCCAGAGCTGAGGCCTACTGATGGTATCATAGGCCTTGACCAGGTCAATAAAGTAGAGATGTAGGTTTTGTTGGAATTCCATACACCTCTGCTGTAGCAAACGGACAGAAAATATGGCATCTGTGCAGGACCGTGCTTTCCTGAAACCACATTGAGGCTCCGCAAGCCTCTCCTCAGCGTGACTGGCAAGGCGATGTTGAATAATCCTTGCCAGGACCTTTCCCGGCACACTCAGGAGTGAGATGCCCCTGTAGTTGTTACAGTCTGTGCGGTCCCCCTTCTTAAAGAGGAGGACCACAAGGGCATCCTTCCAATCCTGTGGTACCCGTCCAGTGATCCAGACTGTTGTTATGATGTCATGTAGGGCAGTCTCTGCACAAACGCCACCCTCCCTCAGCATTTCGCTTGGGAGATCATCTCTGCCCGGTGCCTTTCCTGGTCTCAGACTCTGGATCACCTTTAGAACTTCCTCAACAGATGGCACCTCAGCCACCCACGATGTTTTCTATGTCGAGGGATTTCCCCTCCCCCAGGACTTCACAGAAATGCTCAGCATATCTGCAAACCTGTTTCTAGGGGTCGGAGATTTGATCACCGTTCTTTCCTCTAATGGTGGTAATAGGTGTGGCGCTGCAGGTTACTTTTTTGATGGAATTAAAGAGCGATTTGTGATCGTGGGCCATTGAGGCCATCTCCTCAGCAACCCACGACCACCACCTATCCTTGCAGCGCTTCACGGCTCTGCGAACCTCCGAGCGAAGGCTGCGGTAAGCCTCCTCATTCTCCGACGTGGGATGCTGTAGCCGATGAGAGTGGCCCTGTCGCTTTTTCTCAGCCAGCTTGAACACCTCCCTCTGTCAGCCAGGGTCTCTAGGGAGGTCTGAACCGTGTACCGAAAGCAGCCATTGCAGCTGCATGAGCCACAGTCCTAAACCTCGCCCATTTCCCCTCGACATCAGGAGGAGTGGGGGACGATGCCAACTCCAGCCGCAAGCGATGATTAAATTCTCGCTTGCAACTTTCATCAGCTAGCTGAGACCATGCCACTAAGGGTTTGAATGGGGTCCTGGGTGTACACCCACCACCGGAGTGGAAGAATAGCAGGCGCATCTTACAGATGGCAAGTCGATGGTCAATGGGCAGATCAGCTCCACGGTAGGTCCTGGTGTCAAGGACATGGGCCCACATCAGCTGTTCCATCACTATGTAGTCCAGCAGATGTTCTTGCTTGGACCCGGCATGCATTTATGATGTTGTGTAGATGCGCCGATGCCAGAACAGCGTGTTGGTAATTACAAGCCCATGGGCTGCACAAAAATCTAGCAGCCTCCTGCCGTTGTTATTGAACTGATCTGGCCCATGCCTTCCAATCACTCCAGACCAGGTGCCAGCATCATGACCAACTTGGGCATTGAAGTCACCCAACAAGATGACTCTATCCCGAGGGGCCACTTTAGCTAGCACCTGTGACAGGCATCTCACTCATCGGCCTTGGCTGTGTAGTGACTGTGATTATCACTGTGTGGTGCCGGGCGGATAATGTCTTGGCATTATGTGTAGCCCGCTTACTGGGCATAGTACCAGCCCTAGCGGGGCTTGGGTGAGCGATGGTCAGCGCGGAGGCACCACGTACAGTGTGCGGTGCGGGCTCCCGGTGAGGGAGCAAGAGGAAGTGTCAGCCAGCGTTGGGGCATGATACGCTGGTTGACTTGCCGACACGTGACGGGATGATATTGTGGACGGGGGCCGCTGGGCGGTCACGTGGTATAAAAGAGCTCTTGGGGAGCCTTCGGGAAAGAGCTCGAGAGATCTAGGAGGTGGGCAGGGCGAGGGGCGGAGCCAGCCCCAGCCCAGGCCGATTTCACAGGGGCCCCGTGAGGGGCTCGGGGTTCTTCGTGTTGCTGGTGATGAAGATCCACGTCGGGTAAAAGAAGCCTCTAGCCACGCGGTCCGGGACCCAGCTTGTGGTCCGGGCCGGGATAGCGTAGCGTGGCTAGATGAGCATTCAACACCCAAGTGTAGGTTGTGTTATGTTATGTTGAGTTATTGAATAAATAGTGCTGCTCCCAAGACAACATCTGCGACTCAGTTGGACTCACTACACCTGTATCCCTCCACGGATGTTCGTCTTCAGTGGGGGCATAAGTAACTTCGACCACCACTCCTTGCCTCTGGTTGATGGGAAGGCGAGACCAAAGTAGCCTGGGGCTTACAGCTTCCCACACCTCACCGCCACGCTCCCACGCCCCCTTCATTCTTTTGTTCAGAAGAAGAGCCACACCCTGTTGTTTGGCAGTCTCCTGCCCCGAGAAGAGGACTGTCCACCCCTCATGGTGGCAGGAGTGAGAGCCGGTCCACTGGACCTCCTGAATACCACAGAGATCCAGGCGGTACCGGTCCAGCTCCCGACAGAGGAGTGGCAGCCTCTCCTCCGCAATGAGCATTCGAACATTCTACGTGGCCACACGTAGTGGTTTTTTATTGTTTCTGGAAGAGCCCCGAGGATAAGGATTCAGTCTCCTGGCTCCGCCAAATGGGGTTTGGCCAGGAGGCGTCATAGACGCCTGTCCCCCCAGGGCCTCCGGCACAAGCTTATTAATTAAACATTTCCATCGTGGTTTAGGGGTAATTAATTGAAGGGGTTACCAGCCCCTCGCACCCATCCAGAGCCCCCTTTTGGCCGCTGTGGTGGTCACAAACGCCATGAGGGGAAAGGCCAATGGGAATTGGCCCGCCCCCCACAGCACTGCCTATGACAGTGTTGCCCATCCGGCTCGACAAGGAGTTAGGGGATTGTTTTGCCGGACACTGAACACACACACACACGTGCACGCACGGCACCGCGACTGACCGGCGATGGCGTCCTCGATCTGCTCTTCGCCATCCTCCACCTCGTCGCCCTTCTTCAGAACCAGAGCGAAGAAGACGGCGAAGCCCAGCACCTGTGCGAGCCAGAGGGTGCGGGCGCACATGGACAGTTGATTGTGGAAGTTTGAGGGGACTGCGTTCAGGAGTGGATCGCAGCCCCATCACGTCAGAGGAGCCGAGCTCGCTTGCTGGAGGCTCAGCCCCCTCGTGAACCCGACTCGCAGACACGGTGTGGGAGAGAAGTGAAACGAGTCCCAGTGCTAGGAGGAGAGGGCGTTTGAGGAGCTGCTTTACTGTGCAGATCACAGCACTTGGACCCTGACTGCAGCTTAAACAGAAGGTGTCGGCATTTGAGAGACAGATGCTGGAAATTTAGTGGCAAGACAAGATAAGCAATGCAGAAGTCTATAAGAAAACATGGCAGGTGAGTATTTTAGATATGATTTGACAAAAATGGTTGCGCTGGATGGGACGCGTGCAGGATGGGTGAGGGCCCGTTGCCGAAACGGGCATTGAAGCGGTCTCCACGGGTCCAGCGACCAAGGGCCAGGACCTCGCAGCGGGTGGTGGGAGACTGAGGGCAGATCTAGGAGTTCGCCGCGTCTCTACCCTGCAGCAGCAGCAGCTATGAGATGTGGCAGAGGGTAGAACGCGCTGACGAGGAGGTGCGGTGGTGACATGAGCAGCTTTGGCCAGGGTGACACCTGGATCTTGATTTGAAATCAGGATCCGAATTCCACCGGATAAAAATTGTAAGTCATGTCGCCCGCGCTGCACCTTGAGCGGCTGAGTGATGAAGATACTTTGGAAGATGGAGATGCTGGTGGTGAGGAGCCACTCGAGCGAACGCTTGCGGCCATACTGCAGGCCGTAGAGCATGGTGAAGAAGGCCGACACGCCGCTGGTGGCCACCACCAAGGCCCAGCCCACGTAGACGCACCACCAGGGCAGCCCGCCTCGCCTGGGAGGCGGGCCAGCGTGAGGCAACATCCTTCACAGACGCGCACAAAGACAAACATCCCCCGTGTAGCCTTAGACTGTTGGGGCAAATGCTGTTAGCGAGCACCTATGAAGGCCAACATGGCACACAAGGGGGTGGGTGGCCAGCACTCATTTGAGGTGGTGTCGACCTAGGGGAGGCCCGAGATCGGTTCGGATAATCATTACTGTTGTTGGTCGTGAGCGGGAATCGAACTCGGGTTGCTGGGTTCGCAGCGCAGCGCCCTGATCAGTGTGCCACAGCTCTCCACAGAGGTGTACACACACAGACGCACACGCGCGTATTCAGACAATACACAATACGCGTGTTCATTCAATATACACAACTCACAAAATGGCGGTGATGTCACCACAGAGCTTAGCCAGGCTATGTGCACTTTGACCAGCCTACACACACATGAATTCACGCAACATACATGCGAATGTTCACGCATATTCATATATACGCAGCTGAAGGTCCGAGGGTCTTCGGCGTTGAGAGTTGTCGCTCTATGGTTACGACGTGACACCACGTCCTGCGTGACCTTGCTACCTGCATGGGCTGGCAACCAGGGTCGATGTTGTGTGGCTGCTCATGTCACCCAGCGTTAATGCCAACGCAGTGTTGGCATTAATGCTGGGTGACATGAGCAGGTCAGAGCGCTGAGCCGGCACCACTGAACTCCTGAGTTCCAAGTTTCAGCTGCCTGTGATTCAACTGGCTTCTCAAGTTCGGTGAATGCACAAAAAAAATCCACGTTAAATTTGCGTTTGCACTTAACATGGCTAAACTGCAGCTAAAATATGTTGACCGTCATGTGATAGACAACACTCTCATATGCAGAGCGAGTGGAAAGAGCTTCCCCCCTACTGTGTGTGGACCAGAGGTCACTTCTCAGAGGTAGCTCGGTGTTATCCTCTTCCACGGGCCGGTCTTCAACACGGAGGGCTGCACCGCTCTGCGTGAGATCCGAAAGGATTCTTGATGCACGATTGGCATGAAATAAATTGGGAGGAAATTGACAAATATATGCGCTTCCAGAGAGGGCCGGACGCGGTGCTCACGAGGTCCCGGAGGCCGGAGAAGGGGCGGTGGGCCCGGGGCGCCCGGGCAGCACGTCCACCTCCCGCATTGCGTCGCCACGGTAATAGAAGCGCCCGGGCAGCACGTCCACCTCCCGCAGGGCGTTGTCGTAGCGACCGAGCTGCCCGGCCAGGACGTCCACCTCCCGCATCACGTCGCCGTAGCGACCGGCGTCCAGGCCGTGCAGCACGCGCTGCAGATGCACGCACAGCTCTGCCGAGTCGGCGCCCGCACCCTCGCCTGACAAGACAAAGATCCCCCGTATAACCTTACCAGACTGTTGGGGCAAGTGCTGTTCGCGAGCACCTATGAAGACCGGCACGGCACACGAAGGGGTGGGTGCCAGCACCATGCTCTGCCATTCTTGTCTCCTTCGTGGCGATGTTCACATCCCACCAGGTACAGCTCCCTCTCGTTTTACATGGGGGGGGGGGGGGGGGGTGTGTTCTTAAAAAAACAGCGTGTAACTCTAAATCCCATAATCAATAAAGTAAATGGTAGGGGTGAGGGAGATCACGCTATCGAACCTCATTCTTACGTCACTGGTTACAGTAACATATTTACAATACTACCATACATGTATAAAGATAGCCTATTTAAATAAAGGAAAATAAAGTTTTAAAAAACTTTTAATACATTGAGATTAATTTTGACTTAAAACTTTCGTGACTGCAGGAATTCATATTTTTTGGTTCTTTTGGTAAAGTCACGTAAATAGAATAAAAATAAGAATAAAAAATAAAGTGAATAAAAAAAACACTAATATAGACTGTAGCCTGGTTATGAAGCTGGGTGAGTGTACTGGCAGTCTATAATGTAGACTGTAGCCTGGTTATTAAGCTGGGTGAGTGTACTGGCAGTCTATAATATAGACTGTAGCCTGGTTCTTAACCTCGGTGAGTGTACTGGCAGTCTATAATGTAGACTGTAGCCTGGTTTTGAAGCTGGTAAGCGTATTGGCAGTCTCGCAGTGCGTTCCGTACACCATGGCCAACGCGCTGGAACACGTTATTTCAATAACCGTGCATGCATAACAAAATAAGTGTAAAATAATCTAACGCGCTATTTCTAAATCGCGTTACATAAACGCGCATAAAACGCGAGGCAACTGTACTTATTTGAGGCTGAGTCGACCTAGGGGAGGTCCAGGAACGGTTTCGATAATAATCACTGGTGTTAGCCGTGAGCGGGAATCGAATGTGAGTCGCCAGGTTCGTAGCGCAGCGCGCTAACCACTACACTACACGAGACACACTTACACGACGACTCACCTACACGACGACTCACGTACACAATGACACAAACATCTCATCTTGCAGACCCTTCATGGTCCTGCCACTGCCTCTCCCTTCTCAGGAGGGCGAGTTCTGAATAGCAACACAATCCTGCACGAGGATCTTCACCTTTGATCTTCAGGAGTTACCATGCCCCCGTGTTACAAACAGTCGGACGGAGCTGACGCTTTCGCCCTCAGTTGGGAGGCATTCGCGATCGCCCTGCGGCGGTGGGGATCCGCCGGGAGAGACGGTGGAGACCCCGGGCGGGTGCAGCTCTCACACCTGGGGGCGGCAGCTTCTCCAGGGCGAGGCACACCGAGTCCAGGTGCCTGCGCTCCGGGCCATAGAAGTCGCCGTTGGCAGAGGCCGGCGCCCGTGCCGCGTCTGACACCAGCGCCAGCAGCCGAGACACTTCCCCGTCCGCGCCGCAGGGCGGCCCCCCACGCTCTTCTCCGCGCCGCTCGCGCGCGCCCCGTCCCCGGCCGAGCGGCGCCACGCGCCGCTCCGGCGCCGCCAGCGTCCTCATCTCGAGCCCCGTGAGGCGGCACGCGTCCGACTCGTCCGCCACGGCGGCCGCCACCCTCGGGGCGTCTCGGGGCCACAGCGCCCGCAGCACGCGGCGCGCCAGCCTGCGCAGCTCCTGCTCGCGACACGGAGGGGGGAGGGGAGGCACGGAAGAGCACGCGGCAGCATGCAGGCCACGCTGCCACGGACCCCGAGTCCGGCTCTGGTTATGGGGCTCTCCTCTCACCTGAACGCTCGCGGGTTTGTTGATAGGGGGCTCGGGTTTGGCAGGGAGGGCGGATCGGGCCGGTTGCCTTGGAGACAGGCGGTTGGGTTTGGGGCGCACGTTGCGGAAGAACTGCACGATGAGGAGGTTGATAGGGAACATAAGGATGGAGCTCTCGATGCCGATCATCACTTCTGTCCACGTGATCTCAATCCCACCTGTGACGACATCGCCGACATCATCACCAACACCATTATTACCATCTACATCACCATTACTACCATCATCACCATTACTACCATCATCACCACCACCCCCCCCCCCATAATAACATCACAACCATCATGACCATTTTCATCATCACCAAATACAAAAATCCCTTGCTTAGCCTACAATACGCTGTTGGGCCGAACGCTGCCAGCGAGTACCCATTGAGCTGGCTACTTCTGTCTCCCCAGCGCTGGTGTTAACACCACGCCAGGTCCTCTTTCAAGGACGAGTCGACCTACGGCAGGTGCGGGACCGGTTCGGATATCGCTTGCCACTGATATTAGCCGCGGCTGAAACTTGAACTCACGTCACTGAATTTGTACCACAGCGCGCTGACCACTCTGCCACCTCTCCCCAGACAAAAAAACCCAAAGATCTCCCATATAGCCTTAACAGGCTGTTGGGGCAAGTGCTGTTAGCGAGCATCTATGAAAGCCGGCACGGCACACGAGGGTAATGGTGGCCAGAACCACGCCTGGCACCTTCATCTCCTGAGCGGCGATGTTTTACATCGCACCAGGTACTCATTTGAGGTTGAGTCGACCTAGGTGAGGCCCAGGACCTATTGGTGGCCGTGAGCGGGAATGGAACTCGGGTCACCGGGTTCGTCACACAGTGCGTGGCCGACCACCACCGCGCCACCTCTCCTCATCCACGCAGATCCACGCAGCTGTAGACACGGGGCCCCGTGGGAGTGAGGCGGGGGGAGAGGAGCGGTGAGGCGGCTGCTCACCAAGATCGAGTTTGGCATTTGGCGGGCCCGTGGGGACGCCCCAGAACATGATGCTGGTGAGCATGGTGCACAGCAACAAGGACAGGCAGCAGGAGACGCGCTGCACGCAGGTGAAAGGGCTGCGGGGTGGGCGGCTCAGCACGGAGAACCAGAGGTGTCCGTCGCGGAAGTCTCGTGTGGTCTTCTGGTAGAAGAGGTTCCTGGGGAGGCGATGCCAGGGCCGGGGAATTGCACGGTTAATTGGTGTCACCGGCGGGCGAGACCTCACCAGGCCAGGTCACCAACTTTGGTCACCAACGTTGACGAAAGCAATAACATTGAATAAGGTGCAGCGATGAAGCAAATATAAATCGGAGCAAAAACAACCGAATACAAATCGGGGCAGACACCACCGGATTACGCAAAAAATCTCAAGCAGTACACAAACATCAATCGATGTGACTTTAAATAAATAAATTATTTTACGGCCGTGCACAGTAAAGTTATAGAACGGCAAAATAGATTTAGGGTGATTCCTGCACTGGTGTGTGAACAGGGACACGTGACAATGCAGCTGCGTGTCAAATATACATGCAGAGGTGATGATGAGATGTGAGGGATGAGGGTGAATGGCGACTAGCATGTGCTTGGAATGGTCAGCGAGGGGTGAGTGTGCAGAGTGGTGAGGGTGAGTGGGGAGCCGTTGGGCGGTGAGCATGAGGTGTGCGCTCCTTGAACTGCGTGCCCACGTGCACACACGTGCATGTGTACATGCACCGCGTTGGCCACACCACGGGTATGCATACACACGTGTTGCACGCACATGTGTGTGTAAGTATGCGTGTGTGTATGCTTGTGCGTGTATGCTTGTGCGTGTGTGCGTGCATGCTGCATGTACGTGCTTGTCTGTGTGCGTATGCGCACTTGTGTAACGTGTGCGTAAGTGTGCGCGTCACCGGAACTGCTTGAGATCCGTGGTGCTCGCCGCTGGGAAGACGCGGTCGAGCGACCCCTCCCCCACATCGAGTGCGAGCCATGCGTCGCACAGGAAGTGGAATCGCTCTTCCTGCTCCAGGTCCTGCACGACCACGCGACTCACGTACCTGTACGACACGCGGCACGACACGCGGCGTGACACGCGGCACGACACGCGGCGTGACACGCGTGTGTACAGAACACGAGACGTGCGTGGGGCGCTGCGTGGTGCGCGTGGCGTGGCGCTCCGTGTGTATTGCGTGCGGTGCGCGGTGCGGTACCAGGACGGGTCTTTCCCCGAGTTGTCGTGCCACAAGCGCACGGCCTGCAGCTCCCCGAGCGGCGCCAGCGTCGTGAGCAGGAACGAGTCGACGCCGCCGCGCTCCAGCAACGGCTTGCGCTCGTCCGCCAGCAGGTGCGGCTCGCTCTCTGCGTCGGCGCCGTACAGCGTCAGCGTCACCTGCCCACGCCCGGGTTCGACACCTCGCTCTTCTCCTCCGCCTGCGCACGTGCGCCCGCCTCTACCGACGCGACCGCGCCACCGCCCCGCCGCGCCACCCCCGGCCCCCGCACCTTGGCGGTCGTGCAGGCCCCGCGCCGGTGGCCCGTGTACACCGTGACGAGGTAGCGCTGCCGGGCCTGGGGGTCGTTATCGGCCAGGACGGTCACCTTCACCTGCGACCGACAGCCAGAGGGATCGTCACTCTCCGGCGAGGGATGCCGCCTGCGCCGCCTGCGCATCAACAAGCGCTCCGAGAGGCTGCACGTATCTGCACGTATCCGCACGCCGATACTATTGCGGATGTGCGCACATGCTCGCGCCGCGCATGCACCTTGGCGAGGTCCTGGCGGTCTTTGCGCCGTGCCCACACCACGATGGGGAGGTAGAGGAGCAGCACGGCGGCCACGACGCTCACCACCACCGGGTTCTCCGACACGGTGGCGAAGAGCTCGGCCGTGCGCGACACATCCACCACATTGGGCATCACCAGGAAGCCCGCGCCGAACGACGTCAGGTGAGAGCACAGGCAGTGGGTGAGCGTCGCGGTGGTGAGGGGGCCCACCTGACACACACACAGCGGGTCACGCGGTGCGGTTGCGGTGTATTGTGCCGTGCTGGGGGTAAGCGAGGCGAGGTGTTATCTGGTGAGATGCGATGCGCTCTGGTATGGCGTGGGGTGATGAAGTGGTCCGTGCTGTGACGCAGCGTGGCGTGGGAAGCACCCACTCTGCACCCATCCCCTGCCCAGCGTCGCTCTGTCTCGTGCCAGTAGAGACAGCGAGTGGCGAACGTTCCCACCCAGAACGACGCGTTTCCTGCAAAAAAACACAACAGCAGCAGCCGCCGCGTCAGACAAACCCCATCCAACCCGCACCCCCAAACCACGGCATCCTCCGCACGGTGCCGATCGGGTCCCCCACCTGTGCCATCGGCGCCGTGCTCTGCCTGCGCGTGCTCTGCCTGCACGTGCTCTGCCTGCACGCCCACGTAGTAAGTTCCGGCGCCCGGCAGCTCCTCGGGCTCCACGAGCCACGTGTACTCGGTGCCTGCACGGCGACAGCGGGGAGGGGGGTGCCGGCGCGTGACCCTGCGCCTCACGCGTGCGCGTGTGCATGCGCGTGTGCATAGCGTGTGTGCATGCGCGTGTGCATAGCGTGTGTGCATGCGCGTGTGCATAGCGTGTGTGCATAGCGTGTGTGCATAGCGTGTGTGCATGCGTGTGTGCACGCGCGTGTGCACGCCTGTGTGCACGCCTGTGTGCATGCGTGTGTGCACGCCTGTGTGCAAGCGTGCGCGTTACCCCGCCGTGCCTCACCGCGCGTGTCCACCGACACGCTCAGGTTGTGCCGCCGCTCTGTCGGTTCCTCTCCCTGCGACAGGAAGAGCGCGAGGCGCATCGCCTGCCCGCCCGTCTCCACGGTGACCACCAGCGTGAGGTCGTCCCGCGTCACGTTCACCTGCAGCAGGGTGAGCCGCCCGTCTCCCGGCACCAGCGCACGGCTCGGCTCCGAGGGAGCGGCCTGCGGCAGCATTATCTGCAACGGCGCGAGGGCGAGGCGGACGATGGCACGGGGTTTGAACAACACGAGCGCCGGGGTGACGTGTGCGCGACCGCACGCGTCACCTCGGGGCGTCGTGGGCGGTCCGAGCAATAGCCCAGACGTTCCGGCGGGCCGCCCCGGTTAATACCCGGGTGTGCATTAACTAAAGCGTATTACCGCTTCCCAGCGGACATTGAATATCCCGTGATGTTGTCGCGACCCCAGTGCTCGCGCGGCATCTCCCAAAGGTCGCTCGTGAAACTTTCCAAGAGGTGGGACGGCAGTCGTGATATTTTAAACGTTTTAAATTGGTCCTCACATCAAAAAAAAATATTCAATACGTTTTCTCCGGGGAATATACACGGCCCATGCCTCGGATTGGCCACTGGCACCTCCCCGCTGCTGTGTGGAGCCCTCACCTCGATGGGCTGGCTCAGGTTGTGCACGGGGATCGGAGCGCGGTCCACGGCGGAGAGAAGGGAGAGGCTGCTGACCGGGCCGCTCACCTCCCCTCCCTCCGCCGACCAGGCAAACGGGTTCGACACGAAGCTCACCATCTACTCGCACACACGCACACGCACGCACGAACACACGCACACAAACGCTCATACGGATACAAATACAAAGATCCCCCGTGTAGCCTTAGCAGACTGTAGGGGCAAGTGGTGTTAGCGAGCACCTATAAATGCCGGCACGGCACACGAGGGGGTGGGTAGCCAACACCACGCCCGGCCGCCTTTGTCTCCCTAGTGGCGATGTTTACACACCGCACCAGGTACTCATTTGAGGCTGAGTCGACCTAGGGGAGGCCCAGGACCGGTTCATGGATACGTGAGCGTTTGGTGGCCAGCGTACAAAGAAACAGCGCAACAGTCGAGTCGGGTGAGGTGAGAGTGGGGCACCGCTTTGGCGAGATGTTCACAACCTCGCCCGATATGCTGGAGGTCGTGGGTTGGATCCCGACCCTGACGCCTGCGGCATCTATGGAGCTTGCGTGTTCTCCACGTGGTGGTCGTCTGGTTTTTTCTATAGGTCCTCCGGTTGTTCCCTCCATATTTAGAATCAACACGCGTTTAGAGCACATGGCTGCCCTAAATGTCCACACGACAAGTCACCTGGTCGAGTTATCATTTGTGGCCGGGTCACTTCTGAAAGAGAGCCATATCGCTCAGTGAGGCTGCCCTTGTTGAGTTTTGATCAGCGAGGGTGAGGTGAGGGCCACCTGGATATCGACAGGCTCTGCAGAGGGGAGAGGTAGCGCGCTGGGCAGGGTGAAGGCCGCCTCCGAGCTCTGGGATCCTCCAATGGCGAAGCCGGACATCGAGTCTCCAGAACGGCTGTCAACCACAACAACCACGACAACCACGACAACCACAACAACCACCACAACCACAAGCAACCACAATAACTGCAACAACCACGTCAACCACCATTGAAGCAAATAGAAATCAGTACAAAAAAAACTGTGTCACATTAAAAATCGACAATATTGCATCAGCATAAATCAGTGTTAAATAAGATATAGTTCCGGTAGCGCGAGTCGGCTCCAGTAGATTATTTTAGACTGATCATCGTACAATTACAAAATCAAGTTAGAGGAACATTCAACATATATAGGGTGACTATTGTGCTGATGAGTAAACAGACACGGATATACGAGTCTAATGCGAACGTGGACAGGCTTTGGATTGCATTGCGTGGTTCGGGCGGTGTGCGTGGTCGCGTGGTGTGCACGGTCGGTACGCACCGGTCCATCGCGAGGGTCAGAGCCGGCGTGGATACGAGCATCGTGCCCTCCCCTGGGACCCGCTTTGAGAGCAGCACGCCCTGCAGAGTGTCCAGGGCCTCCAGAGCCTGCCTCGACACCTTGAGTCACGCACAAAGACAAAGTTCCCACGTATAGCCTTAACAGACTGGAGGAGCAAGTGCTGTTAACGAGCACCTATGAAGGCCGGATTGGCACGTGAGGGGGTGGGTAGCCAGCACGATGCACAGCTGCCTTTGTCTCCTCAGTGGCGATGTTTATACACTGCACCATGTACTCATTTGAGGCTGAGTCTAATTCGGGAAGGCCCAGGACCGGTTCAGATAATCGTTACTTGTGTTGACCTTGAGCGGGAATCGAACCTGGATCGCCGTGTTTGTAGAGCAGCGCACTATCCGCTGCACTACCGCTCCCCACATGCACGAGTACACGTGCACACACGCGCGATTGAACGCACACGTACGTACCCACACACACACGAGTCAAAGTGATTTGCTGCCCTGAGCCAGTCAAGGAAATTCCACATTCCTTTGGTGGGGGGTGAATCCATTCACAGGTGAGCTGTTGTCGACTTCCCCACGGATTGGCCCGAGTTGGCCGATTGGCCGAGTCAATCCTCAACAACCGAGATGTCACCTTCTACCGCGGAGCCACACGCACACACAAGACAAAGAATCCCGTGGAGCCCACGCAGGTTGTTGGGGCAAGTGCCCCCGAGGGCTGGCACGGCGCACAGGGGGGTGGGGCGAGGGCCACGTGCGCGGACAGATGCGCCGCTACCTGGCCCGCGTCGCGGTCTTCTCCTCGGCCGTGAGCCGTCTCCCCGGTGACCTGGAGGATGTTGCTCGCCACGGCTACGAGGCACCGGGCGCCCTGCTCCATACCGGCGGCGCCCTGCTCCCGCTCCTCCCCGTCCCGGACGGCCGCGCCCTGGAGGGACGCGCTCAGCGTGGACAGCGTAGCGCTGGCTCGCAGCTGTCGGGGACACGCGCACGACACGAACGCGCGCCGGTGGTGACGTGGCAGCCCCGGCGCTCGCGGCCACGGTCGAGGGTTGCGGTGTCGGTGCGAGTTGCGGCCGCGCCGCTGGTACCCGCGCTCGGTGGCTGAGCTCGTTGGGTCGCGCGGTGATCTGGCTCAAAGCTTCCGAGAGCTGCTGAGCACCTTGCACCCCGCGGACCGGCATCTCGCCCAGCGCCACGATCATCTTCTCCCTCAGCTGCAGCCCCCAGCACGCACGGCGCACGCACGGCGCACGCACGGTGCACGGTGAACAACGGACGAACACACAGCAGGCATTACACAGGACGCAGTACACAGCAGGCAGCTATGCATCAGTTATTACACAGAATGGAAGAAATAGCAAACGTCAGGATGCAGACAGAACCAACCGGCGTGTGCGCCTGCTCGGCATTGTGTCTCTCCCTGCTTCCGTTCCCGTTCCCGTTCGTGTTCTCATCCGTGCCCATCCCACCTGTGCATTCTGCGGGGGGGTCTCCCCCTCCTCCTGGCTGCTGGGCTGGTTGAGCACGGAGGCCACGGCGTTGGTGAGCTGTGCTAGGGCGCCCACGTTCTCCGTGTGAACCAGCGCCAGTGGGTCGCCCACGTCCAGGCCCACGCCACCCTCCGCCGGGGCTACGCCCACCTACGTGGACAGCACACAACTCACTTCACCACTCATCCCACTCACCACGTACCACACCACACTCACCACTCACCACACTCACCACGCCACACTCGCCACTCACCACGCCACACACCCCACTCACCACTCACCACACTCACCACGCTACACTCGCCACTCACCACGCCACACACCCCACTCACCACGCACTCACCCCACTCACCACGCCACACGCCCCACTCACCACGCCACACACCCCACTCACCTCGCCACACGCCCCACTCACCACACCACTCACCACGCCACTCACCACCCCACTCACCACGTCACTCACCACCCCACTCATCCCACTGACCTCACCACACATGTCACTCACCTCATCACATCTAGATTGAAAACTACTTTCTTTAGAACTACTTTCTGCCTTTAGTTTGTTGTCTTTCCCCCGCACCTTCGATTGCACGGTTAGCTACGTGCGGTGCATACATACAGACACCACGCACCCCACCACACCACAAAGGCCACCCACCTAACCACACACCATTCACCTCTCATCACAAAAATCCTGATCCCACTGGCCCTAACCTCACACTGACCACACATTCACCCCACCACCTGTGATCTCAGCAGGTAAAGCCGTCAGGGTGAGGGTTCAGCACCAATTAATTCCGGTCCCTCGCTCACTCCACTGGCAGTCAGTGGGCTCCTCTTCATACTTGTATCGCTACTGTCATGGTCACTGTTCCCATGAACTTCACTCGTTGATTCCTCCTCCTCCCGTATTGAGGTTTACCAGACTGGTTCATGTCATCATCCACACTGTTCAACCAGTACGCTGAAGGTTACCAACTCACTCGCTCACTCGTGTGAGTGTGCGTGGAATTTTTCAATTTGGTATTTTTTTTTATCGTGACGCCAGCACACAATGGTCTACTCTTCAAACGATGTCACGAGATCTTTAACATGCCCTGCGAAGCAGACGGCCCAAAGTATTTTGTGGTTAATACAATCGCAGTGTTAACCAGGGCGGCCTGCCAGATCTAAACCGTGAACCTCTGCAACGAGCGGCGACGTGCCTCAAGGAGACAGACCGGGCAACGTGTTGCGAGATGGGGCGGCGGCAGCGGCGGCGTCTCACCGTGACCGACACGAGCTGGGAGAGCGCAGCTCCGAGCGCGTCCGTCACGGAGACACGCAGCAGGAGGCGCCCGCCATGCGCTGGATCCCCCGCGGGCAACAGCACCGCCTCCATCATGGGCTCCGCTCCGCACTGCAGCAGGGAGGCTGCGACACCGCAGGAGACACGTCAGTCGGCATGCGCGCGCGAGCAGGTGACGCGCGAGCACGTGCGAGTGTGTGTGTGTACGTGCGGGTGCACGTGCGTGCGTACACGCGTGTCCGTCTTCGGCGGTGAAGCAGTAAACGAGCGGAGGCTCGGGAGAGCTGAACTCTGAGCAGAGCACGGAGAAGCGCGTGGAGAGCGCCCAGCCTGCATCGGGGCTCACGGAGCAGCGGCCGCGGCGCGGGGGCGGCACCACCACCACCGCAAACTCAGCCAGCGCCACGGCGCCCTGGTTGGACACTGCAAAGGAAGGCGATACGTGTCACTCCGTAGCAACACGTAGGAGCAAGCAGCGGCACGCAGGAGCACGCAGGAGCACGAGGTGGGGTCTCACCTGTGACCCGGATGATGCCGTTTCCCGTGTGGTTGCTCAGAGCTCCCGGTGTGAACACGAGGTACGGCTGCTCCCGTCCCGTGGTGCTCGCCGCTGCCCAGTCCACATCCCGTTCCACCAGTGCTGCATCCTAAGCATCCACAACCACCATACAGTCTCCGTAATTGCACCGTGGCATTTGTGCAACGCGTGGCGATGGCTCGCTGAAGAGGAGTCTCCGTGAGTTAACCCTGACCCAGGTTTCCATCAATTAACACGGACCCAGGTCTCCACACACGACGTCTCTCTATTCGCACTCGAACATCTGTACCTGCTCCTCTCGCTGTCTCAGGGACCAGTTGTAGGACACTGGGCCCTGACAGTCGTGACACGTGCAGTGAAGCGCCAGCCGCTGACCCGGGATCACCTTGGCCCCGCAGTTCGAGATGCAGCTGTGGACACGGGAGACACGTTGGGGAGGAGGGGCAGTCTAGGGTCCCCGGGAGCCGCGCGAGGCCACAAGGCCGACTCCAGGATTTGTTCTCACCTCTTGCCTTTGGCCTCGGAGTGCGGGAACTTTGAGAACTTGGCTCGTGTTTCAAACGGGATACATGTAATACATCTCGTAATGATAACCTTCATGACATGTCTAAAGACCACACGTATTGTGGTTTAATGCAGACATGATCCCTTGTAAAAGGTTTCAGTTTGGTGTTCTAACATCTTAACACGGCTGTTTTGTTGCCAGAAAAAAGGGGAAAACCTATTCTCATATTTTGGTACTGGCAAAGGAGGTCCCATGATTCACCAATGCTCTTTACCCTCCGCTAGATCCCACAGCTGCTACACAGCATCCTCCGAGATCTCCCCTCACAGTCTCCCCCCACCACCCACTCTTAGGTCTCCCCCTAGGTCGCCGGACTCGTGAAGACCGCTCCAATGCAATCGGCCCTCTCCCACCCAGCACAGCGGCTTTGCTCAATCATATCTACAGCACTCATCAGCCTCATTCTCTTATTGACTTCTGCATTTCTTATCCTGCCTTGCTATGAAATTCCCAGCATTTGTCTTATTGCGTGTGCCAACACTCCTTTTCGAACCGCTTGGTTGGGGTCCAATTAGACTTGAGGGGTTAATTCGTTTATGCAGAGTCAATTTATCGGTTTTGTTTCAAAGCACGAGCTTTGTTCAGCATAACTAATCAGCCAGCCTGGAGGATCTGACCTTGGCAGTGGCCTCGATCTCAAAAGTTGCCTGGGCCTTGCGGATCCCGGCCGTGAATTGAAGGGCGGATGGGAGCGATGCAGCAGGAGACGGCGCTCGGACACTCGAAGCTCTGACCCCGTGCCCCCCGCATGGGCCCCGTGCCTCCCAGAATCAGAAGTTTATTTATCGAGTAAAGCCCATTGACGTAAGAAGCTTTTTTCAAGAACGACAAAATCAAAGCATGACACAACTACAGCATGCCCTACCCGATCTCCACTCTTGGCACGGCCCCTGTCACCACCATCAGCATCTGCTCAGCCTCGGCACTTGGCTTGCTTGGCGCGGAGACCGTCACCTTCACCGTGACCTCCGATCCCGCCACCAGGCAACCGGAGGGGAGCTCCAGAACCGGGCGGCTCAGAGAGACGGCCTCCAGGCACGAGGGTTCACAAGCATCTGCAGGGATCAAGACCAGAGCACGAGTGGCTCCCGGTCCGAACCGGCCGGAAGCCTGCCCATTCAGCCCTTGCTTCGGTTCGCGTGCGCACGGGACACAGAACACCGCCGTGTGTGCACCTCTAGCTCACGACCACGGGCAGCAACATCGCGAACGCTCAAATACTTCCCTGAGCACAACGCCACGGAGCTCGGCGGACGCCTCCTGTACATTGGCCGAAATGTGTGACTAAGCGTGCCGATTCGCGTTCAAACTTGCGCGAGCGTGACTACCGCTAACAGGGTGCGAGCGTCGTGTGTAATCATGGGCGTCGCGATTGTGGGAGCCACTCACCGCACGCCCAAGAGAAGTTGAGAGCGGTCGGCGCAGCGACGGCCTGGGGGTTCCGTGTGGGAACGGCGAGACCCTCGATGGCCGTGGGGCCCAGGTCCGGGTCGTGCGAGGCAGAGGCGTCGATGAGAACGGGGCGGCCGCTGCTCACTGTGCGCCCCGCGCCACCCACAATAGCCGCCACCAGCGACCCTGGGCGCAACGACACAAACGCCTCGGCGCGGCCAAAGTCTGGTGCCGAGTCAGGCGGCTCAGAGCCATCGCCCCCCTCCCAGCGATCGTCCTCCTCTTCCTCCTCCTCCACATTTCCTCCTCCTCCTCCCATCCAGGCCGTGAACACCACGCGGTGAAGTCCGGGTGCCAGGGTCCGGCCCGGCACCGTGAGCTCGGGGTGGTGAGTCTCCACGGAGATGGGAAAGCGGATGGCTTCATTTGTCTCCATGGAAACCAGCCGCCATTTGTAGCGCAGAAGCCTTCAACACAAACGCGAGGAACCGACGTGGTCACGAGCGTCAAATGCAAATTCCATTGGCAGCCGCTCTGAGAATGTGGGCTCCACAATGCCCACGTGAATATGGCCATCTGCGGTGGTCATGGCTTCCTGTGGCCGGATCGCGAGTCGTGGATGGGAGGAGAGGAGGTCGGGGTGGGATTGAACTTTGTGTACCGAGGCATTAATGTCCATCATGCAGGGGAGGGAGGGGGGGGCGCTGTGAGCAGGTGGTCAGCAGGGCAGGTTTGTATGGTTTGTGAATGCCTGGGGAACCCGCTTTGCGAGAGAAGTGGCGTGAGTCCGAGTGCAAAGAGAAGGGTACTTTGAGGATATGCATTCCTGAACTGAACCCGAACTAAGCAGCCCGAAATGAAGTCGCTGATATTTGAACTCAGGGCTCTGAGACTGATGCTCGGGAGTTCGTGGCAAGACAGGAGAAGCAATACAGATGTCCGCAAGAGAACATGGCCGTGAGCGCTGTAAATACGATTCGGTGGGAGACTGTGAGGGCAGACGTCGGAGGTCGCGGCGTCTCTACCCTGCAGGAGCAGCTGTGAGATCTGGCGCAGGGGAGGGAGTGCTGGTGAGGAGATGTGGTGGTGGCATTGGCGGCTTTGGCCACAGTGACGCTCGTGCAACTTGAAGTGATCCGGGGTGACTGCAGCCATCACGGCTGAAGGGAACGAGTGCCTGCGGCTTACCGCAGTGAGGCGGTGCGGCTGCAATTGGCCGTGACGATGGCACGGAGAGTGAGTGGCCGCCACAGCGCGTGGGGGAGAGCGTCAGCGCGCGCGGCTGCGCCCCCCGCGATTGCAACTCCCACCATCCCACAGTCGGCCCCCTCGCCCGGCTCCACGTGCACCCTCACCTCCAGCGACTCCGCGCTCACCTAGAGCGTCACACCCAGAGAGAGACGAGTCTCACCTACAGCATCACACCCAGAGAGACGAGTCTCACCTACAGCGTCACACCCAGAGAGACGAGTCTCACCTAGAGCGTCACAACCCGGCACCACACTCACCGCGCTCACCTAGAGCATCACAACCCGTCACCACACTCACCGCGCTCACCTACAGCGTCACACCCAGAGAGACACAATTCTCACCTACACCGTCAATAACATGAGAGACATTCCTCAGTTACATTACACACACAGTGCATGCACCCTGTATATAAGATAACACTGTGGTGCAGGGTGAGGGTGCAGGGTGGAGGGTGCTGAGTGCTGGGTGGAGGGTGCAGGGTGTAAGGTGCAGGGTGCATGTGCGGACAGGGCGTGCCTGGTTGCTCAGGTTGAACTGGGCGAGGTAGGTCCCTGGTTGTCGATAAACGTGCCGGATCTGCAGGTCCCTCAGTTGACTGGAACCTGGCACAGGCGACCCAGAATGCATCAGCCACATCGCTCCGTTACTACGCGGCCATGGTTGAGCAGTGACGTTCGTCGACCAATCACCGCAGTAAATCTACGAGTTGTCATGATTCAGGGCGACTTCATTGCTACAGATGTTATGCATGCATTTGTTCCGTCCTGCTTCCTTTCATTAACCGAAAGGCACATCCGCACATAACTAACGCCGGTCATTCAAACGCGATTCTTACGAGTGATCCTCGGAGCATTTAACGTGAGCGTAACAATAGATTGTAATCGATGATTGACGTGTGAGAATAAGGAGTGGGTGAGCGAGTCACCCCAGAGATGAGATGAGTCAGGAAAACCCCACGCCACCCTCACCGCTCCAGGGTGTCGTGCTCACCTGCGCGACCGTCCCCAAAGTCGGCGCTGTAGCGAACGTCGGGGGGCAGGTGGTCCCGGTCACGGGCAGTCGCACGGAACACGGCGCGGCCCGGAGGGGCCGTGACGGTCAGCGTCGCGTCCAGAGATAGCTCGGCGACGCCCCAAACACTCGTCACGTTCCCGGCGAGCGCCGACACGTTGGCAAAGCGGTCGCTTACCGTGACGCGCACCGAGAACACATCTGTCGCACACGTACACAAAGACCCCCGTGTAACCCACACAGGCCGTTGGGGCAATTGCTGTTAGTGAGATCTTATGAAGGCCGATACGGTGCACGAGAGGGTGATGTGGCCAGTACCACGCCCAGCCGCCTTTGTCTCTCCAGTGTTGATGTTTGCAGACAGAACCAGGCACTCATTTGAGGCCGAGTCGACCTAGAGGAGGCCCAGGACCGGTTCAGATAATCATCACTTGTGTTGGCTATCAGCGGGATCCGAACTCGGATCGCCGGGTTGGTAGCACAGTGCGCTAACGGCTACACTACCGCTCCCCCTTACACACACACACATTCACACAAACAAGCTCATGAACATTTACATGCAAACAAACTTGCACAGACAAGTACACATCAAGCGTTCCAGTCCTGCAAGGACAATTTGCGCTGATTACACTCTGTGTAATCACTCTGTGTAATCAGCGCATTGTCCTCTCCGCCAGATCTCACAGCTGCTGCTGCTGCTGCTACTACAAGGTAGATACGCGGCGACCTCCGAGATCTGCCTCACGGTCTCCCACCACCCGCTGTGAGGTCCTGGCCCTAAGTCGCAGGACCCGTGGGGACCGCTCCACGGGCCCTCACCCATCCCTGCGTGCGTCCCACCCAGTGCAGCCATTTTTGCCAAATCATATCCACATATTAGTCTGGCTCAGTGTGAGTTAGTCTGCGTGGCTTTGGGTGAGTCTGGGTGGGAAACTGGTAGGATTTTGGTGGCTTCGGGTGAGTCTGTTGGTGTAGGAAAGTGTGCGTGTGTGCGCGTCAGTCTGGGTGTGTGTCTGTGCCACCTTGCTGGCTGACGGGGATGCGGTAGATCGCGTGGCTGGCATTAGCCGCCTCCCTCTCTTCCGAAACGAGTCCCTTCACTCCCAGAAGCTCGAACAGCACACGCTCTGGGGTGCCAGCCTCCACACGCACCTCCACCTGCATCTCCTACACACACAAGACGAAGACAAGAGATCCCGCGAGTAGCCTTAATAGACTTTGTATCCCGAGTAGCGATGACCACTATTTGAGGCTGAGTTGACCAAGGGGAGGCACCGGACTGGTTCAGAAAATTGTTACTGTTGATGGCCGTGAGCAGGAATCGAACTTAGATGGCTGGGTTAGTACCGCACAGCGCTAACCGCTACACTACCGCTCCCCACACACACGTGCGCACACACACACGTGCGCACACACACACGTGCGCACACACACACACGTGCGCACACACACACACGTGCGCACAAGTACGCAGAAGCATGCGTGCTGTGCAAGGGCAGAGCTGCAGGAGTGGGGAGCAGGAGTGGGGCCCGGGGTGGGACTGTTCCTCCAATATGCCGCCTGGAGAAGGAGGCCAGGTGGTAAACGACGACAGAAGAGGTAGCGCGTGGCTAGCAGCGTGCTCCGTCACAGCGAGAGGTTTCCTGGATGCGGTCCGCCGGGCGCGGAAATATTTTCCGTCCCGCCGGCAGACCAAGCGGAGACGCGTCGTGCGCGCCGGAGCCTCTCACCTGCCCGACCTCGACGAGCGGCGTGGTGACGGTGGCATGGAGGTCCCCCACGGGGCGGCGCAGTGCCAGCAGCAGCGGCGCCTGCACGGGGGCACCATCCGCCGTCACGTTGTTGGTGGCCAGCACGCGCAGCACGTGCTCGCCCTCGCCCACGCGCTCCTGCATGGCCGCCGTGAGCGTCACGTTCTGCGTCTCCGCGCCGTCGGCCGCCGTCCAGCTCGCGAGCACCGTGTCGCGCGCCACCAGCTGGAAGCTCACGTTGGTCCCTGGGAGCCGGTGGGGAGGAGGGGGGTTCTGTTCAGTGCCGGCGGGGGCCGTGCGGCGGCGGTCTCGGCGTCCGGGTCGTACGGACAGAGCGGCCGTCAAGGAGGTTGAGGTCGCGGTGCAGATCGCCTCGTGAGAGCGGATGCAGAACACGGACGATACAAAAGCAGCCACGGCAGTCGACCCAGCAGGCAAACCTTTCTACGATCAGCGCTCCATCCTGCTCGGTTCATACAAAAAGTAAACTGCCCAATCGTGGTGAATAGATCTACACGGTTCAGATCCAGCAGCCCGCCCTGGTAAGCATTTACTGTGGGTGCATTCAACCATAAACCACTTTATATACCATCTGCTGCACAGTGGACGTTCGGGATCTCGTGACGTCAATCGAACAAGATTTGGACATCACGTGCCAGTCTCACGGTACAAACTTGACAAATTAGAAAAGTTACATCGCAAATGACGCAATTTTGAAACACGTAGCCATCATCACCCTCTTCTGAGGAAACCTGGCAGGACCCTCCTGAAAATGAGTCCTGAGATTTTTTTGAATAAACAACCGGTAATCATCATAAAAATAAAAAAGTCTGTGATGCTCGATCAGGCTGCAGAGTACAATTAAGCAGCACGAACACAGAATATAAACATAGATATAGTGTGCGTGTGTGTTTGTGTGTGCGTGTGTGTTTGTGTGTGCGTGTGTGTTTGTGTGTGCGTGTGTGTTTGTGTGTTTGTGTGTGCGTGTGTGCATGTGTGTGCGCGTGTGTGTGTCTCATCCGTGCGGGGAGCGGTAGTGCAGCGGGGAGCGGTAGTGCAGCGCTGCGCTACGAAATCGTCAACCTGAGTTCGACTCCCGCTCACGACCAACACCACTTCGATTCCCGAGATCGACTCAGCCTTAATTGAGTACCTGGTGCTGTGTGTAAAAATCACTACGAGGGAGACAAAGGTGGCTGGGCGTCGCGTTGGCAACACACCCCCTCGTGTGCTTTGCCAGCCTCCATAGGCTCTCGCGAGTAGCACTTGCCCCCCAAGCAGCCTGTTACAGCCAAAGCGGGCGGCGGTGTGCGAGTCGCCAAGTGGGCGGTCAGCTTTGGGGTCGCCGAAAACGACCTCGTCCAGTGTCGCCCGCCTCTACCCAAGCCAGCCCCCCCCCCCGCCTCACCTGCGAGCAGGGACACGGGGAGCGCGAAGTCGTGGCCGAAGCGCACCACGCACTCCGCCTCCACCTGCCACTGCTGCGGCCGCTTGAGGCACCGCGCGGGCGAGAAGCCGCTGATCGGCTGCTGCACGGAGAGCGAGCGGCGCGCCGTCACGTGCCACTCGGCCGCCGCGCACTCCACCTGCAGCGTGAAGGTGCCCGGCAGCGAGTAGCGGTGCGACACCTCGCTCAGCAGCCTGGCGTCACACACACACACACAGGGCGTCACACACACACACCCTACACACACCCTACACACACCCCCTACACACACCCTACACACACCCTACACACCCCCTACACACCCCTACACACACCCTACACACACCCTACACACACACACCCTACACACACCCTACACACACCCTACACACACCCTACACACACCCTACACACACCTACACACCACTCCTACACACCCCCTACACAACACCCTACACACACCCTACACCACATCGCCTACACACACCCTACCACAACCCCTACCCTACACACCTACACACCCCGCTACACACACCCTAAACACACCCCTACAACACACCCTACACACACCCTAACACACACCCTACACACACACACCTACAATCACACCATGCACACTCCCCTACAACACACACCCGACACACACCCTACACACAACCTACAAACACACAACCCTACACACACCCCTACACAACCCTACACAAGCCCCTACACACACCCTACACACAACCCTACACAACACCCTACACACCCTACACACACCATACACACACCCTCACACACAACACGACCCTACACACACCCTACACACACCCTACACACAGCCCTAAACACACCCTACAAACACACACCCTAGACACCACACACCCTACACACACTACCCTACACAACACCCTACACACAGCCCTACACACCCACTCACACACACCCCGAAACCACCCCTACACACACCCTACACACCCCTACACACACCCTACAATACACACACACACCCTAACACAACACCCCCTACACACACCCTACACACACCCTACACACAACCCTACACACACCCTACACACACCCTACACACACCCCCTACACACCCCTACACACACCCTACACACACCCTACACACCCTACACACACACACCCTACACACACCCCCTACACACACCCTAAACACACCCTACACACACCCCCTACACACACCCTACACACACCCTACACACACCCCCTACACACACCCTACACACACCCTACACACACCCTACACACACCCTACACACACACCCTACACACACACACAGGGAGTCACATACACACACACCCTAGTGACTCTACACACACACAGGGCGTCACACACACACCCTACACACACCCTACACACACACACCCTACACACACACGGCGTCACACACACCCTACACACACCCTACACACACTACGCACACAGGGCGTCACACACACCCTACACACACACACTACACACACACCCTACACACACCCTACACACACACCCTACACACACACACAGGGAGTCACATACACACACACCCTAGTGACTCTACACACACACAGGGCGTCACACACACACCCTACACACACACACTACACACACCCTACACACACACGGCGTCACACACACCCTACACACACCCTACACACACTACACACACAGGGCGTCACAACCACACGTGGACACACACTCACGCACACACACAAACGTGGACACACACACGCACACGCGCATTGCTGTGTTGTGCTGTTTAGTTGACCTACTTTGCTTTGTAGCTGTACCATGTCGCCGTGATTCACCGTGTTATGATGTTGTTGTTGTTGTGCCGTGTTGCTAAAATGTTGCCATGTTGCCTCGCTGCTACCCCGTGTTGTTGCCGTGTTGTTGTTGTGTTGTTGTGTTGTTGCCGTGTTGTTGCCGTGTTGTTGTGTTGTTGCCGTGTTGTTGTTGTGTTGTTGTTGTGTTGTTGCCCTGTTGTTGCCGTGTTGTTGTGTTGTTGCCGTGTTGTTGTGTTGTTGCCGTGTTGTTGCCGTGTTGTTGCCCTGTTGTTGCCGTGTTGTTGCCGTGTTGTTGTGTTGTTGCCGTGTTGTTGCCGTGTTGTTGTGTTGTTGCCGTGTTGTTGCCGTGTTGTTGCCGTGTTGTTGTGTTGTTGCCGTGTTGTTGTTGTGTTGTTGTTGTGTTGTTGCCGTGTTGTTGCCGTGTTGTTGTGTTGTTGCCGTGTTGTTGCCGTGTTGTTGTGTTGTTTCCGTGTTGTTGCCGTGTTGTTGTGTTGTTGCCGTATTGTTGTGTTGTTGTTGTGTTGTTGCCCTGTTGTTGCCGTGTTGTTGTGTTGTTGCCGTGTTGTTGTTGTGTTGTTGTTGTGTTGTTGCCCTGTTGTTGCCGTGTTGTTGTGTTGTTGCCGTGTTGTTGCCGTGTTGTTGTTGTGTTGTTGCCGTGTTGTTGTTGTGTTGTTGCCGTGTTGTTGTTGTTGTTGCCGTGTTGTTGCCGTGTTGTTGTTGTGTTGTTGCCGTGTTGTTGTTGTGTTGTTGCCGTGTTGTTGTTGTGTTGTTGCCGTGTTGTTGTTGTTGCCGTGTTGTTGCCGTGTTGTTGTTGTGTTGTTGCCGTGTTGTTGTTGTGTTGTTGCCGTGTTGTTGTTGTGTTGTTGCCGTGTTGTTGCCGTGTTGTGTTGTTGCCGTGTTGTTGCCGTGTTGTGTTGTTGCCGTGTTGCCGTGTTGTTGTGTTGTTGTGTTGTTGCCGTGTTGTGTTGTTGCCGTGTTGTTGTTGTTGTGTTGTTGCCGTGTTGTTGTTGTGTTGTTGTTGTGTTGTTGCCGTGTTGTTGCCGTGTTGTTGTGTTGTTGCCGTGTTGTTGCCGTGTTGTTGTGTTGTTTCCGTGTTGTTGCCGTGTTGTTGTGTTGTTGCCGTATTGTTGTGTTGTTGTTGTGTTGTTGCCCTGTTGTTGCCGTGTTGTTGTGTTGTTGCCGTGTTGTTGTTGTGTTGTTGTTGTGTTGTTGCCCTGTTGTTGCCGTGTTGTTGTGTTGTTGCCGTGTTGTTGCCGTGTTGTTGTTGTGTTGTTGCCGTGTTGTTGTGTTGTTGCCGTGTTGTTGTTGTTGTTGCCGTGTTGTTGCCGTGTTGTTGTTGTGTTGTTGCCGTGTTGTTGTTGTGTTGTTGCCGTGTTGTTGTTGTGTTGTTGCCGTGTTGTTGCCGTGTTGTGTTGTTGCCGTGTTGTTGCCGTGTTGTGTTGTTGCCGTGTTGCCGTGTTGTTGCCGTGTTGTTGTGTTGTTGCCGTGTTGTGTTGTTGCCGTGTTGTTGTTGTTGTGTTGTTGCCGTGTTGTTGTTGTTGTGTTGTTGCCGTGTTGTTGTTGTTGTGTTGTTGCCGTGTTGTTGCCGTGTTGTGTTGTTGCCGTGTTGTTGTTGTTGTGTTGTTGCCGTGTTGTTGCCGTGTTGTTGTTGTTGTGTTGTTGCCGTGTTGTTGTTGCCGTGTTGTTGCCGTGTTGTTGTTGCCGTGTTGTTGTGTTGTTGCCGTGTTGTTGTTGTTGTTGTGTTGTTGCCGTGTTGTTGCCGTGTTGTTGCCGTGTTGTTGTTGTTGTTGTGTTGCTGTGCGCTGTGCACCCGCTCAGGCGGGACGGCTCGATGAGGCGCCCGTCGCCCAGGCTCACGCTGCAGCTCAAGTTGGCGCCCATCGCCTCGGGCAGCAGCCACTCGATGGCGACGGGGACGGTGTCTCCCACAGCAAACACCTCCCCCACCGTCACCCTCAATGCTGCACGCACAACAACAACAACCACCGATGTTAGCGGTGACATGGCCATGGCACTTGGGCAAGGTTAGGTCCACTTTGAGGCCAGTAGGTCATAGAAGAGGGCCGAGTGTTATTGGTGATGAGATGACTGGCAGATGCACGACAATACGATCGCATGAAAACCCAACACACGTGCACCTACCCATATACAGAGCCTCACCATGCCTCACCCTCACCATGCCTCACCCTCACCATGCCTCACCTTCACCACGCCTCACCCTCACCACGCCTCACCTTCACCACGCCTCACCTTCCACACAGTCTCACCCTCACCACGCCTCACCTTCCACCATGCCTCACCCTCACCACAGTCTCACCCTCACCACAGTCTCACCCTCACCACGCCTCACCTTCCACACAGTCTCACCCTCACCACGCCTCACCTTCCACCATGCCTCACCCTCACCACAGTCTCACCCTCACCACAGTCTCACCCTCACCACGCCTCACCTTCTACACAGCCTCACCCTCACCACGCCTCACCCTCACCACGCCTCACCTTCCACACAGCTGTATGACAGGGTGAGGTAGCTGCCCCTGGAGGGACAGGGGTCCCCGAGGAGGGCCGGGTCAGCTCCGGCCTGGCAGACTTGCACACCGCGACAGAGACCTGGAGACACGCGACACACGGGAACACCTGCACACCTGCACACCTGCACCCCTCCCCTCACGCAGCGTGGATGCGACTGCCGGCTGCGTGTCCTGCCACCGTGCAGTGCCACGCACCTGCGACCAGGTCCGTGACGTTCACCGTAGAGCAGCCGTCCTCCTGCGTGTGTCCGTCGGGGCTCGTTTGGCCCCCGGGGGCGTCGGGCTCCGCGGAGGCTCCCGGGCCGACGCCATCGGGGCTGCTGGCGTTGAGCCGACAGAAGTGCGCGTTGCCGCGGCCGAAGGTGGCGACCTCCACCGTGACGACGCGGGCCGAGCCGCAGCGCAGCGTGGCGTTGGTGCCCGCACAGGCGAGCGCCTGGCGCGGGTCTGCGACGCGGACACCGAGTCAGCGACGGCCCCGTTGGGTCTCACGAGGCCATCACGCGACACGGCGTGACCAATGCAGGGTGGCGGCGGTGGCACCACGCGTCACGGGGACACGCTCTGTACACGGGGTGCCATCATTCCGCGTCTGGGCTGAATAGAAGGTACAGGCGCAACCCTGCAACTGTGTCGCTAAAACCACTGCTGGTGGAAGGGGCTCCATTGGAAGGAACTCGAGAGCATTTGGGCTACTCTACCACGGTGACCAGACGTGTTGGAAATGATTGGAGTTACCCACACTTTACCCAACCGCATGTGACATGTCAGTCGACTATACTGCTGGGCAGGCAGAGGTAGTGGGGGGAATTGAGAAACTGAGCTGGTGGGGTCAGGGTGGGGTCAGGGTGGTTGGGAGCCTCACCAATCTGGCACAAGAAAGGCCGTTCCTGCTCGCACCGATCGCTGGCCGCCCAACGGAATGCAGCCTCCGCCGAGAGGAGGCCACAGCGGCCGGCCGGCTCCCCGGGGGCCCAGTCGGGCTCCGTCACGTTAGCGCCGTCCAGCCAGCGCGGAGGCCCCGCTGTTACAGGAGACACGCGATTACAGAGACACGGGGACTCTGTGGGGGGACAAGGAGTGCATTGTCAGCAGGTGCGGGACAGAGAGACGGGAGGAGCCGGGAGGGAGCAGTGCCAATGTGCCACCTAATCTGCCTCGCCTCCTCGTGTGACACGGAGCATGCCACTGGGTGAGCCACTGCTGTGTGAATGCGGCACGAGGTGAGCCCGAGTGGCACACTGAGTGTCTGCTGCTCAACGTCTAACGAGCCACTTCTGTTCGAGGGAATGCGCCGGTGCCGCCTCGCTCACCTGGCCCGTCGTCGTCGTCTCGAGCCAGAAGCCCGATCCACCAGCTGCGCTCGGCTTCGCCGACGAGCCGCTCCTTCGTGGCCGCCCGCGTCACCGCGTCGGGCAGCGTGGCCAGGAGCCCCCCGGCCCGCTCGCACTCGCGCTGCGCCCCCCAGAAGGAGAGCGGCGGCGCGGTCACCGGGAGGAAGCACGAACTCCCGGCCGGGAACTGCGGCGCGGGGCACGCGGCCGTGGACACCGTCATCAGCAGCAAAAGCAGCAGCGGCGGCAGGAGCAGCAACGACAGCTGCGTGGGCACGAGGCCGCCACGAGCTCCCATCGCGGGGAGATCCAACCACCCCCGAGAAGGGGGCTGGCTCCTCGTGGCAGCAGCAGCAACCTGGTGGTAGAGAGATTCATGCAGAGAAAACTTTCTGTCTCAGGACTCCTGCATTTGGCATAAAAGGAATTGTCCAAACTGGCCGGGTGGCTCAGCAGTAGAGCGATTGGCTCACAATCTGAACGTCGTGAGTTCCAATTCTGGTTAGGGGTTCGACTCAGGCCATCATCCATCTGTGGTCAATAAAATCAGCACCACTTTGTGGGGAAGTCAAAACAGGAAAGTGGACATTTCTGGCTCAGGGCTGCAAGACACGAGCACTGCCCCAATGCTCAGGAAACCCACGCAGTCTGACTCGAGGCCGTGGCCGGCTGCTGTGAGCCGCGCCGCGACACAACATCGGGTGGCGCCATGAGAACTTCACGAACACTCCCGCAGTGGCGAGATGCTAACTACTCCCTTACCTCGTATGGAGGTCGTGGGTTCAATTCCGACTCTGACGCATGCTGTATATTTCGAGTGTGCATGCGTTTAGAGTATTTGGCTGCGATAAATGTCCACATGAAAAGCCACTTCATTGAGCTCATAGCTCCGTGGTCCTTACCTGGTAAAATAAAAATTGTTTAGTTAAAATAAAATAGCATCTCTGTGTTGATTTGAAGCTTTCGTGACTGCAGGGATTCACTAAACGGGCGAGCCCCTCCCCCCTCGGATCTACACAATGCCCCGTCACAGCGGCTTCTTCATCTCTCACCTAAAGACGGTTGCTGTTGTTGCGATCGAAACGTCGTGATCTATTTATTAATTGTTATAGCTACGTGACTTTACCGAAAGAGCCCAGGAGTGCAGTGTACCTGTGGTTGAGAGCCCCTCGTTGCTTGAGCTACCAACCCACGAAGGCGCGGGTTCATGTGTCGAGACCAGGACACCGACCGGGCACACAGCGAGGGGACGATCACGAGGGGACCTCAACAGCTGCCGATGTTCACCGAGTTGAGGGCACAAACACCAAACCCCTCCAAAGAAAATGTTCCACTCTCACCTCTCCGCATTCACGTGGCTTGCAGCTCCTCTACGCGATCCTCTTGATACTCATCCGAGACGGCCCCGTCACCCTAACCGACTCTCCAGGTGACTCACATGATTCCACTTGCCTTTGTTTTGTTATTGCTGTCCGCAGTCAGAGAGCCGCTGTTTAGACAATAGGGTGAGCCGCCCGCAGTCTGGGCGGCTGAGATAAGAGCCACAAAAGGGCTGTGACAGATAGTGGAGCCTGCTGCAGAGCGACCATCGCCGACCCGGTTTCTCGTTACCACCAGGGACTCAATTCGGGTCTGTCCGGGTTGGTTACTCAAGGAAAATATTTCTGGATGCCGCGACACCGTGTAAAGAGTGCCTCTCGCTGTGGCTACTATTCACGTACCTACTCCAGTCTGTCTACCAGTGACCTGGAAAATATTCGGTGAGATATGAAGTCCTGATCAAAACGGATCAAATCCGATGACCCTTTAACATCTCAACAGAACATATTGTGAAGCTTGGTTCAAACGAATACGTCTCCATGCTGCCCCGCCATGTAGAACACGCGAGATGGGATTTAGATCTGATCAGTGTCGACTCTGGACCAGCTAAGGGCCCACTGAGCTCTCGCTCTTTTTCAGAAGCTACCTGGCCACAAATGATAGCGAAACGAAGTGGCTTATCACGTGAAAATTTATAGCAGCCAAATACTTTAAACGCATGTTTCTAAATATGGAGGAAAAACTGGAGGACCCGGACACAAATCCACGAGATCACGGGGAAAAAACCGCAAACTCCAAAATACTCATCAGGATTGAGATTGAATCTACGACCTCCTATATACCAGGTGAGGCAGATAACATCTGGCTACCGAGGCGCCCCAAATTCCCAGAAACAGGCTTCCGGCGCGTGGGTTCCACACATAAGACGTTGGCGTTGGGACATTTGTGCCAAGTATGAAATTAAACGCATTTGTCTCACATCTGCATGTCTGGGCGTTCCAATCCCGCATCTTGTCCGGTCCCGCGAGCACCAATCCCTTTCCCCTTGTCCAGGGAGCCTCACTCAACAGGATCCCCATTGCGAGCGGCATCCCTTCATCTCCGCTCGTGTCATTCGCATCGCGATGTTCTCATTCCCACAAGCCTCGTCCCTGATCGCCTCGCCTCCATCGGACACACGATCCTCATGTTTATTTTTCACCTTATTCCGCTTGTTTACCCAGGAAAGCCTCTACCGAGTCTCAAAGCTACTTTTGTCGAGGGTCTTGCCAAGTTTTCGCAGTAGGGTGCAACGATTGCTATGCAATTAAGAGTTATGAAATTAATTAATGTTTCGACATTTTGGACCTTGGCACATAATGGCACGCTTCTACAAAGTCACGGGATCTTTAACGTCCATTGCGAAGCAGATGGCATATATTTAATGGTTAAAACACTCGCAGTATTAACCAGACCGGCCGCTGGACTCGAACCGCAAACCTCTGCAGCAAGCGGTGAATGCGCTACCGCTGGGCCACGCCAAAACCTCACCTCATACACAACCTCACCCAAGACATTCTCACCCGATTCCCACCTGACACCGTCTCCCCCGAGGAGTTTCACCCGAGTGAGTCTCCTCACCCGAGTGAGTCCCACCCGAGTGAGTCCCACCCGAGGAGTTTCACCCGAGTGAGTCCCACCCGAGTGAGTCCCACCCGAGTGAGTCTCCTCACCCGAGTGAGTCCCACCCGAGTGAGTCGTCTCACCTGCACGGTGACCAGTGTGGGGAGCTCCGCAGCAGCAGCAGCCGTTCCTGGGAGCAAGAGCAGCGCGAGTGGACACAGCCGGTCCCCGTCCGTCTCTGCCCTTGTACCCCACTGCCTCTGCCCCCTCTTATCTCGGCATGCCACACTGTGGCACCTGCCCATCGTAAGTCACGGGCGGACCGGCCGTGTCAGAGGCGGCGCTTTGAGCTCCGCTATCTCTCAGCGCCGCCGTGGCTGTGAAAGCGCAACGACAACGACGGTGCGAGAACAAAGACGAGGAGGGCTGCGTGCCTCTTATCAGAGAGGACACGGGGGGGGGGGGGGGCATCCATCACGACCCCCGCTTTGACAATTCAGTCATCACAGACCGCAAGTGCTGTTAGCGAGCACCTATTGGTGTCATCGATGTCGCGGGACAATTCTCACCGAGTCTCGAGACTCATTTTCAGAGGGTCCTGCATTTGTCATAAAAGGAATTGTCGAAATCAACCGGGTGGTGGCGGCTCAGCAGTTGAGGACGCGGCTCGCAATGGGGAAGTTGCGAGTTCACACGCTGGTTGGGGCTGACTCAGTCCATCACCCGTGCGAGGTCCCACTTCGTGTGGATATCAACTATACATAAACTATACATAAACAGCGGAGTGGACCCTTGAGATTCGCGGGGGATACGTGCTTGGAGAACGGCGCAAATATTAAAACCGCGAATGTGTATGAGGGAAATAAGGTTAAGAGCATAAACACTGAATAACGTAAACTGTCAGTTTAACACGTAGTAGGCTTTCACGACCAATATCATTCATAATACAGTTTTTTTGGATTAGATCGTGTAAAAATGTGTCATTAAGCCCACCACCACCCGACACAGCCAATTGGTAAGGTTTGTCACGACAGAGCGAAGAAACTTTCTTAAACGAAGGTTTCTTCGCTCAAGAAGGGCTCAAGTGACGTCATCACATCTATCCCGAAATGTAAGCAACAGGATTGTTCCACAAACCAGGCTGTCGCCTGATGATGCTATTTGTAATTACTGGCGAAACGTCACGGCACTCAGATTGTAAATGTTGTGGCTTGGCTCTCCAACACACCGGTGTGCTGTGCTAGTATACTACATGGTACACTACACTACTATACACTACATACTAGTGCTGTTCTAGTATACTACACTATACACTACACACCACTACACACTACATACTAGTGCTGTTCTAGTATACTACACTATACACTACACACCACACTACATACTAGTGCTGTTCTAGTATACTACACTATACACTACAATACTACACACTAAACGAAACACTACACTATACACTACATACTAGTGCTGTTCTAGTATACTACACTATACACTACATGCTAGTGCTGTACTAGTATACTACACACTACACTACATACTAGTGCTGTTCTAGTATACTACACACTACACTACATACTAGTGCTGTTCTAGTATACTATACACTACACTACATACTAGTGCTGTACTAGGGACGAATTGGCACGTTCTGTTTATGTGACAACCCTTACTAGTTGGCTGTGTCAGGTGGTGGAGGGTTTAACGACACATTTATATATTTACGCGATCTAACCCAAAAAAAACCTATATTATGCACGTAAACTGTACATACATGTATATATCCATGCATATAGCGTGTAGTATTATTGTGTTATTTAACTTATATAAAACGATTTACATAAACATAAAAAAGTGCAAATATGAATAATAACTATGAAACAGGACATCGCTGGCGTGTAAACGGTGCGGCAGGTGAAGGCCGACTGAGGGAGAGCGGCGTGGGGGGACGACATCCGTGCGCTCACGATCCATGCCGCTCCCATGCCTCGTCTCCCCACTAATTTCAAATAAAATCACAAAAAAATTGTTGTGAATACGAAAAATCACGATTATAAACCCTGCAAAAATTAAGAGTTTACTATACCCACCACCCCGATTATATAAATGTGGAAACTCCACCACTGACTCAGGGTTGTAAACAGATGAGCACCGTCTTAATGCTCATTTTAGCAGGAAATCACTTTTTGTCCAAATAAAAGTCAGAATTTAGCGTAATGACAGACAACGTAAATCCCGAGACGAGTTCACAAGCCAATTTGCCACCATTGTATCTATGCTCATGTTTCCACACGGAAATACGCAATTAATGCGGAGTTCACATCGAGGAGATTTGGTCAAAAAACAATTACCATTGAGCACACAAATTCGAGAATGGAACCCGGCCACTGGGAGCGTTAATTATGGGGAAAATTAATGCACCACCGCTCCCCATATGTGCACATACAACATACGCATGGACAGCATGCCCACACACCACACATACAGCACATGCAGTGCATGCACCCATACACAGCTACAACCTCGCATGGCGTGCACTGTGGGAGCAGATTTCGCTGCCCAGACACCCACTCCCCATGCAGTCACAATCGCACAATTACTCAAAGCTCTCGGTTTATTGGCAATGTCTGCTTTCATCCATCATTAAAGCATGACAAGACACTCGCTCAAACTAGAAACGCACAGGGATACAGGACGAGGGTTCCGTACATCCCTCGCGCCTACTGCTCCACAAACACGAAGGATCTGTCCGCGCGGCCGGGAAACACTGCTGCATGGGGGTCGCGGCTCGCCCCGCACCCAACTTGCGCACTCCCGTGCGCTCCCTGCCCATTAAAATGTGACCGTGACGAGCTGGCTTGAGTGGGACGCGCTTGATTCTGTGACGAAATATTAAAAAATAAATAATGGGCGCCAATGGCACCGCGGTGGCCGAATTCGATTCCTCGTTCCAACTGCGTTGCGGTGACCTCTCATCATGACCCCCCAGGGCCGAGTCGCGGTGGCACAGCCAGGGCGCGGTGGCCATTACAAACCGGCCAGGGCGCGTGGCGATTTCGGTAACGAGTCTGTACGACGGGCATCCACGACGATCCTCTGGCGCCAAGCCGAGCGCGGTCACTCGTGCTTGGCTTTGCTCGGCTGCCTCGGCACGGGTTTGCCGGACGCGTCGTCCTCCTCGTAGGAGACTCCAAACTCGTTGGTGCGGGACTTGTCCACGGGGTAGAGCCTGCAGCGATAATGACACCCCCAAACTGCCGTTAGAGGTCGCGAACCCGGCAGGGCAAGATGTCTCTGAACATATTCGTCAGAGTCGGCGGTGACGGCAACAAACACAATCCGTACGACGCAGGGCTCGTGTCCCCCTCTTATTCTGTTTAAATGTTGTGGCTATCGATACTCCCTCCGAGATCAAGTTCAGAGTGTAGAGAGCTGCAGAAGAGACCAGGATGAGCCTCAACTCTTTTTTCACTCAAGTCACAAAAATTACAAAAGCAAAACAAGTATAGCAATGAAGCAACAATGTCTCATCAAAAGCAACTGCGTTGCATGACACATTGAAAATACGACACAAACATACATCAGTGTTAATTAATACATTTCCTATCGCGTGAGTCGGCTTGGGCAGCACATTTTTTGACTGATCGTAGTATAATGACAAAATTAACCATTAAAAAGAAACAGGGTAACCAATTGTACGAATGTGTAAACAGACAAGGATATCCGAGTCAAATGCAACTGCAAGTGAAGTTATGAAGAATCGATATCTCAGCTTAAGATTGTAATTTAGATGGTAGGGTAACCAAGGACATTTTGTAAACGATGGAATTTCAGGTGTCTGTGGAATTAAACAGAATGAGTGAGAACTGCAAGTTTGTATCATTGGTGCAATGCACTTCTCACAAACTCACTTTGACTTTTTTGGGAGGTTCGTATCTCTATCAGGACAGGAGGGGGGTATCTGTGGGTGTTTTACCAAGATACGGCCATCTCTCACACTCTCTTTGGGGAAGGGGGCCCCAATCTGTTCTTGTCTGTGGCTGTGCTGGATCTCCATGGTGGTTTCACCGATTATTTCTGCCGATTGTCACCGCTGATGGTTACTGCACCATCTTCTTTAATAAAAAACATATACTTTACAATTTGGACAAATCTGATGGTTGCTCCTCGTAGCAGGATACTGGGTTAGCAACTTACAATTAGACCATAAGACAAAGGTCCCAAGACGACCCAAGATCGTGTGCTCTGTTGACCAATCACTATTCAAACACATTTGCAACAAACTCTGTTTTCATTGGCTGAAAGGAGCTCTAAAGTTACTCTATGCTGGCAGAGCCAGGACAAGTTTTATCTTGAACTGCAATTACGCCATTTCGAGATTCCTGCGAGTCATTCTTTGCCCAAGTCCTGGGGTCCTCAGCACTCACCATCGCTGATAGAGGTAGATAAGGAAGACAATGTCATCACGGAAACAGGCGAGGCGGTGAGACGTCGGCATGGTGATGATGAAGGCGAAGATGTCATCTATAAATGTGTTGAATGCCTGCAGCGAAGACGGCAAATTGGTCAAGCCAACACACGCACGCACTGCGACACTCGCGACAGACGCGCACCACACTGAATCGTGGAGCACGCGAGAGCAACACAGCCACAATCATAACATGCGCAGACATTATAACACGCACACACATCAATAATATCACATACACATTATCATAACGCACGTGTACGTTATCATAACATACACACGCACCACAATACACAAACACATTTTCATAACACAGATTATCATAATACACGCGCACATACCATAACACTCACATCATCATAACACATTATCATAACACGCTTTATCTTAACATACCCATACTACCCTAACACAAATGCTAATAACACGCATATACATCACGTTACACATACACACGCATCATGTGACAATAACATGCTTACCTCACTATACAAGATCACACACGCATCACTACAATAATACACGTCAACAGACCACTCCCAAACAAAAGTTATTCAACAAAAACAGACAAAGCTGCTCCATTTGCTCACGGTGCCCACGGTGCCCACGTGCTCACGGCGAATTGGCACTCACCTTGTACATGAACGCTCTCCAGGGTAGATGAGCAACAGACTTGAGCTAGAAAGTGCAAAGAAACAATTTAAACACACACACACGCAGTGTAAACACACATACACACAGTGTAAACACACACACACACAGTGTAAACACACACTCGCAGTGTAAACACACACTCGCAGTGTAAACACACACACACGCAGTGTAAACACACACACTCGCAGTGTAAACACACGCAGTGTAAACACACACACAGTGTAAACACACACACACGCAGTGTAAACACACACACTCGCAGTGTAAACACACACAGTGTAAACACACACACACATTGTAAACACACAGTGTAAACACACACACATTGTAAACACACACACAGTGTAAACACACACACAGTGTAAACACACACACAGTGTAAACACACACACACACGCAGTGTAAACACACACACACAGTGTAAACAACAACAGCCACAATTGACCACTAAGTGGCGTCACGACAGTGCCGGTGCCAGGCCAGGTGCACTCCGAGGCCACCAAGGGAAGTGTCGAAGGCTCGCTGACAGGAGGGCACAGGACAGACCCAGGTGCCATGGGTTGACCGAGATGACTGGCAGATGCTCCCTACTGTGCCAACTTGCTGTGTTTTAGCCGTCCAGCACTCCGCTCGTTGTGTCGTTGCTCTGCCCTCTGCTGTTGTTGGGCGATTGCCTCCAACGTTCCAGCTGCATCCTTCACGAGCCTCCTCCATAGAGGACAATCTTGACACCACTGGTACCAGTCTTCGGTAAGTCCACTCGGCTCCACATCCTCCTGTACCACATTAGTCCATCTCTTCTTCGTGCCATGCCCACTTAGCTCCCTCTATCCAGCCAAACAGAAGCTGCTTGGTCACACAGGCTACATGACCCAGCTAACGCGGTCTTGGCCTCCGGAGGAGCTCAATCATGAGAATGTGTCCACATCTTTCCAGGATTTGTGAGCTCCTCACATAATCCAGCCTGCTTAAACCCAGGATGGATCGTACGCAGGCCAACCTGAAAGTTTCAAACTGGCGCAGATATTCCATTACACGGGTCCACGTTTCAGAAGCAAAGAGAAGGGATGGCATGACTGTGGCCAATAAGACCCGTAGCTTCGTGTGGCGTGACAGACCAGGTAGTTCTGACACAGTGTTACTCAGCTGACAAAAATATGCCACTTGGCTGATTTGGAACGAGACCTCTGCTGCCAAACCGAAGGTGGTCATAGGCACACAACCCAAGTACATAAACTTCTCCACTCCCTTCATAACTGTCCTATCACTCGTAGGGAGTTAAGGGGGTGGAGTATTGGATGATACAAATTACCCATGCAGGTGCTTAGTTTGGGTGGGGATGATGGCGAGTCCCCACCTCTTAGTGGCATGACTCCAGATTCAGCAGCAGGACCACCAATTCCTTCTCAGTGAGCAGCAACCACTTGATCGTCAGTGTACATGACATGGTTTACCAGTAGGGAGCGATCCCTTGATCGCACCCAGGCATCGATCAGCCTTAAATTGTATCTGTACCAGATAGAAATTCCACTGGTACAGCCATGGAAGGCTTCTCGAACTACGCGGTAGAAGATGATGTGTAAACACACACAATGTACACATGCACACACAGTCTACACACAGATAGACACATTCGCACACAATGTACAAATACCCAGGCACATAAGAAATCGGCAGATAACAGCGCAGGGGGCAAATATGGATTACAAACATGCAGAGGCATGCAGACAGGGGGCATGTGAACACAGACCAAACAGGCATGTGGACAGAGAAATGCGGACAATGACACCATTACGTGGACCGGTGGAGTTGGAGAGTGACAGGCACGAAGACGTCTGTTACCTTGTAGTTGACAAAGAGTTGTGGCAGCATGAAGAGAAAGCCAAAGGCATAGATTCCTAGCGAGGGTGGAGGGCACAGGGTAAAACGTGTTAAACCAATACTGGGGACCGTGTTCAGCCTCTGCCTGGCTACGCGTTGCCACTAGTCGTTGTTATTGAGTGGGATTCTCAGGCTCGTGAATTTCAGTTCACAGCTGTAAATCGATGATGGACAACACGTGCCAGAAAATACGCGAGAAAAAGGGGATAACGCCATCACGCGGCATAACGGTGGTGCGATTATCTCACTTGTGCATTCTGGAGGACTTTCCCCCAGTTTACATTGTAAAGGTCACCTTGAGTGCGTTCAATGTACTCAGCCACCACAGGGGACCAATGTAAGGCGGCTTGAAGGATTCCTTGATCAAGCCTGACTAGAGAAGCCACATCAAGGCCACTGGACTTAGCGCTACCTGGGTGCTACCCAGCCAGTCGTCACAAGTGTGGGGTCCATGGAGCCGTGTCGCCACTCACCGTTCACCAGGCTGTTAATCACCCACGAGTACCAGCTGCAAGAGACAGGGAGCAGAGGGGCGGCTGTGAGTACACACGACTGTGAGTACACACTGTCACTCTCTACCTTTCATACAGCGCTTAAACAAATAACGAAAAAAAACAGCTGCTCTGGCCGGGAGGGTGGGAGACCTTCCGGAAGTGCAGCGGCAGATGTCCAAAATAGAAATCACCTGACAAGCCACTCAGGTCACGGTGAGGTCACGGCTCGCAGTCAGCTCAGAGTCAGCTGATATTCAACCAAGCAAGAGAAGGTCCTTGCCGAGTTGGGGAAATGGGACACGAGGACAGTTACAGGGTAGGGGAGGCCCCCGTCACCTCTTGTGCGAGACGTAGAGGAGCGAGTAGAGCGCCCCACCGGCACACAGCGGGTAGAGGGCGTACGACAGGTAGCGCATCGCCTGCGGAGAGCAGCACACACGCGCCTCCTCCACGATCCGCATGCCACTGCAGGCGAGCTCAATGTAGCTGCTTGTCCTCCAGTCTGACGAGGCTCACACCACTCTTACATAGCCTCTGGCTGCGGAACCGCGTTTCCTCGGGAAGATCATGCGTGGGTATAATGCACTTGTGTTATCACAAGTCCAATAAACACACGGATGCAGGGAAATAGCCAGGGCGTGTGCGGTGCAGTTCTTCAACCGATGGAAGCAGCCATCGTCGCTGTGGCCAGCAGCTTCCATCGGCTTCTGCAGCCATCGGGCCTCATGTTGCACCCAGAACTCAGGGAGCACCACTTCCATAGTCGTCCATAAGCCAAGCAGGTCGGTCGGTACCACGTGGGGCGGTAAATACGAGAGACACCCTTCCTCCTACTGTCATATTCTAAAAGGTTTCACATTGCAGTCGATTCTCTTCCTTCCAAAATTATATTCCCTATCAAACACACTGTCATTTTTCTTGACATGTGCCATAGTTGCTATTACTACTATAATGAGCCAAGAACGTCTGTTTGTGTGTAACGCGCGTGACGTCACTCCACATGCCACCCCCCCCCCCCCCCCGTCATTAATATTCATGAGCGGGTGGATTTTTACACTCCCGCAGGTCGAGCGGAAATACATTATTTTTTTGCAAATTAAAGTCACTTTAAATTTGACGTTTCTTTATTGAAAGTGAATCTAATAAATAATTATATGCAGCGACAAAGTGGATTTGGTGTCTTTATTTATTTCTTCAGCACTTGAGACAAAAGGTAAGTCTCATTTATGCTTCTACATTATGGTAAAATAGACATTTCTCGGTGATTTTCCAGATATTGTATCGAATTCTAATTTATTTCAACCCCAGCGACTGAAAGCAGAAGAGAATAAAGTATCAGAACTGCGAATTTGATCAAATTGAAGGTCAGTTATATACTGTGCTACAGTGACATGAAGTGGTGTTTTATGACGTAGTTTAGTGCCAGATTCATTGCCATTAAATTTACACAAGATACAATTATATTCTGCTCAATTTTTTCGTAAATATTACAGCTTCCGTCCTAGGACGGGCAAACAAGCTAGTTATAAATCTTGACTTAAAGCGTTCGTGACTGCAGGAATTAATATTCTTTGGGTCTTTCGGTAAAGCCACGTAGATATAAAAATAATCAAAATCACGACGTTTCGATCGCAACACAAGCAATTGTCATCAGGTGAAATAATATATGGTGGAGGAGCTGCTGAGGCAGGATGTTATAAAGGTTTGAGATGGGTGTAGCCCAAGGGTAAGTGGGCGGGGCTCGAGATGAAATTTGCATGTAAATGTGAGATCGGAGAGCTGAGCCATACCGACGACGACGACGACGCTGTGGGCGTGGCCATTGTATTGTGAGAGATTAGCATGTCAATGTAAGCAATTTGCATGTAAATGTAAAATCGTATAGAGCTCGGCAAGAGCGACCGCCACATCGAGGAAAACGAGCAATGATAGCTGTGCTAGTGAATGTAACTCAGAGAGTCGAAAATAACCGCTAACATAGGCAGGTAAGAAGGGAACATCACAGCCAGTTATGACCTAAACTGGTTAATAACGCCCTTCCAATGATTGCTCAGTTTGTACCCATCTTTTACCGAAAAACCCAAAGAATAAGCAAGTTATATATACCTAGTGACATTGCTATTATAGTCATGATCTAGAGATAAAATATTTAAAATAACTGTCAGCATGTGACCCTGGGTGGTACCGTTGAGCTATATCTGAATGAATGGCTCAAGGCTCAGGCTAAGAGTGCAGCTGGGAACCAAAATGTCTCTTTACTGCAGTACCACACAGACTTCCCACGGTCTCACCTGAGAGTCAAACTCATCCGTCTTTCTCTCTGAAGCCGACGAGGGCCCTACCTGCACACACACACGACATCAAGAGCGTTGAGGCCTCTAATTCGCCACCACTTTCCTGGCAGTGCGGTCTAAAGCCCAGTTGCTTCCCTTGCAGCAAAACGCTGTGACTACCTCCACTTTGGGCAGCCAGCCACGCCACGTGAGCTTGAGCTTGAAAGCCTTGGTCACTTTCCAGACCTGCGGCCAGAGAAAGCAGAGGGAGGTCGGGGTGAGAAGAGAGCCGGTTGCGATGCACACAGCTGCTTGCCACAAGCAACGACCGTTTGGCTCCACAGTCGTACGCTCAAATGGAGTCCACGATCCAAAAGTGCGTGTCCCGCGGTGTGGGGACCCCGTCAGCAGGCACCTCGATGAACGTTCCGATGCCGGCTGGCAGGAGCACCAGCATGCTGGTGCGCTCATCCATGAGGAAAAGGAAGATGACCACAGTGCTGAAGCATCTCCATAGCACTGCACAAATACACGCACACACACACACAACAACTACAGGTAGTCCTCTACTTACGATGGAGATGCGTTACGACGACCCCATGGCAAGTCAAAAATATCGTAAGTCGAAGATGGCCTAGCCTACCCAGGAGTCTTAAAGAATGGTGATAATTTAGCAAAACAGAGCAATTTACAGTACCGTACTGTATAAACTATATACTTATGTAATTATTAATTACAATACTGTATTGCACAGTAAAATGTTAAATAAAAAACAAGGTAAATTCTTAGCCGACCTATATGAACTGCAATTTAATAGAAAGTTTTTTCAGGAAACAACCCTATCTGCTCTAAAAACTTTTAACATGCATTGAACGTATCGTGACGTATCGTGCTAACCCTAAAATGAAATCGCTAAAGCTACGTATCATACATACAATTTTGTCGTATCACCATCGTAAGATCGAAATATCGTAAGTCGGACCATCGTAACTCGGGAACTATCTGTATATACACATACACTAAGAGACATGCATGCACACACGCTCACACGTACACACATAGACACCTGCACGCAGGGATGCACATGTCTACACACACCCATATGCAGGCATGAACAGAAATGCAGAATCATGTACACACACAAAGACAAAGATCCCCTCAATAGCCTTGACAAACTGTTGGAGCAAGTGCTATTAGCGAGCACCTATGGAAGACCAGCATGGCACACGAGGGGGTGGTTGGTGAGCACCACAACCGACCGCCTTTGTCTCCCAAGTGGTGAAGTTTTTATATATGTCGGACTCGGTACTCATTTGAGGCTGAGTCGAAATAGGAGAGGCCCACGATCGGTTCAGATAATCATCACTGGTGTTGGCCATGAGCGGGAATTTAACTCGGGTGCGCCGGGTTCATAGCGCAGCGAGATCACACACAAAGTTTTAATACTAAAGTAGTGAGGTCCACAGGTTTTAGTAGTACTACCATCGTGATATTTGCCCATTACCGGGACGAAATACAAACACCGCTGTGGTCTGTGCAATAATCTTCATTTCACCATGAGAGGGGAGCCCATAGTGATGGAGCTGCTGTGCTGTTCTATTCTTGCATATGGCAGCAACATGTTGAGGGATTAGATGCCAATGTTGAGGTCTGCTAGCAGTGGTGAGAGGGCTTCATAAGAGAGTTTGTATAGCTTTGCTATTCCTCCATTGAAGGGGTGCAGATTACAATGGTTGACTATACGGTTCATAAATGTGCTCGTCACAGAACGGTGTGGACAGCATTTTGGGAAATCCCTTGGCAGGGGAAGCAGTCAGCTGCGCCACAGAATGTGCGAGTCGAGGGGTACAGAGAGACTCACCCACGCGGGCAGACATCCCCACCATGTCGCGCTTGCTCTGCCAGAAGCTGATGTCGTTTTTGAAAGCCAGGAAATCAAACAGCAGCTACACGGGATCCCAATACATAACACCCGTGTCACAATGCATCATAACACACACATCACAACACGTCACACAATGCATGTCACAATGCATCATAACAAATATATCACAACGTATCCAAACATACACAGCATCATAACACACACATCACACACACATCATAATATAGTGGACACACATCATAATGCATCATAACACACAGCAAAACATAATCCACGCATCACATACAACACACATCACACCGCATCATAACATGCACAGCAAACGGATTATAACACACAGCCCCATACCACATAAATGACACAGTATAACACAGCCTCATAACACACATCACAGCTTTATAAAACACACAGCAACACCCCAGAATACAAACATTACACAGCATAATACACACCGAGCACACAAAACGCGGCATACGCAGTGTCCATATCGCGGCACACACACACACGAGGGGGAGGGGAGGGAGATACTCACGTGGAAGGCGGCCACGAGGAAGGTGAGACCCAGGAAGTAGAGATTTGTGTCGGCGAAGATCCCCTTCACCTCGTCCACATCCTTCTCCGTGAAGCCTGCGGAAGGGGCCGGTTACATCGACTTAAAACGTGAACTCGCACTTGCAAACTGAACAGCGGAAGTATTTTGTTCAGCGGAGCGATCCTCTGCGAGATGTAATGCGTTAGCCTCGCGCGGAGAATTAGTTTGTATGTGTGTGAGAGTATGTGTGAAAGTGAGTTTGTGAGGAGTGGTAGTGCAGCGGTCAGCGTGGCGTGCTATGAACTCGGCGACCCGAGTTCGATTCCTGCTCACGGCCACCACCAAGTGACAATTATCTGAACAGGTCCTGGGCCTATCCTAGGTCGACTCAACCTCAAATGAATACCTTGTGCGATATATAAAAACTTCGCCACTAGGGAGAAAAAGGTGGCCGGGGGTGGTGCTCACCACCCACCCCCTCGTGTGCCATGCTGGCCTTCATAAATGCTCGCTAATGGCACTTGCCCCAACAGTCTGTTAAGGCTATAGGGGGGATCTTTGTATTTGTGTGCACGGACCCAGTTGCTGCAGGGACTCAATGGCGTGCTGCATGTGCAGCCATAGACGCAGGCGGCTCAGGGAGATGGGGCTGAAGTGCACCGCCAGGGGCAGCATGCCCACGCTGCTCTGCACAACCTGAGGAGACACCCACAAGTGCTTGTAGAACTTGAGAATCCCACACAACGAAACCAATCACACTGTGGTATATAAAACCAGGGTGTGGTGTAGGGATCTGCTCCCCATCCCAGTGTGATGCCAGGAGGGTTATCCCAGCTGAATGTGTACATACAACAAGATCTTTTATGCGGTTGCTCAGCTCATCCACGTAGAGAATAGGCAGGTAGTGGTGTTTGTCTCGAGGTGACCTGGAACAACAGCGCAGACGCAGCACACACATGTTTGTGCGTGATTGCTGTTATCTCTACTGATTCTTCCTCCCCACGACGTTACCAATGGTAACCAGTCTGCATTGATTCCATTCATAAAATCCATTCTCTTACTTCTATTGTGGTGAATGTCGCAGCTCTCTTGCCAGCACGAGTGAGTCACACAGCCCCATCACACGCAGGGAACCAAATAGGGCAATTGATTCGGCACCCGCTACTCGAAGCATTAATCCTGAGCGTAAGATTCTAGTTTACTCAATAAATCACTGCACTGTTACACACCAAATGTGAATAGAACACACTCCAGTGCACACGTGAGCACAACGCACACACACACACACATGCGTGCGCGTGGCCGTGCACTGCCTCTCACTTGGTGAAGTATGGCATGAGCTCGGCAGGCACAGCGCGCGGGTCCAGGGAGACAGCGTCGGCCATTACGGAGAGCGTGAGCTGCGAGCGCCAATGAGTGACCGGGTCCTCTCTGGGTGCTGCTTGTGCCGACTGGGGGAGTCATGGCAAGAGGGCACTCACTCACCCACCGGTGATGCAGCGAGGGTATGTGGTGAGGGCACACGGAAGTGGTAATGTGTGCATGTGGAATGCCCGAGTACGACACAGGCGGCGCTCACCTCATTGCGGGTCATGAGGTTGACCACGTCGGGCCGCGGCACCATGTGCGTGGTGAGCATCGCCACCCCGTGCACTGCTTGCTCGTCCTGCCAGGGCAGCTCCCCGGCACGATGTACGAACACGTGTGCGAACAGGCTGCCGTTGCTGCGCGTGCGCACGGGCAGACTCACGTTCACCTCCCTGCACGCCGCAGACACGCATGGTGTCGGCGTGATGCGGCACTCCGAGACAATGGAGCGAGGGCTTGGTCAGCGCCACGTTGCTCAGGTGCCCTGGCCGTCACAGTAATAAACGAGTTCTCCTGCACGTGCCTCACGTTTACCCCCAGTGACCGCACCTGTGGGACGAGGAATGCACGTCCAAGGGGTCGATGTTCAGGGCGAAGTGAAGGCTGCTCACTCGCCTCACGCTCTGCTCCAGGGCTGTATATACGCTGAGCTGTGAGACACAGAAACACCTCCGTCTCACACACATATCACACACCTCCCAGTCTCACCCACACCTCCCAGTCTCACCCACACCTCCCAGTCTCACCCACGCCTCCCAGTCTCACCCACGCCTTCCTATCTCACCCACGCCTTCCTATTTCACTCACGCCTTCCTATCTCACCCACACCTCCCAGTCTCACCCACACCTCCCAGTCTCACCCACACCTCCCAGTCTCACCCACACCTCCCAGTCTCACCCACACCTCCCAGTCTCACCCACACCTCCCAGTCTCACCCACGCCTCCCAGTCTCACCCACGCCTTCCTATCTCACTCACGCCTTCCTATCTCACCCACACCTCCCAGTCTCACCCACACCTCCCAGTCTCACCCACACCTCCCAGTCTCACCCACGCCTCCCAGTCTCACCCACACCTCCCAGTCTCACCCACGCCTCCCAGTCTCACCCACGCCTTCCTATCTCACCCACGCCTTCCTATCTCACCCACGCCTCCCAGTCTCACCCACGCCTTCCTATCTCACTCACGCCTTCCTATCTCACTCACGCCTTCCTATCTCACCCACGCCTTCCTATCTCACTCACGCCTTCCTATCTCACTCACGCCTTCCTATCTCACCCACGCCTTCCTATCTCACTCACGCCTTCCTATCTCACCCACACCTCCCAGTCTCACCCACACCTCCCAGTCTCACCCACACCTCCCAGTCTCACCCACACCTCCCAGTCTCACCCACGCCTCCCAGTCTCATCCACGCCTTCCTATCTCACCCACGCCTTCCTATCTCACCCACGCCTCCCAGTCTCACCCACGCCTTCCTATCTCACTCACGCCTTCCTATCTCACCCACGCCTTCCTATCTCACCCACGCCTTCCTATCTCACTCACGCCTTCCTATCTCACTCACGCCTTCCTATCTCACTCACGCCTTCCTATCTCACTCACGCCTTCCTATCTCACCCACGCCTTCCTATCTCACTCACGCCTTCCTATCTCACTCACGCCTTCCTATCTCACCCACGCCTTCCTATCTCACCCACGCCTTCCTATCTCACCCACGCCTTCCTATCTCACTCACGCCTTCCTATCCCACACACCTACCAATCTCACCCACCTACCAATCTCACACACCTCCCAGTCTCACTCACGCCTTCCTATCTCACTCACACCTCCCAGTCTCACCCACACCTTCCTATCTCACCCACGCCTTCCTATCCCACACACCAACCAATCTCAGCCACACCTTCCTATCCCACACACACCTACCATTCTCACCCACCTACCAATCTCACACACCTCCCAGTCTCACCTACAACCGCCATTCACCCCTAAGTTGCATTACCGTCACCTCGGCACTTGTGCCAGGCTAGGTGCATCTTGGGGCCGTGTGACATGTCGAAGGCTCGCTAGCAGTCACGGGACAGATCCAGGCGTTATGGGTTAACTTACCATTGCAAATAATCTAACCCCAAGCAGTTATCACTCTGCTATGCAGTGCACACAATCGGCCGATGTTGGAATCCTGCTGCTGTCAAATCTGGGGTGGAGCCCCCAACTTTTGCAACCGATATAATTCAGAGTAGAGCAGTCGTAGTGATTGAATATCCTGCACTCACTCTTCCATGACTACTACAGCTACCTCTCGTTTTACACGGGGGTTGTGTAAATTAAACAGAAATTTCCATAAGAAATAAAGTGGTTGGGGAGATCACGCTATCAAACCTCATTCTAACGTCTACATATTTCACTGGTTACAGTAACATATTTACAATACTACCATACGTGTATAAAGATAGTAACAGCCTATTTAAAGAAATACTTTTTTAAGTTAAACTAAAAGATGTTTAACACGTAGTGAGATGCTTGAGTGTGGTGGTGTACTCAGTGCCGGATTAAGCTCGTGCGAAAGCTTTCAAATTCACCATGGAAGTGGAAAAGGATGGCAAGTTAACATTCCTGGATGTTTTGATCGAGAAGAGACCTGATGGCTCGTTGGGACATTCTGTCTACAGGAAAGCCACCCACACGAATGCCTATCTAAAAAGCCTGACTCCCACCACCATCCAGCCAAGAATAATTCCCTCATGAAAACACTACACCATAGGGCCCATTGCATCTCCGACCAGCACCACCTAGCCAGTGAGTTGGAGCACGTACACCAAGCCCTCAGGATGAATAGACATTCTGACCATACAATCCGCAAAGCTGTCTCCCCAGCCATGGGGAGACAGCCATCTGAGGACCCATTCAAAACCATCACCTTGCCATACATAGCAGGGGTTACCAAAAATATTTCCAAAATCTTAAACAAACACAAGGTCCAGGTTCGTTTCAACACAGTACACAAAATCCGTGATTTGATCCCATCTGTAAAGGAAGTGATTCCTGACATGCAATGTCCTGGTATCTACAAACTAAGTTGTGGCTGCGGCAGCAGTTACATTGAGGAAAACGTAACGACGTCTGGGACCACGTTCGTGAACACAAGGCAGATCTAAAGCACGGTAGAACCAATACCTCTACCGTTGCTGATCATTGTTTTAACGCTGTGGGCACACACAATATTGATTTTTCCAAGACGAAGGTACTCTGCAAACCCACTGGCTATCATCAGAGATTTGTTCATGAAGCCATCCAGATATATAAACACGGACACAACTTCAGCCGAGAAGATGGGGACAAATTGAGCAATCATTGGAAGGACGTGATTAACCAGGTAAAGTCTTAACCTGCTGTGATGTCTCCATCCTTCTTGCGATTTTAGCAGACTCTCTGAGTTGCATTACTAGGTTGGATGTCTTTGTATTGACGGGCTTGGATGTCCTTCTCGCTTGTGCACCAGATCTTATTTATTCATGATGTACTTGCAAAAAAATCCGCAGATTACCTGCTGGATCTCATCTCTGTTTCAAAGAACAAATTTGACCTAAGGTCTACACTCATTTACCAGCTTAACATTCCCTATTGCCGTACATATACTGGAGGAAGGGCCTTTGCTATTGATGCCCCCAGGGTCTGGAATGCTGTTGCAAATAAATTGAAACTTGAGTCACTACCCATGAGATCTTCACTCAAAACTGCTCTAGAGGAGTTGTACACCCCTAGCTGCCAGTGCTATTCAGTGGCCTAAAATAAAATGTTTAGCTCCGGATGATCACTACAAAGTATGACCTGTGTTTTGATTTAGTGTGCTGATCTTAAAGGTGCATTGAAAAATTATAATACTCCTATTGATGCTCCTGCTGTTGCGGAGTGGCTCATGCAGCCAGCTATGGCTGCAAGGATTTGGTAGTACATGTTTATGCCATTTATTGTGAAAATTCCGTCACAGTTCCTATGATTGCTTTTTCATTGCTTTCATGGCTTTATTTTGATTTCTAAAAGTGTATTGGTTTAGCCATGTTTGTTTGTTGTAGTACAGAGTTAGACTGATGGCCTTAATCTAAGTTGTCTTATGGTTGTTGTTGTTGTTGTTTGACTTGCATCCCACTGGGATTTTTGCACACAGCGTTGGTGTACGGTGTTTTTTTCTACAATAGATTGCTGTCTTTTCTTGGATTTTCTGTTTGCACTCAGTCACATATTCACTTTAAGATGTTTTTGTTCATGTTTTTGTTTTTTGTTTGTTGCGGTTGCACCCGATTCAAGAGCCGAATGGCTCACAGGGCTATACTTAATACATGAACTTGAAACTTGAAAACCACCACTCCACCACACGGCACTCCACCACACGGCACTCCACCACACGGCACTCCACCACACGGCACTCCACCACACGGCACTCCACCACACGGCACTCCACCACACGGCACTCCACCACTCCACCACGGCACTCACCCACCACCACCACGCGGCACTCACCCACCACCACCACGCGGCACTCACCCACCACCACCACTGCACCACACGGCACTCACCCACCACCACCACTCCACCACGCGGCACTCACCCACCCGGCCTCCACGGGATGTCACGACACTCATTGCCTCGCACAGCTCCAGTTTAACATTCTCTCTCTTTCCCCAGCCTGTAGAACCCTGCCCTTGCTACATTCATAAAACGTCTAATCTATAACGTTCATACTGCTGTTTGTTGCTTGCCGCTTGGCGTTCTGGGCCCTTAGGTCCGTACGGGCTCGGGGACGACTGACGACACGACGCGTGCGGCACTGCGATGTCGGAGCAGTGCCGAGCCCGGCACAGCAGCCGTGCCCTGATGGAGACTGCGGCGCCCTGCGCTGGCAGCGTCTGAGAGAAGCCCGCAAAGTGTCGCCCGCGTCAGAGGCTCATCGATGAGCACTGCCCAGCGATCGATCTTCCCACTTGGCCCGAACCCAACGCGTCTCTCGGGCCGTCGTTTGCACGACTCTAGCGGCCGGCGGCCCCGAATCAAATGGAGTGGCCAGGAGACTCGACCCCGCCCCCCGCGCCGGGATCGCAGTCGCCCCGAGGCTCGGCACCTGCAGGCGCGGCGCGGGCTCTGCGTGCAGCGCCGAGGTGACGCACTGGGGGCCCTGCGCCGCACGGCTCCGTGTAGAGGACCCCGTGCAGGACGTAGGCGATGTTCGCGAGGTACGCGACGAACGCCACCACCGCCAGGGTCGTCAGCGAGGGCAGCCGCAGAGCCGGCATGGTCCCCGGGCGAGGGAACTCGAGAATATCGAGAATATCGGAAGGGGGGGGGGGGACGACGACTCCTCAGGAGGCTCGACTCCGGGCCTCGGGGAAGCAAAAGGAGCTCCCTCACCGCTCCCCCACCGCTCCCTCGAACCGCACTTCCGGATGAGCGCCGATGCCACGAGCTCGCCTCCCATTGGGCCGCGACCACCACAAGCCGCGCCCCCTTCACGCGCTCGACCAATTGCGCGTCGCCTTCCCGAGGCACGTCAGAGGCCTCGCACGCGATTGGCCAAGCCGCAGCCCCTCCCCCCTCCTCTTGGACGTGAGGGTCTGGTCAGGAAGTTGCGGCGCGCAGCGGCTTGGGTCCACGTGGAAGCCTCTGCCCCCGTCATAGTAACGGTCCCAGTACACGCACAGTGGGTCTGGATTCAGGTTATGCTGTCACATGCACGTCTGAGTTTAACATCCGTACGAAAACACTGCAGTCCAGTAGTGCCATACACCAATTGCACTGTGCGACTGAACATTCAACCCAATTATGGACTATTTACCGCAACCCACTCTGGTCTGCGCCTAACACATGGACTCATCTTGATTTGAAGCTTTCGTGACTGCAGGAAGCCATACTCTTTGGTTCTTTCGGTAAAGTCACGTAGGTAGAAACATTAAAATAAATCAGTCTGCATCAGCAGCAGGCCATGGCTTTCCCACCTGATGACGGACGCTTGTGTTGCGCCAGAAACGTCGTGATTGTATTTTTATACGACATGGACTCGCTCCTGAAGCCCTCTCGCTGCGAGCAGAACTCCACATTGGCAGCAGCACGAGTCCGTCACGGCTGCTGCCACAACACGGACTTACCCATTCACCTCGTAGTGGGGCAGCCGAATTTGGCTCCAGCAGCAGACTAGACACGTGACGGTGGTAATCAACGTGTCGACCAAGACCCCAGCCCGACCACAAGTTTTTAGCGAGCAGCGGAGCTGCGTTTGACGTGGAGCGCGTGACAGGGTCGTCGCCCTTCCCAAGTCTCACGGAATAAGACAAATGTTCTGGAAGCTCCAGGAGCTACGATTCGTGTTTTTATTTTACAATGTATTAAGTTACACTTTACACCACGGTGTAACATGTCTACACGTTTGGCCGGGCTCAGCTGTTCCATTGTGAAAATGACCGACATCGGACGTTCCAATGCACTGCCTTCCCGAGCCCTTCCGAGGCCCCATGGACGTTCACGCATCACAGGGAAGTATGGGCAAGCCTCTCTGTCCACACGCACCGCAGTTGAAGGGGTAACAAAACGGAAACCTAAAGACGCTGCAGCATTCTCTAGGTACAGTTTTAGTGCGAGTTGTAATCTTCGTGGCATTTTGCCTCGGGAAATGTATTAGGGTCTCCCGGTTTGCAATCACAAGCGCAGATGGCCACCAACCATCTCTTTAAAGACAACAATAATTTCCTTTGCCACATTAAATATAACGATATCGGGTCTCTTGCGTTCCTTCAGTGAAAAAACGGCACCATTATTAGAGAGCGGCAGCGTCTACGATTGACCAGCATGAAGCATCGGTCCGAGTGATGAAGAAACAGCAGGCAGCCAGGTGCTTCCTTATAACTTCCCCCATCGTTTGCATCTCACTTGATTACTTCATGATGAAAACTGCAAACATTGATTCACATTACAGTTTCTTAATGATAGCCTTTATGGATATTAAAAATGTGTTTAAATTAAAAAAAGTTTTAAAAACTAAAATTTGAAGTGCCAGCCCGAATGTGTGTAGTGGTGCAGCAGTTCGAGGAGCAGGGCTGGGGCCCAGGGCTCAAGCAGCACGGCAGCGTTGCCAGGTGCAGGCGCCGTCCTGCGCCTACGCTTCGCACGGCTTTTCCCTCCACGCCACACGTCTACCTCCTGCCAAAACGGTTCTTGAAAGCTTTCAGGGTCTTTGCCATCATCGGTGCGACTTCTGTAAAAGACAAAGCGATAGCCTCTATATATGGAACGCATGGAAAATACTTGAGTTTTGTTAAATGACAGTTAAATGATTACTGCGCATTATAAGTGGTTGGGTCGGGTGGTCCCAGGCGCCATACTTTTGACTTGTCTCTTATCTCCGCCTGCTGATGACCCAGATGAGGAGGGTCCTGGGACTGGGCTGAGCGAGCGCGGTCGAACGGATGTCCCATCGGAGTTCCCACCTGCACTCGCCATTGCATGACCCTCCCCACCCAACGGAACCAAGGCAACAGGATTCTTGTCCCTGCAGTGGACAACAGGGATCATAAAACAAACACAATACAACCAGCACAGCACCTACTACTATATCAACATTCACACATGCAGCACACACCACACAATACCAGTACAGCATACACACTCATACAGTAGCTCCCAAAACACTGCCATATGCACAAACAATGGATAGGACACTCTTACCCTCACTAGCACAACAGCTGCCATTTGCCACGAAGTCAGTGGTGACGTCACCACAGGGCTTGTGCAAGTCTAGATGCACCTTTGAGACCACACACAGTTTTGGAGGCTTACTAGCAGGTCACGGGACAGATCCAGGTGTTATGGGTTAACTTACTGAGATGACTGACACATGCACACCAACAAGCATGGATCATACAGCTGCAATGTGTTTCCGCAAAGTGTTGGCGCAATGTTTTGCCGCTGAGGAGTACCGTAAGCGCTCGGTAGCACCGAAAGGCGTGGGACGCCCCGTGCCGTGACGCTCCTGTTTACGGCGCACATCACGCGGTGGCTTCACCGTTGTGTTCACAAATGCCAACTTGACCTGGCGCCCTAGATGGACACCGACCCAGAAAAACCAACGCGTCACCCGGTGACACCGACACACAGACACGTCACGTGGCGCTTTTGGTGCCCTGGCTCTCTGCGCATTGCTGGGCCCTCTTAAATGCCCCAAACACATGGAATTCCATCGCTTCAAAAATGTCCTTGAGGACTCTTCTGTGCCGCAGTTGTTTTCACGACAATTTATATTTGCTTTTACACTAGCGGGAAGTACCCGGTGTTGCCCGGGGGAAGAATATATTTCGAAATTTCTCTTAAAAACATACATCCACAAATACTAAGCTATTGTGAAAGCCTGGCATGCCGTTTGTCTGTCCATTTGTCAACAAAATTATAAGAGGCTTGCAGAAGTCCAAAAAAAAGTGGGGGGTAAATAGTTGATCTAAAAGATTTTCGAAAATTGTCGACCCCCCCCCCCCCTCATAAAATATTTTTACCCCCGCGTAGGCATATACAGTGAGGGAAAAAGTATTTGATCCCCTGCTGATTTTGTACGTTTGCCCACTGACAACGATATGATCAGTCTATAATTTTAATGGTAGGTTTATTTGAACAGTGAGAGACAATCCAGAAAAACGCATGTGAAAAATGTTATAAATTGATTTGCATTTTAATGAGGGAAATAAGTATTTGACCCCTCTGCAAAACATGACTTAGTACTTGGTGGCAAAACCCTTGTTGGCAATCACAGAGGTCAGACGTTTCTTGTAGTTGGCCACCAGGTTTGCACACATCTCAGGAGGGATTTTGTCCCACTCCTCTTTGCAGATCTTCTCCAAGTCATTAAGGTTTCGAGGCTGACGTTTGGCAACTCGAACCTTCAGCTCCCTCCACAGATTTTCTATGGGATTAAGGTCTGGAGACTGGCTAGGCCACTCCAGGACCTTAATGTGCTTCTTCTTGAGCCACTCCTTTGTTGCCTTGGCCGTGTGTTTTGGGTCATTGTCATGCTGGAATACCCATCCACGACCCATTTTCAATGCCCTGGCTGAGGGAAGGAGGTTCTCACCAAAGATTTGACGGTACATGGCCCCGTCCATCGTTCCTTTGATGCGGTGAAGTTGTCCTGTCACCTTAGCAGAAAAACACCCCCAAAGCATAATGTTTCCACTTCCATATTTGACGGTGGGGATGGTGTTCTTGGGGTCATAGGCAGCATTCCTCCTCCTCCAAACACGGCGAGTTGAGTTGATGCCAAAGAGCTCCATTTTGGTCTCATCTGACCACAACACTTTCACCCAGTTGTCCTCTGAATCATTCAGATGTTCATTGGCAAACTTCAGACGGGCATGTATATGTGCTTTCTTGAGCGGGGGGACATTGTGGGCGCTGCAGGATTTCAGTCCTTCACTGCGTAGTGTGTTACCAACTGTTTTCTTGGTGACTATGGTCCCAGCTGCCTTGAGATTATTGACAAGATCCTCCCGTGTAGTTCTGGGCTGATTCCTCACCGTTCTCATGATAATTGCAACTCCACGAGGTGAGATCTTGCATGGAGCCCCAGGCCGAGGGAGATTGACAGTTCTTTTGGGTTTCTTCCATTTGCGAATAATCGCACCAACTGTTGTCACCTTCTCACCAAGCTGCTTGGCGATGGTCTTGTAGCCCATTCCAGCCTTGTGTAGGTCTACAATCTTGTCCCTGACATCCTTGGAGAGCTCTTTGGTCTTGGCCATGGTGGAGAGTTTGGAATCTGATTGATTGCTTCTGTGAACAGGTGTCTTTTATACAGGTAACAAGCTGAGATTAGGAGCACTCCCTTTAAGAGTGTGCTCCTAATCTCAGCTCGTTACCTGTATAAAAGACACCTAGGAGCCAGAAATCTGATTGAGAGGGGGTCAAATAATTATTTCCCTCATTAAAATGCAAATCAATTTATAACATTTTTGACATGCGTTTTTCTGGATTGTTTTGTTGTTATTCTGTCTCTCACTGTTCAAATAAACCTACCATAAAATTATAGACTGATCATTTCTTTGTCAGTGGGAAAACATACAAAATCAGTAGGGGATCAAATACTTTTTTCCCTCACTGTTTACCTACACACCCTACATACAATAGAGTGAGTAGTCTCTACTGACTCTATAGTAGCATCTACTGACTGTATAGTAGTATATAGTGACTCTATAGTAGCATCTACTGACCGTAGTAGTATCTACTGACTGCAGTAGTATCTACCGACTCTATAGTAGTAACGACTGACTCTATAGTAGTATCCAATTACTATAGTAGTAACTACTAACGCTACAGTAGTATATACCGACTCTATAGTAGTATCTACTGACTCTATCGTAGTATCTGACTATAGTCGTAACTACTAACTCTATATCAGTATCTGTTGACTCTACAGTAATATCTACTGACTCTATTGCAGTATCTACCGACTCTGCAGTAGTATCTACCGACTCTATAATAGTATATATCGACTCTATGATAGTATCTAGGATATCTTGACTTAAATCTTTCGTGACTGCAGCTGGCCGAGGTGGCACCTTGGCCGGCTGGGGCTGGGCGACTACCCCCCCCACCCGCACTCCAGTTGTAGTATCTACCGACCCAATAGTAGTAAGTGCACACATTGGAGTGGGGGGGGGGAGAAGAGGACATCACACTTTGAAGAATTTACCTCAGCGTTGTGTGTATTCTTTTTGAATTTTGTACGCAAATTCCCCCCTTCCCCCACCGATCGCGTGTGTGCCTTGCCATGGGAACGTGTCAGCGTTCTCGCGCACACGGAGATGCATGCTTTGGCGTGTGTTCAGCGTAGTAATATAATAGTAATAAATTGTTAATTTAACTACGTTAAAGTTGACGGATGTGAAATACGAATAGCGCCGGCTCACCCCGGGGCTTATCGCGTGGTATCTGGGTACTTTTTTGAAACATGAACCCCACAGCCTGTGAGTTAAAAGCATCACAAGTTGCGTACACAGACAGACAGAAAACGACTTATATAGGTAAGATTATTACAATCCTCACCTCTTGCTTTCTCTTACCTGGTGAAACGACATCAACTTTCATCGTACCTTTAGGTTTGCTGGAGTGGGTGCTGCTGATGGACTGGGTGAGTCGCTTGAGGCGTGCTTCCCGCTCTTCGTACTTGCGCAGGTACAGCTCTCGCCACGATTCGTACTCCTGCCTCGTCTCGTTGCGGAAATCTCGCGCGCAGTGTCCCGCCCACAGCTCAGTCGTCTCCTCCACAAAGCTCTATCAGCAAAAAAGTGTTCAGCACAACCGCCCACCCGGCGCTACTCAATCAAACCTGCGTCCATAGCGCTGGCAGATGGCATGCAATAGTGGAGGTGGCTTGGCCACAGCTCTTGATGGATGAGGCCATCAGTTGTATAAATGCGACATCAACGTGCACTCTTTATTACTCTGGTAGGCTTATCAAGATCAAATTGTCATCGTGGCCAAAGCCGCTGATGCAACCACACCTTTTTCTCTAACCCCTCCCTCTCGCTGCCTCCGCCCCCCTCTGTCTATTTAAGGCCACCCCACAGAGACGATCACCCCTCTCTGTACCTGTGTTGCCCGCTCTGTGTATCTTGGTGATATCTGTCTGCTTATATGTCTGTCTATAATTTTTTCTGGTTAGATTTTATGTCGCTATTTCATTATACCTGATGATGATTGCTTGTGTTGCAATCGAAACGTCGTATGCTATTATTTAATTTATTATTTTTTCTTTATACGTGACTTTACCGAAAGAACCAAAGAATAATTCCTGCAGTCACGAAAGCTCCAAAGTTAAGATTTAACCACACCTTGCCAATGCGTTCTCCCCTCCACCAGATCCCACAGCTGCTGTACTCGTGACACACAGTGTCCTCCAACATCTGCCCTGATAGTCTCCAACTATCTGGTTTTATAATACAGATGCATAAAGCTCTAAAAATCAATTGTTACATACATTATTTAAGCGTGTAACACGAGTGTAAAAATCTACTATTGTGGATTGATGTATTTGTAATTGGTTCACATGAACTATGCTGCCATTGGAGGCACTACATTGATGTGTGTGAGAGAGTCAATTTTAAATGTATTGTGACATCTGTGCAAGCCCGGACGTGTGCCACATACCGGGTTGCAGTCTTCAATGCGGTAGAGCTGCTCCGGCGTGCAACGCAGCAGCACTGGCACCAGTATGTCATAGGGCACCCCGCCAACCTCGTGAATGGCTGCGGCCAGAGGCAGTCAACAGAGCGACGTTACCCACTTGTGTGAAGGCAACGTGACAGAGTCGTGCGAGCGTGGCACCCAGAGAGCGTGCACACAGCCGGTGATGCTGCAAACAGCGTTCATGATGCTCATCGCTACGACTTATGTGGTGGGGTTTTTGCGCCATGGCGCAGTGGAGGGAAAAGCGTGCTCGTGTGCACTCACAGTCGATGTTGTTCTGCAGCACGCGCAGGCATTGCTCGTACAGCGACATCATCTTGGGTAAGAAGGCCGTCTTGGTGCCCGAGTACACAGCCATCTTGCTGTTCAGGCGTTTCCCTGTGAAGCCATCCTCCAGTGGAGCCACAGAGCTCTGCAACACTGCACGAGACAACACGACACGGTGAACGCAACACGATGTTGAGAGTGACGGAACGTGATGACGACAACACGACGAGGCTGACAATACATGGGTGGCAACATAACGATAACATAAGGATTGGCATTTAGAGCGTGTTTAAATGCCTCCGCAACTCTCAATTATCCCAATGTCCAGCTGTGATTGTGTTTATATACAGCAATTCCTCGCCAACCACGGAATTCATGTATACAGAGTTTATTATTTGGATACCAATTTACCAAATGCACCTAGGAAATTTTGAAAATCCACGGGTAAGCAGGAGTCCGCAACACGCAATGACAAATTTTGCACGGCCATGGTTCTCCACTCCACTGCGCTACGCATAGCGCTTTGAAACTGATCAATTGTCCATCTGCTTTGTTGCGATTCTCGCAGCGCATAGACAGCGTCGCTACTCTTGCTGGCAGTGCTTCTAAAAGTGCTAAAGTGAACATAACTGCTGCTGGCCGGATCAACACCACTGATTCAGCCAGCAGCGCCACTGTGCTTGCCTCTGTGGCTGCCCACTCATCTGTCACTGGTCACCTGGAGGAAGAAGAGGAAGTTGGGCTGAGCCCCTTCTCCTAACTACCCCTTCCCCCATCATCGTCATAATCATGGACTTCTACCCTGAATATTAAAGGTATGTAAAGTTAATGTTTATTTATGTTTTATTATGTTAATATAGCTATGAGTCTTACCGTGGTCATGGTTCCCCAAACCCCTCCTGATATCCCATAGGCCCTGTACTTTACCAACCGCGGATTTGCCTACCACAACCTTTTCCAGTATACTAATAGCCTAGGGGACACCGTAATGGCAAGTGTCCCTGTGAGGCACAAGGAGAAACACCGCACCGGCTGCAAGTGGATACTAGTTTACCAGAAAGGAAGCGATGTTGCCATTTGCCTCTGCAAAGAATTTGCGAGGAATACTTCAAATTTGAACGATGATGCCAGCAAACATGGCCTACTCATCTTCGAATAACGTCAAAGGATATGCAACGTCCACTGTGAAGGAGACAGCGCGTGTACGTACGGTTAAACAGGTGCAGCAATAAGGTAAAAGGTCAAGGTGCAGTGCTTTAGGGTGACAATGGGGGATACACTATGATGACACGATGAGGGTGACACGATGAGGGTGACACGAGGGTGACACGAGGGGGGTGGCACGACATTACCTTTCTTCTTTTGTGGTGAGAGCTCAAGGAGCTCTGCCGAGGGCAGGGGCCGGTAGTTCGGTTGAATGAGGGGCAGCGTGATGTCCGGAAGCGAGGGCACCACCTCGTACTTGTGCTGGAGGCAGAGAGGGAGCTCTAAACCACAAGGCCCATGGTCTTCGTGACCTGCTGCTTACCACTTAACAAGTGACTGGAGGGAAACCTGTTACATCCCGTGCATTTTCCTGCATCTCTCATCTCGTTTCCACTGTCTCAGAACTTAAAATATTTTCACTTTTCTTGACTGTCCTCATAACGTTTCCCGCATGTATAAAAATAGTATTCTGCAGCAATTGACTTTTTTGAAATGTCCTTGCTGCCCACGACATAACCCCACAGCACATGACACCTGTTATGCAAGGTGGCCGCCCATCCAAGCACTCTCCGGGCTCAACCCTGCGTGCCTTCCGAGATCGGACAAGATCAGGATGCTTTTCGGGTGATATAGTTATGTGGGAGGAACTGATGGCATTAAATGCTGATTTGTATAGAAGGAAATTGTGCTTTTCTAGTAAGTTAGACTGTGGATTCAGTGTACCCGTACACAAATATACTCACTTTTGTGGAATTTATGGATGACACAGTACTCAAACAGTAGTGGTAACAAGTTTGCAATGAATGTAAAACTCTTCTAAAGGCTTTACCCGAACAGCTGAGGTTACCTCAGGTACTGTTTAAATGTGCCTCAGAACAGCAGCCATCTGGTATATGTACATAATGTCAGCATAGATGTACATAATTATTACCTTGATTATCCAGGAAAGCCTTACTGTCTATAGAGTATTTTTTCAGCAGAGTCCTGTTGTGTTTTTACAGTAGGAGGTGATGACTGCTATGTGTTTACCAATTAAGTGATTTGCGATACAATTTTTTATTCAACAAATTTGGACCTAGACTCGAGCACACAAGGGCATACTCTTCGAATGTCACTGTATCTTTAATATCCACTGTGAAACCGACGGCGCATGTTTACACCAGCAGTATAAAACAGGGCGCCCTGCTGGATTAAAAACGCGAACCTCTGCAGGAAATGGTACACGTCCTGCCGCTGGGCCAAGCTGCTAACCTCGTCTCTCGTGTTCGAGGGGCTCTGTGTTAAATAGAGCACGCTGACATCCAGCAGCTACCGCACCTTCGTATTACTGTACAGGCCGGCCTGGAGGAGAAACCACTCAGACCCTTGCAGACCCTGTGGCTTCCTCCCAGACTCTTGCAGGCTCCAGGGATACCTCCGAATCCTGTGCCTTGACCATCTGACTACACTGTGCTCAGCGAGTGTGTTAGTGCACGAGGTACGGCCGTGTGCATGGGAATACTTGCCTTATTGGATCTGGAGGCACAGGAGGGGTTCTCGAGTCTCCGCTGACCTTCCGAGTTTGCTGGCTGTTTCCTCGATGCCCTTTCAGGCACTGGCTCCACACACTCCGCACTGCCATCCCCCTTCGCTCGGTCCACTGCCTCTGCTGCCGGCGCCATGCTGCGCCACAGTTTCTCACCAACCGGCTCCTCATTACATCTTTTTTTCTTTTTCTTCTGTGGCTGGTCGTAGCTGAGGTAGGACTCAAAGGGCATGGTGGGACTGTCAAAGTCATCATCGCTCAGCAGAGAGCCCTTGGAATGTCTCGGAGCCACTTGCCTCTCAGGCTTCATCTTACTTTCCTTTCGAGAATCTCTGCTGCTGAACTCGGCTCTGGTGCTGGGAATGTCTGTTTGCTGCTCAGTCCTGCTTGCCTTGTGTTTTGTTCTCCCATCCCCAGACGTGTGTTTCTGCTTTTGTGTGCTCTTTCCCAGTGATGGCGTGGGAAGCTCGGATTTTTCTGTCAAGTCCTCAGAGCTGTTTGATTTTGACGTGGTGTGGAGTCCCTCTCTGGACACTGTCTTTACGGTCCTCATGTCGCACGCACCGCCCTTGTTCGCATGTCGCTTGTGGACGATATTGTTGTGGGCCGCGTGATCCTGACGCACAAAGCTTTGTGGAGGCGCTCTGTCTTCCATGTCCGAGTCCCCGTCGCCCTCCTGGGAATACTTGCCACTTGGAGCGTTCTCCGCTGTGTACTCGGGATACCGCTGGTCTCTCCTGCCATGCTCCACACTCCTGTTTCACAAAAGAATATGAGATATGTTTTATGCGATTGAGCTCACTTGAGCTCAGCATTTGTGATGGCATCTGCTGTTTCAAGACCAATGAAAAATTGACAGCAGTGTCCTGTGAACCAGTGCGCACAAGCGCTCACCTGGTTCTCCAGCGCTCACATTGCCTCTCAGGAAGAGTACCCACCGATGGGAGATGGGACGGGGCGCACATTCATCCTGGGGCACCAGCTTCTTCCATTCCAGGACCAGCGCTCGTGCCACGTCACCCACGCGTGGATCTTTACGCAGAGAGTTCACCGATTTTCCAACGCCCGTTTCCTGTGCGCAATTACATCATTGATTATTCACATGCTTGTGTACAAGAAAACCTTCCAATGAGTCTCAAGATTTATTTTCAGGAGGGTCCTGTCAAATGTTCAAAGTAGGGGGCGATGATTGCTTTGCGTTTCAAAATTAATTAATTTGCAAATGTTTTTTTCAAAGTTAGCGAATTTGAAACGTGACGTCACAAAATCTTTAACATCCACTTTGAAGCAGAAAGCTACTTTTTTTGCTGAATACACCAGTGGTATTTAGAGGGAGGCCTGCCAGATTATAACCACATACCTCTACAAGTGGGGAACACGTTACCACTGGGCTGTCGCCGCCTATTTTCCGTGTGGCCATGACATGAACAGTGTGCTCCATGTTACTACTAGATGCAGTCTCTTATCAAGTTTACAATTCCCTTTTGCATTCGGGTCATTCACATGCAGTATTCAAATAAAAGTTATTTGAAAAACCAATAAAGTGGATACAAATTTACCCATCCCATTAAGAAACATAAAACATATTACACATCCTATCAAGAAACTAAAATGTATTTGTCCATTTTATTTCGGAGAAAAACAAATTTAGAATTCAATACGTTGGAGAAACATTCATGGAAATGAAATAACAGTGACTGAGTGAAATGTTCCAAATGTAAAAACAAGTCCTGTCAATCTGAAAACAGTAATTTGTCATCTTTACAACGGCCTACATTTTGGCTACAAAATTGAGTCTCCCAATCTTCACAAGGGAAACACAAAATAAACGTGCGCTTTTTAGAGTGGACGTAAGGACGGAAACCTACCGCCAAAATCTCAACCGTGACTGGCAAAGCGTGCAGTTTCTTCAAAATCTTTAAAACCTGGAATGCAGCAACAGCGGTGACTGCAGGTTATCGCACGACGTTGTGAGCCCACACAAGCCACCACCACCACCCTCAAGTCTTAGACATCACTCGGCGAAGGACATTGAAGAGGTGAAGAGGTATGTGAAGATGGGGGAGAAGGGGTAATGAATAGGAGGCTGCCCAGAAACTCACGGGATGACAAGAGACCACTGGGACACCCATACCCACCCGTTCACCACCATCACACCCTCACCACCGCATGACACCTCACCGACTCCTCAACCCGCCCAGAGGTGACGCGGCCGAGCAGGTGTCACGGTCGCCGTTTGCAGCCGAGGGTCACGGTGCGAATCCTGCGGCCGCCCTGATTACAACTTGGGGTGCAGTAACTGTGGCAATAGGCACAGCGCACTAACAGAACCCCTAACGTCATTCGCGATAGGCCATTGTGTGCCGATGTCTGGGTTCACATTTGGTTAAGTTCGAAACATTACTCAATTGAATACATAGCGGCAATTATCGCCCTCTACTGGCAGGCTGATACCCCACGATCATGATTGTAAACGAGACTATCCTGGTTTCTCCAGTTCTCACTCGGTTAAATAAAATCAACTTGAACTCCACTCCTTCACCTAACCACTCACCTCACCACCCCTTTGCTTCACCCCTTCGTCTCACCACCCTCAACTCGACATTTCACTCCACCACCTCACCACCAGCCTCGCCACCACCCTCACCTTGTCCCCATGCTTCTCGCGCTGGAGGCGGCCCTGGAGGATCGCCACCTCGTCGTACACGGAGGCCATGACACCCGCACACAGCCGCCCCGGAAGAGAATGCCGCGGGTGCGAGGGGGGGTCAAGTGGCGGAAGGGGGCGGGGCTTTGTGAGGGGCGGGGCTGCGGGAGGAGGCGGGGGGAGGAGACGCCACTTCCGGAACATGACGCGTTTCCACGACCACTTTGTCACCAGACCCGAGCCGTGCCGGTACTGTTTCGGTTTCGAACCATCATCACCAGTCATGATCAATCCCTTGACAAAGGACGGTTTGCCTGAGTTAACCAAGTCGGATTGCTCAGCGGCGAGTCCAAATCCTGTTTGGGTGGTGGACTCAGCCCATCAGGGGTGATACAATTCGCACTTTGCGGGGAAGTCAACATAACTGTACTGTAGTCCTATGGATTAACTTGTCCCCGCCGTAAGCATGTAGAATCTTCACCAGTGGCTCAGGACTTAAACTTATGGGCACTGCTCCATGCCCATGTGAACAGCTCATTCCAATCTGTACCTCCACATCATCGCATCCTGCCTGCCTGCCTACCCCAAGAGGGCAATATCATTTTCATATTTGGAATTCACATTAGTATACATTACACATCTGGCTACGCTGTAGAATTGGATGGCAAGGGCTAAAACAAATCACTCAAATAAAACTATCTTTCAAATTGTATCAGAAACATGTTTTCATAGGTTCAGGGCCATTTGCAAGTCCCCTCTTGAGAGCTTATCTAACCCAAATGAGTTTACAGTTGGGCCCAAGATGCATCGTAAGTGGATTACGGTCACGATACCATTGACCTCACATAGTGCAATGTGCCGGCAACATTTCATAATTTTGCATTTAATAAAAATTTGTTAATTTCAAACATTAATTATTTAAGTGTCTGTTAATAACTACAAACAGGTAACTCTACATGTCAATTTTAAAACTGTTCATCAGGAAACATTCGAAAATCGTATTATCTTCATTCAGGTCCCAAGGTGTGGTCTCCAAATCGTAAAACCCACTCTCTGGCCAGTTATGAAGGGCCATGGCCTATTATTTATTTTAAGGCAGTGTCATTGACACAAGTGTAGAGTTGTTGGTAGGAATTGGGTGCTCCACCCTCGAAAAGACAGCAATAAAGTAAATACAGTAGCACCCCGGTTTACATTGGGCACGCGTTCTGAAATGTGCAACGAATATCAAAACGTAAATGAAAGCAATTTCCAGGGTAGGTAGAAGTGCATGCGGAGGTGACGGATATGATAAAGGACGGATGCTGTTAGCGACATGTGAGTTGAGGCAATGCAAATCAGGTAGCGGTATTAGTGACGTATTTGCAAAATGACGTAAAAAGGGGAGACGTAAATCAGAGTATCACTGCATTACAACTTCGGATGAATGTTGACTTTGTCTATCAAAACATTGTTCAAGGCTTGGGCAAAGAAAGCCAAGCATCTTCGATGTTCCTTTGCCATAATAGTAACATTTTGTATAGCCATTCTGAAATAGGTGAGATGATGTTGTTTAAAGCAAGCATAAAGAACACCATTGTTAAACATGGGGAGGAGCCGAGGTTGCCCCATTCAGGTGCTTGTGTGAAGTGGGAGGCAGGCAGTGCAAAAGATGATATGTGGCATACCGCAGAGGCTCAGACAGGCATTGCTTCCTGGATAGACGTGGACGTCAAAGACAACTCGGTGGCAGGGATTTTTAAAATTGTATTTATTAAATGCTTCTGTTGAACAAAAGTTTTTAAGCAATCAGAATAAACCAAGTGTACAACCAGCAGTCGACGAGCCAGAGAAAGGGCCCAACCAAATACGACCTGCACATGTGGGAACTGCTTTAGAGCACTATCTGGACCGCTCCCAATCACTTACACGCATGCCACGATGTACTCTGGCACCAGAGCCCTCCCAGTTATGGATGGAATCTGTTTTCTGAAGACTCAACAATCTGGGAGTCGTCCTTCCTGACAATGAGAGCCAGATACTGCAGGAGAGGATGTCGCACACAGGAACTGGTGGTGAGAGGACGGACGCACATGGACATAGCACGCCTCCAGCGCGCCAGCACAAATACAACAGCACGGTTTCTGTCAAACACCGTCAGTTGTAAAAATTAAAATAAAATAAAAAGATCAGTTGTCTAAAGTAAAACTGTTTATAAACAAGCGACGCCATGTTAACTAACATTTCAAATATTGCACATATTTTAGGAATGGAAACTAAACGGTGCGGACAGGGTAGCATGAGAAACAAAAAGTTAAGGCTAAGATGGCCGATGCATCAAGTTCGCAACTGTACAAGTGTAACCTGCACCACGGGACCATCAGCCCCATTTGAGTGTGAACCCCTTTGGTCCCTTACCTCGAACAATGACCTCAACACGGCTCAGAAATTACACGCAATACAAGGCCTGCCCATACATGCAGTTTCCCTTTAAATATATTACAATTCTGCACAAACACACGCAACCTATCTGGCTGCCGCATGGCATATGGAGTAAAAGCTTCGGCGCCTAGAGATTTGCAAGTCTTGTCAGTGAGGCTTTCCCGTTGGTGCTAAAGGCCAACAACGATTGCAAGGTTGTGTCTCTACCTTACCAAGCCTGACCTCTGCCTTGTATCCCTGGTCTTACCGTGGGTACATCCATGTCAATAGTTTTGAAATACATTTTAAGCAGCAGTGACTTTTTTCTCAGCAACCTAACGTGGCTGTCTTCATAATATCCTATTAAAGGGCAAAGAAAATTGACATGAGGAACAGTGCAATTACCCTGGCTGACATCCCCTCCAAACGCACAAGGTACTGTCCTTCCCACCTCACGCTATTTCTTCACCAGCCTCACATGACCCTTGCACTCTTACTATGCCATTCCGAATTGAGATTTCCTCTGGGCAGTTCAACTCCAGCCTTTGCCAAATTATTTTGTTTGCCCACAAGTCTTCATTTGCAACTTGTGTCTTGTACGGGATAACATGAGAAAGAAAACCGAAACGTGTTATACCTGTTTAATAATTCAGATCCTTATTTATCATAACTTGCCATAAAGCACAAATCAGTGCAACAGTTTGTGCCACTAAGAGCACGCTGGTGCTGCTGGTAGCCAAAAGAAAGCATCAGGCCCATCTTAACAGATTTTAAATGGTTGTCAGGTCAGCCAGCGAGCAAACAAGCTATTGTGTAAATAGACCAGACAATGGGTGACCCAGGCCATGGGCGCTTCATATGTCAGTGTGGATGACCGTGCGTTTGGTCTCGTTCGCTCCGTGCGTCACCGCCGCCAGCCGGGGACTCGGCCCTGCTGGGGGGTCACGCGAGATGGCCCCGGCTGGGGCTTGGGAGGCTGCTGGCCCCGGGTCACTGCAGACAGGTGCTGCAGTGAGGCCGTGAGGGCTGTTTAGCTGTGCCACTGACTCTTTAGGTGGCCCCAGTGGAATAGAGGGGCTTGCCAGAGTGAGAGAAGGGCTGGACGGCCCACTCACCGTGCTTGTGGCACAGGGCCCCATTACAGTGGGCGAGGGCCCCGGCTGGCCATACACAGCACCCATCTGGGCTCCGACGGAAGGGCAACCCTCCAGACGGTCGCTCTCCACCTGCGTAAGTGGCTGGCTATTGGTGGGAGCTGGCGCCATATAACGTGGCGTGGCGTGCGTCTCAGCGCTGTTATTGTGGCTGCTGCCGGTAGTCTTCGTGCTCTCGCGATCAGAGAACTCTGAAAAGTGGCTGGAGTGCGAGTCTGCAACCGATGGCATGGAGTCACTGAGGGACGGGGAGTCCAGCTCGCTGGAGTGCACGCTGCCTCGTTCCAGCAGCTGTGTATCCATGTCTTCACGAACCTCCTGGGAACCAAGGACACAAGTGCATACACGTGTGATCATCAACGCACGCAACAACAATAACAATCGCCATTCGCCACTAAGTGGCGGTGACGTCACCACGGCACTTCTGCCAGGCCAGGTGCACTCCGAAGCTGAATATTTCAAACCAGCGCAGATGTTCCATTAGAGGGTCAACGTTTCACAAGCAAAGAGAAGGGAGGGCATGACTGTGGCCAAGAAGCTTCCACAGTGTTACGCAGCTGACGCGCACACACACTCAAACGTATACATGATGACCAACCCAAATGCAGGGTAATGCAGCAAGAGTCGCCACGATGTAAATAGCGTTGTTGTCCTAGTAGCGAATAACAGCAGGGAAAATGTGTGTAATGGCACCACCCATTACCTTGATCTTCATGCTGGCCTTGCGCTTGCTGCTGGCCTTTCCCTTCTTGCTCAGGCCACACTCTTTCATGCGCTTTCCTCCCTTGTACTTCGTGTCAGGAGGGCCTCTAGCGGGGGCCCCCGCGAACCCCACATCCTCCGTGTTGCCACTGCTTCCACTGCCGTGCCTTGGCTTGCTTGGGCGAGTCTCGATGTCAACCTGCACCTCAATGTTGGTGCCATCCCTGCTGGGCAGAGCGATGTGTTACAAGCGAAAGAACCCTCGCAACAAAGGCAAGCGCAATGTGTGCACATGGGTGAGGCTGCCTGCCTGTCTCGAGCATAGTAGGGGCCGACAATGGAGCCGGCATTGGCTTGGGTGCTGGCGTTGTCGCTCGCAGCCGCCAGGCTCACAGTGGCCGACTCGCCGCTCAAGCTGCAGCGCTCCTTGGCTACGTCGGCATGAACCTCCAGCCTGCACACCATCATCAACACCACCACCGTTACCGTGCGTTACATCCAGCGCAGCGTCGCCTGGTAATTTACCAAGGAACGTTAAGATCCTCTTCGCAAGCCAGTAAGCACGTACCTGCTATAGCAGCTGCCTGTAATGGACGTCCCTGCCAGGGCCATGGTGCTGGCAGTCTCGCTCACGTTGTCACGGATCACCCCCGCACGCTCCATGTGACTCCCACTGGCGCTCAGGCTGGCTGTCAGGCCACCCACACTGCTCTCTCCGATGCTGGGGTTCGTCACGCTGTGCCGTGCCTCGGCCACCGACGCGGTGTCTGCCATTCCAGCACAAGGGCACTTCAGTTTCTCCAGGCACCCATTCGTTGCCGCTCCAATACGTAAGACACAAACACTACAGATACATGCACATTGTGGTACAGAGTTGCTCCACTTCACGCGTACGCAATGTGTGTGCCCCTCACCTCCTACTGTGTTGGTGCCCCCCATGTTGACGTCGTGGTCATCGTCAAACTCGATGCGGACGCCTCTACCGTTGCCGGTGGAGACGCCGCATCCCCCACTGCGGCACAGCGACACGGGCACCACCCCGTACACGTACGCCAGCATAATGGGAACCCCGATTCCTGGCACAGCGCAGACGGGCACCAGTGTCAGCATGGAGCTTCAGTGGGCAAGAGTATAGCTGAGCCTCACGGTTATACAATCAGTGACTGGGGCTAGAGGTTAGAGATATATGCACACCAAAAGTCAAGGTTATGGTCGGAGGGTTCACGGAAATATATGGTTACGGTTAAGTCAGTGATTTCCTCCTCAAATTGAGCATCTAGGTGAAGATCATCCTCCACTTATTGTTGAACCAGTGGTGTAAATTCCTATGTTGGGGATGAGTCTCCACAAGACAACCACTTTTGCCTTCTCCAAAGTGGTATTTTTTTTCTCGACCCTAAAGGAATGATTGGCCGAGTCAATCCCCAGCCAGGATATCAACTCACAAACTTTTGATTGTGAGCCGCTGCTCTGCCACTGAGCCACCTGGCCGACAATAAGGCTAAACATAAATAAACAAGGCCAGAGCATTAAAGGGATTAGATTGTATGGTAAATGGCTGTGATGTTATTTTGGAATGAAACTCGAGTGTAGAATATGTTGTGATATTGGTTAAGATGTAAGGGTTTGGGATTGCAGTGGACAGGTAAGATATAGTATGACATATTCATTTTCTGTCAACAAGAAGGGTTAAGAACAAGAAGGCATCCCCAGTTTTCCCAGCCTCCCACTTCCAGCCCCGCCCACTCCCCCCCCCTCGCCTCACGTCCACGTCCTCCCCCCCTAGCGCTCATGCAGCGCCCCCCTCCCCCTACCCCCCCCTCTCCCCCCTTTCTTACCTATATAACCTCTTGCCACGGCAGCTCTCTCTCACACTTCAGCAAATTTTTATTACTGTGGTTTTCCCACCTGATGATGATTGCTTGTGTTGCAATCGAAACGTCGTGATTTGTTTTATTTTATTTCTAACTACGTGACTTTACCGAAAGAACCAAAGAGTATGTAAAGAAGGGTTAAGGTTGTCATTGATTGGAAACGAGAGTTGCACGTACCAACTGTGACAGCAGCTATGACGGGCGAAACGATGACAGACAGCGCCACGCCACCTGTGATGGCGAGGTTCCGACGATGTCTGGAGACGTTCTTGCCTTCGAGCCGCCGGTGAATCTGCTTGAACGGATTCAGAGAGGACAACTTGAATCTTGAAATACGCGCATCACTCCCATCATTTGCCTATTCCACTGCATTATGCATATCATGCCGTACCCCCTGCTATAACACATTCATCCTTGTACATGTCCTAATTAACTATTATGAGTAAGGCGGAATGGTGAGTGAACGGGTAGGTAAGAGGAAGGGTGGTTGGGTGGATGTGTGGGTATGTGAATGGTATCGTGATTGAGGGGAGCAACAGTGTAACGGCAAGCACACTGCGCTATGAACCCGGTGACCCGAGTTCGATTCCCGTTTACGGCCAACACCAGTGACGATTATCTGAACCAGTCCCGGGCCTTCCCTAGGTTGACTCGGCCTCAAATGAGTACCTGGTGTGATGTATAAACATCACCACTCGGAAGACAAAGGCGGCGAGGCGTGGTATTGGTCACCCACCCCTTGTGTGCTGTGCTGGCCTTCATAGGTGCTCATTAATAGCACTTGCCCCAACAGTCTGTTAAGGCTATACGGGAGATGTTTGTCTTTTGATATTGTGATTAAATAATTGGGTGGGTGAGTAGTTGGGTAATTGAGGGCGAGGGTGGTTGAGTGTGTGGGTAAATATGTGGGTGTGAGCATGTGCGATTGAGTGGATGGTGTGCGCAAAAGTGAATGATTGGGTCGAGTTCGTGGGTAATTGTCCGAGCGGGTGGATGAACGAGTTGGTCACCTTCCTCCCAACGTAGACAGGGATGCCGATTATCATGGCGGGCACGGCAACGCCGGCGATGAGGGCGATGCCAACAGGGGCACCCACTAGGGTGCCCAGCTGCCACAGAATCTTTTTCTTGCGACTCCAAGGCTTCTTTCCCCAAAACGTGCAGCCCGAGGGGCTATGCTCCACCAGACACAGAAATGCATCCAAGTCAAAACTCTCAGTAACTGTTAACATTTACGGGAGACCTTTGAATATCGCAGGTTTATCATTCGCGGTTTATCGTTCACGGTTTCGACCTATCACGGGCAACCTCTTTGTATACCAATTTAGCTATCGCGGGAATTAGTTTTGGCCTTTCGTGAGTATACTGTAGGGTCCAAAGTCCCCCATATAGCCTATTAACAGACTGTTGGGGCAAGTGCTGCGAGTCGACCTTGGGGAGGCCCAGGACCGATTCAGATAATGGTCACTGGTGTTGGGCGTGAGAGGGAATTGAACTTGGGTAGCCGGTTCGCAGCGCGCTAACTATAGCACTATAGTACGAACACACACCTGTTTTAGATTATCATCACCGGTAAGTGCAGCATTTATTCATTATTTATACTGTTTATTGTCTAGGAATCTTTTTTGCATAGGGTTTTTACATGTTTATTATAATTACTTCGTTTTTTTGTGTATTTGGCATACAGAACAGTACTTATTTAAATTGTCACGTGTCTATTTTTGGTTGCTGTGTACCTAACCTTATTACTAAAGGATTAAGTATTGAACATCGCGGATGTAGTAATATCGCGGATGTAGTAGTAGATGTAGTAACATCGCGGACGTAGTAACATCGTAGTAGTAACATCGCGGACGTAGTAACATCGCGGACGTAGTAACATCGCGGACGTAGTAACATCGCAGATGTAGTAACATCGCAGATGTAGTAACATCGTAGTAGTACTAGTGACATCGCGGACGTAGTAACATCGCGGATGTAGTAACATCGCGGACGTAGTAACATCGCAGCTGTAGTACATTGTAGTAGTAGTAGTGACATGGCGGACGTAGTAACATCGCGGATATCACGGTGTAATGCCGGCTCTAGAGGCACGGCGTGGGGTGTAGCGACATCGCGGGCACCACGTACATGTGGGTGCAGTACCGGCCCTAGAGGGGCTCGGTGAGCGCTGACTGACAATGCTAGATGGCACAACGCTCTGCGTGCAGTGCCGACCCCTACAGGATGCGGTGTCAGGGTGCCGGTCAAGGGAATGTGGTTACTATAGGCCACGGTTGACCCTAGAGGACACGTGACTGGTAAAGTCTACACAGGGGCCCCAGGTGGGGGCTAGGGGTGGTCACGTGTCAGGGTCGAGATCCTGCTCGAGGGTTCGAGAAGGTGGTCGTGGCTAAGGGCGGAGCCAGCCATGCCACAGAAGATAGAAGCCGGGTCCCCGAGAGGGACCGGCCGTTGTTGTTCATCCTGAAGAATCTCCATTCCACGTCCTACAAGAGTCACCAACACGTGGACCGGGACCCAAGCTAGGGTCCGGTCCGTCATAGCTAACTCCAGTGTAATTAGTGCAGTTAGCCTGGTGGTCCACCACCAGAGGTTGTTATCTTGTTAAGGGGCAGTACCCCATGTGTTGGTATCAATAAATGTGTTGCCTCCAAGAAGTACATCTGCAACTCAATTGAACTCACTACATATGTAAAATACTAGAAATATACAAATTGCTTTATCATCAGCTATGGTCAATCCACAGCAGAATGAAAGCCACCCCAAGCTGACGCCACCTTTCATCATCATGCGCTACAACCACCCACCAGAGCCCGCACATTAACTGATTTCATCGCTTCATCGCTCCATCTGCTCAGTTTACGTTCTCTTGGACGCATTCCATTCCGTAGTTAGCGCTCCGTTATTCTAGACCATCGTCCAATGTCCCTTCTCGCTGCGAAGTGTCTTGCCCATGCCAATTTACTTTTCTAAATAGTCTGCTTGATGTCATTGAAATGTCTCCCAATGTGATATGAAGACTGCATATCTCCACGCTTCGTTGTGCACAATCCGGTTTTGTTCTATATTTTTTGTTAATGACCATGTTTCTTAACCACATAGCACAACAGGAACACAATTATTACAAATTACTTTCTAATATAGCTGAATGGTTTTAAATGTGCTTCCAAAGGAGAGTAACACATGACAGTCTGTTGAAATTCCACATGCCTGTGGTAGGGGGCAGTTTTACCACAGGAACACCCTTTGAATAAACGCCAATATTCTTATGGACAGTCACAAACTTAATGGATGTCGGAAGCCAACCACTTGTAGGGAGAATTTCAGAATCAAGAGTTGTAAGCACAACTGTTTACCTGAGGTAGTGCAGATCAGAGATTTCCTTCATGCAGAGCCAGCAGAACTCACACCCACACACGGCACACGTCATATGGTTACAGCTGCCGTCGTTCATCTTCATGATGTAAGCGGCACAACGCGGGCATGGTTTGATGTCATCCGCTGCAACCACACACACGTGTGTACGTCAAAAACTGCTCCACACGCACACCACCTCACACGTACGTCACACACCAACCTACATACACACCACACTGCCCCATGTACACACACTTAAAATACAAAGATCCCTCATATAGCCTTGACACTTTTGGACAAGTGCTGTTCGCGAGCACCTATTAAGGCCACACACGGCGAGAGGGTGTGTGGGAAGCACCACTCCCGGCCGCCTTTGCCTCCCTAGCGGCGATGTTTACACACCGCACTTAGTATTCATTTCAGGCGGAATTGACCAGGAGGAGGCCCAGAACCGGTTGAGATAATCGTCACTGGTGTTGGACGTGAGCGGGAATCGAACCTGGGTTGCCGGATTCGTAGCACAGCATGCTAACCGTGACACCACTGCTTCTCACACATCCCACACGACTTTACATGCACAAACGTACACACCACTCCATATGCACATACATCACACACTACTCCACACGCATACATTGTCCCACGCACACATTAACCCAGACACATGTCGCACACCACCCCACCCACTGCGCACATCATACAAATGTATGTTAACTTATAATCATATGCATTTTGTATACTTCATGACATTTAGTCACATTTTTGTACCAATTGAAATATTTGTAATATTGAGCATCAACCAGCTAGGGAGGAGTTTTCAGTATCAGAAATATCACTGGATTCATGAGGACACCAGGAATACCACTCTCTCAAATGTTCACACACACAGGTTAGCACAAGCAAGACATGACAGCTCTGACAATACAAACACCACCAAACAACTCCAGGAAATGGCAGAGCGTTTGCTGGCCCACAGAGCAATACGGCTCCGGCAAAGGTCTCACCATGAGCGCCATCCTGGCTGTAGCTGGCGCTGGCTGACTGAATGGAGCGCAAGCGCAGTGTGGCAGACCGCTGCTGGCGTGCGGCATCACATGTCTGGTTGGGGTGCCACATGGCTTTGCAGTGATAGCAGAACTCGGTGCCACAGCCCTCGCGCTCACAAGTTAGCTTTGGGCAGCTTGCACAGCCTGCAGCAATCACCGCAAACCTAGAAGAGGCACAACACAACCGTGCTTGCATTTTTGCGGCCATTTCAGTGACAATGCTAAACTTAAAGCACATGTTATCCCTATCACTAGGCTCTGGTAGTCCCTCACGAACTTATGCATTCCTGTATCGTTTCAGTCATCAAAAGTGGGTCCCTTCACAGTTCTTATTCTCAAACACTGCTATTACACTTGTTTACCTAAGAAAGTATCGCCGAGTATCGAGACTCAGTTGGAGAGTACTGCTAAGTTTATGCAGTAGGGGGTGATTTCCATATTTTCCAATTAGGTAATTTGAGAAATATTTCGAATTTGAAAATTTGGACTATGATACCGTTACAATGGCCTGCACTTATTCGAATTACGCCACAGCATTTTTAATGTCCACTGTGCATAGTATGTTATGGTTAATGTACTCGACAGTATGAACTAGGCCAATTTGCTGGATGCGAATTACGAACCTCTGCAACAAGTCGAGAATGTGCAGCTGCTGGGCCATGTTAATTATAGACACACATTTTAACCTAAAACACAAATTTACTTGAATCTGAAGCTACTAATATGCACTCCTAGATTATTGAATTAAGACGACTGCAGGAGATGGATTTCAATTGAATTTTAAGTCAGCACATTTCACTTAGACAGCTCTCATCAAAAGGATTTGTATGCAACTAAAAGCTTTAAAATCTGTACCTAACCGTACGAGCACAAAGTGCAATTTCTTTCAAAAAATAAACCTCACATTCGTCAACGCCATGGCCTTAAAAATAAAAAATATATATAATAGGCGACGTTTTGGGTAACGGCCCTTCTTATCGCAAATTCAGAGTACTTATTTTGTTAATTGCAACAGCCACTGCAGCATCATAACATTTTATTTTCTTGAATAATTGTATGGTTATTTTCAACATTTAGACATTATTCCAGACACAAATTTTGTATGTGTTCATCTTCTTGGTTCTTTCGGTAAAGTCACGTAGAAGGGAAGTAATAAAATAATAAAAATAAAACATAATAAAACAATTCTCACGACGTTTCGGCCACAACGCAAGCAGCCGTCCTCAGGCGAAGAATGAAGCACCACCAAGCTTGGAGCGTATATTTAAGCTGGGTTAGAGGGGGGGAGGTGGGAAGAAGAGCGCCTAAACAAAATAATTTGCATATCAAGAGGAATTCAGCATATGGAAAATGCGTAGGAGGTGGGCGGGGGGGGAGTTCCAAATCAATACTATGCCCGTGCATTATGCAGGATTAGCAGCATCAAAGGGGGGGGGAGGGGGTAGCATTAACAAAGGAAAGGAATGTTAATAGTATGTAGCTGCAGTTACTAAACAACCACGTAAAAAACTAAAGTATAAACTGCATAACAAACTAAAGTATAAACTACATAGCATCATCAGTATACTTACTATACTCTACAATAAGTTGAGTTACTAACAGTAAGTAATACATAAAAAATTTTCTACGTTGTAAAAAATTATATAATATGCTTCCATCTAAACTTTATTCTCTTACATCACACGCGTCTATACCGTACTATATACTGCCATAGGCAAACCCAACATTAAATTACATACTGTATTGCTATAAACCACCCTATACCTTATACATTTTAATATAACACTATGTATTATTCTACCCACCCTAATGTGTATCAAAATGGTTTATTACGTCCTTCCAGTGATTGCTAAGCCAGAATCCATCTTCTCGGTTAAAATTGTCTCTGTGTTTGTATATGTGGATCGCCTCATGAACGAATCTCTCATGATAGCCAGATGGCTTGCAGAGAACCTCTGTCTTGGAGAAGTCAATGTCATGTGAGCCCACTGAGTTGTAACAGTGATCTGCCACGGCTGAAGTGTTTGTCCTACCGTGTTTCAGGTCAGCTTTATGTTCACGGATGCGGTCCGAGACATGTCGTTTGGTTTCCCCAATGTAACTGCTACCACAGAGGCAACTTAGTTTGTAGACACCAGGGTACTGTATGTCTGGAACCACATCTTTTACAGACGGTACCAGATCACGGATTTTATGTACTGTGTTGAATCGGACCTGGATCTTGTGTTTAATCAGGATTTTGGAGATCTTTTTTGTGACCCCAGCAATGTAGGGTAAGGTGATGGTCTTGAAAGGCTCCTCAACAGGATCCTTCTTGATGGTTGGAGTGATGACTTTGCGGATTGTGTAGTCGGAGTAACCATTAGCCTTAAGAGCTTGGCGTACGTATTTGAGTTCACTGGAAATGTATTCATGGTCGGAGATGCATTGGGCTCTATGATATAGAGTCTTGATGAGGGAATTCTTCTGGGATGGATGGTGGTGGGAATCCGGTTTTAGATAAGCATCCGTGTGGGTGGCTTTCCTGTAGACAGAGTGGCTCATTGAACCATCAGGTCTCCTTTTGATTAGGACATCCAAAAAGGGGTAGCTTGCCATCATTTTCGACTTCCATGGTGAATCTGATGGCTGGGTGTATGGAATTGATGTGGTCGAGAAATTGGTCTAGAGCAAACCTGATGGTTCAATGAGCCACTCTGTCTACAGGAAAGCCACCCACACGGATGCTTATCTAAAACCGGATTCCCACCACCATCCATCCCAGAAGAATTCCCTCATCAAGACTCTATATCATAGAGCCCAATGCATCTCCGACCATGAACACATTTCCAGTGAACTCAAATACGTACGCCAAGCTCTTAAGGCTAATGGTTACTCCGACTACACAATCCGCAAAGCCATCACTCCAACCATCAAGAAGGATCCTGTTGAGGAGCCTTTCAAGACCATCACCTTACCCTACATTGCTGGGGTCACAAAAAATATCTCCAAAATCCTGATTAAACACAAGATCCAGGTCCGATTCAACACAGTACATAAAATCCGTGATCTGGTACCGTCTGTAAAAGATGTGGTTCCAGACATACAGTACCCTGGTGTCTACAAACTAAGTTTCCTCTGTGGTAGCAGTTACATTGGGGAAACCAAACGACATGTCTCGGACCGCATCCGTGAACATAAAGCTGACCTGAAACACGGTAGGACAAACACCTCAGCCGTGGGAGATCACTGTTACAACTCAGTGGGCTCACATGACATTGACTTCTCCAAGACAGAGGTTCTCTGCAAGCCATCTGGCTATCATGAGAGATTCGTTCATGAGGCGATCCACATATACAAACACAGAGACAATTTTAACCGAGAAGATGGATTCTGGCTTAGCAATCACTGGAAGGACGTAATAAACCATTTTGATACACATTAGGGTGGGTAGAATAATACATAGTGTTATATTAAAATGTATAAGGTATAGGGTGGTTTATAGCAATACAGTATGTAATTTAATGTTGGGTTTGCCTATGGCAGTATATAGTACGGTATAGACGCGTGTGATGTAAGAGATTAAAGTTTAGATGGAAGCATATTATATAATTTTTTACAACGTAGAACATTTTTTATGTATTACTTACTGTTAGTAACTCAACTTATTGTAGAGTATAGTAAGTATACTGATGATGCTATGTAGTTTATACTTTAGTTTGTTATGCAGTTTATACTTTAGTTTTTTACGTGGTTGTTTAGTAACTGCAGCTACATAATATTAACATTCCTTTCCTTTGTTAATGCTACCCCCTCCCCCCCCCCCCTTGATGCTGCTAATCCTGCATAATGCACGGGCATAGTATTGATTTGGAACCCCCCCCTGCCCACCTCCTACGCATTTTCCATATGCTGAATTCCTCTTGATATGCAAATTATTTTGTTTAGGCGCTCTTCTTCCCACCTCCCCACCTCTAACCCAGCTTAAATATACGCTCCAAGCTTGGTAGTGCTTGATTCTTCGCCTGAGGACGGCTGCTTGCGTTGTGGCCGAAACGTCGTGAGAATTGTTTTATTATGTTTTATTTTTATTATTTTATTACTTCCCTTCTACGTGACTTTACCGAAAGAACCAAGAAGATGAATCCCTGCAGTCACGAAAGCTTTAAATCGAAATTTGTATGTGTTGTAACTGTTTTATCTGATAAGCTGGTTGACTATATCAAAAAGCATTATACTTGTTCAGTCCAGATATTGAGTGCATGATGATAGAAATCGGTCGTTTCAAGGAACTCGAACACTTGCATTTTCCCATGGGACTGAAAAATAGACCAGTGCATCATGGCTTAAAAATGGAACAAAGATGCTGAACGTGAAAGCTGGGAGTTACCCAAGGCCAGATGCCAATAAGGGTACAAACCCAACAGTCCTGAACTCAATCACCGAACAATCCACTCACTCATTTACTAACCCAATCACTTGCCCACCAACATGCCGATTTACTCACCCTACCACCTAACTCAGCCAACCATTTGCACACTGACCCATCCACTGGTTATTCACCTACTACACCTCTAACACAATCCCTCTGACCAACCCACTTGCAACCCCTGCAATTCTTACCCACAGTCTGGTGCCGGGCACCACCGACAGTCCGGATCAGCAACGAGGAATCGCCGCAGCATGAACTCCTCGTACTTGCCCATGAGTGTGGCATCCGCCAGGATGCGCTGAATGTCGTGCGGGTTTAGGCGCTCGGCACATTCTGGGCAGCAGATATTGACGCGCGACTCGGAGATCTCGATGCGCAGATACTGTCGCAGGCAGTCGAGGCACGAGCGGTGAGGGCAGGAGAGCAGCTCTGGAAAGTGCTCGGCCGAACGGCGCACCAGACACAGCGGGCACTCCAGTGCATCCGAGCCGCTCACCCGCAAGGCACCAGCGCCGCTGCCCGACGCCAGCGGTGCATCTGACAACACGTCACCTGAGCTGGTGGACATCTTGTCGGCGGATACCATCTCCGAATGGATGCTCTCGATGCTGGCGATGACGCCCTCAGGCGCCGGGTCGGCAGGTCGTGGCTTGGGGCCTGGCTTGCGGCCGAAGAGGCCACGTAAGGAGAAGCGGCGCTGCTTGCGTGGCTTCACAATAGATGGTAGGCTAACTGAGGACGTGGCCGACTGGGAGTCACGCTCGGAACCCATCCTTTGCCGACGATACAGGCTCATATCGTGGGAAAAGAACCACCACTGTACAAGACACAGGATTGAATCACACGGCACACACACACACAGTTATTAACGCAACAGGATCAAGGGTCTAGATCACAAGATGTAGTAGCACGCTCAGTCCTTTTATCATAGATGTGATGTAAACCCACTTCTTCACACCAGACTAGTGTGGTATTATGATACTTAATTGTATCATATCTGTAGGTGTCTAGTAAATAAACACCTGTTTTCATAAGAAATATTGTTAATGTGCATAAAATATGCTAATTGTTAGCAAGCCAGATACATTTTTTTCATAAAAACTTCCACTGCCATCAATGATGCTCCCCTAAAGCAGACATGGACTTAGTTGAGCAACTTTGTCAAAGTAAATCTAAAATATGCTTGGATACCTATCACAGAAATAAACAACACTAGATCATTTTTCGATTTAAAGCTTTCGTGACTGCATGGATTCATCTTCTTGGTTCTTTCGGTAAAGTCACGTAGAAGGGAAGTAATAAAATAATAAAAATAAAACATAATAATGAGAATTGTTTTATTATGTTTTATTTTTATTATTTTATTACTTCCCTTCTACGTGACTTTATCGAAAGAACCAAGATGAACACTAGATCAGTGTTTGTCAAACTTTTTTGGCCAGCGGACCACTTGGCCAATGTAAACATATCCGCAGACCTCACAGTCCCCACCCCTAGTGACAAAACGCATTCTCTAAATGTAGGAATACAAATGATTCATATTACCAGAACATAAATATTTTTTTTACGCAGCTGAAAGTTATTTTTTTAAGGGGGGCATTTAGATGTTAGGGTAGTTTACTTAACCTCATTCATAAATTAAATTAAACATGAGTAAAATATCAATTAATATCCGAAACAAGAAGTATAAACATTGTCATTATTTCCAGATCAACCTGCATCCGCATCAGCCCGCAGACCATCTGGAGGACCATCGCAAGGCCACTGGTGGTCCTGGGGACCACACTTTGAGAACCACTACTCTAGATGAGTTTTCCACAACATGTCAATCGCATAAAACACCAAAACTGGATCTTACGCCTCATATCACTGGTTCTTGCATTATTCTAGTGAAAGGCTCCTATGCCCTTCACACCACAATCATCCCTACCAAAGCCATGACATGAGCAGCAACATGACTCAAGACTTTGTTTCGCTTTTTTTCAGGAAAGTTGTGTAAAGTGTTTGCAGTAGGTGGCAACAATTGCCGTTTTGGTTTGCCAGTTCAGTAATTTGTAAGTAATTTTACAAAGTTGGCATTTTGGACCATGAGGCCAGCACACAACAGATTCTTCTTCGAATGGCACCACGTGTTTTTATGACATCCACTATGAAAAAGACGTCGCATAGTATGTTATCGTTAATACACAAGTGGCCTGCCAGATCAAACCACAAACATCTGCAACAAGTGGCCACGTCACTGACCCTTCTCGAATCGTTATTATCGGACCGGTCTAATTGCGTACCTGGCAAGAATTGTGAAACCAAAAAGGTCTGGTTGAAAGCACGTGCTCAGTGTGGGCCACAGGCAAACAGAAGAAAACAGCAATCCACTTGTCATGCAGGAAGATAATCCAACATTACTTTTTACAGCAACAGACATCTGAGTTTCTAGATTTGGCCTGCAATTAATGTCAAAGGGTCAGTGGACAGTTGAAGTGTGATGCTCTGTTTAATGTTTTTGGACTGGGCCTAAACGAATGCCATACATGTCTGTGCCTTATTGTGGCAAGTTAACCACACAAATGCCACACTTGTGAAACGCATGGATTAAACATCATACACGAAAGCTTGCACTTCTGTTAAAGTGGCCCAGTAACCGTGCATTCCAGCAATGCTCACTTGCCAAGTTTTGGCTTGGATCATAGGCCCACATCAACTGAACTCTCTACCTACCCAAGGGTATAGAAAAGGCCACGCAGGGCAATAAACCATAGACTATTTCTAGAAACATACCAAAAGGGACATTAGCATATGCGGCTTTGCTTCAAGTGTTGCTCTTTGGCAATTACGGTAAATGTGTACGTCTCTGATTGCTGTAGTACAGTACTGTAAACTTTCCATAAGACACTAAGATGGCAAATGTTGCACTGCATCTGACAATGCCACGTTCATACATGGTCAATCATGGTTCAGAGACCTGCACCTATGTGCCAACAACGTCCATGTAATAATTATTTCACCTTGTAACATGCAAAGTATTCATTCACTCTCGAAGACAGAGAATGACTCAGATGCACAAGGAATCACTGACAACCTGGAAGGTAGCCAGGCAATGTGCTGGTACTACCAACAATTTCCCAAGTTGTGCGGTCCTCTATATATTAAGATGTTTTCAGCCAAATAATGATTGTTGTAATGTGGGGGAAAGCCCACGTGTGAGAGGAGGCAACATTCTATCCTGATGGAACAGTTGGAGTCTGCATTTGATTTACCACCTTCTGGCAAGACATGGTGTTTCCCATTTGTGCGATCTACCACCCCTCCCATTTTTACGATGGATTACAGGGATGTGCCACCACTGTCCACCATAGTTCAGCTATTGGACATGCATGTTTTTGTTCGCGTGACGACATTTAAGAGGGAAATTTAGGTTCTGAACTTTGCCATGTCGCCTAAATGTCAGTAAATATTGGGTGCTGCTCCTGCACCGCACGCAGGCGCTAGCTAGGGCAGATTCCTGGGCTCGGGCCCACACGGAGACGGCCCATCCTTGCTCGAGTTCGACATTGTCCCCATTGTAACGTGGTGTAATGTAGTATCCTCATAAAGCCGAGACTTCTGCTTGTCTGCAACACGACATGTGGTAAATTACTTCTTAGACTGTGGATCAATCTCGCTCCGAGTTATTAGACCTTAGTGCTGCTCGACACCACAGACCATATCCTCTTTGGCCATCTCCAAAACTATGCTGGCATCTCTGGTACACTTATCTCCTGGTTCTCCTCTTTCTTTACAATACATCTCCTCCCTCTTGGCAAAATCTACAGTTGTAATTACAATCAGCTCTACAGCACCATTCTCATCATATAGTAATCTCGCTTTCCCATCTCACGTAGTCTTGAAGCCATCTTATCTTGGACTGGTTCTAACGATCATGTAAAGTTGTAAACGTTTACTCTCAGCATACTCCAATTTGAAAATGCACCTCTTTGAACACTTCCAAGTGGCAAAAACATACTAAGAATTATAGTGATAGTTCTATTCTCACATTTCAATCCTGCAGGACTCCATCTCTCAATCGACTCAACATCTCCCGCATCTGCCGTTTCTTTACCGTAGCTGCTGCGACTCTAACCCATGCCTAAATTACATCCCGATTCAACTACTGCAACTCTCTCCTCTTCGGCCACATCAACCCTCTCATCAACGAACTCCAGATGGTCCACAATAACACCGCTACGTCGCACCTATAAGAGACCACGGTCCAACAATGATTCCAATTACTCCACTGGCGTCCCATCAAGTATGGGATCAACTTCAAGATCCCAGTCACCGTCTTCACAATCCACGGACTCGCTCCTGCTTACATCTCTCCTCTAATCTCGCTGTACTCCCCGCACTCTCCTACTTCTCCCCTCACCTCATATACCGCCCTGCTCGCATTCTCCTCTCGCTCCAGTCCCCGCCATACTCTCCGATCTCTCCCCTGCCCTTCTTCACACACTCTCGTTCATCTCTTCTCGCTCTACTCTCCTCCACACACTGTCCGCTTCAGCAACGAAGGCTTCTGTCCAAGCCCAACAGTTAACCTCCTCCCTCTCCGTTGAAGGCGAGACTGAATAACTTCCTTGTTTTCTAGGCATATGGCGAATTCTGTACTACAACACGACCACTGTTTCTGTATCGCGTCTTGATAGAGGCGCGTGTAGACGCCGTATTACACCCACGACGTGCCGCTGTAATATTGTTTATTCGCTGGCCTTACCATGGCGCCGTTGCATAGAGAGGGCAGATCAAGGAGCGCAGGAACGGAAGGGTAAGGAGGGCCGTGGGTGCTGACAAAGACAACTGGGTCGCCAGGGAGAGAGAGGGGCGAGCAATGAGGACGGTACAGAGGGTGAGAAGGGAGAGTACTCGTGCGGGGAGGGCAGGGGGTGAGGAATGAAGGGTGAGGAAGAGGGCGAGGAGGGTTACTAAGGTGGCGAGAGCAGCGTGGGGAGGGTAGCGATGATGGTTTAGAGAGTGAGGGTGAGTATGGTGATGGTGAGTATGGTTAGTATGGTGATGGTGAGTATGGTTAGTATGGTGATGGTGAGTATGGTTAGTATGGTGATGGTGAGTATGGTTAGTATGGTGATGGTGAGTATGGTGAGTATGGTGATGGTGAGTATGGTTAGTATGGTGATGGTGAGTATGGTGATGGTGAGTATGGTTAGTATGGTGATGGTGAGTATGGTGAGTATGGTGAGTATGGTGATGGTGAGTATGGTGATGGTGAGTATGGTGATGGTGAGTATGGTGAGTATGGTGATGGTGAGTATGGTGATGGTGAGTATGGTAAGTATGGTGATGGTATGGTGATGGTGAGTATGAGTATGGTGAGGTTGGTGATGGTGAGGATGGTGATGGTATGGTGATGGTGAGTATGGTTAGTATGGTGATGGTGAGTATGGTTAGTATGGTGATGGTGAGTATGGTGATGGTGAGTGTGAGTATGGTGATGGAGTATGGTAAGTATGGTGATGGTATGGTGATGGTGAGTATGGTTAGTATGGTGATGGTGAGTATGGTGATGGTGAGTGTGAGTATGGTGATGGAGTATGGTAAGTATGGTGATGGTGAGTATGGTTGGGTAAGGTAGGGAGAGTGAGAGTAGGGTGAGGCTAGGTGATGGTTGGGAGAGCGAGGAGGGCGAGTAGGGTAAGGAGAGTAAGGGAAATGGTGAGGGCTTCTAGTAATGGTAGAAGGTGAGAGAGGTGGGCAGGGGAGAGAGGTGGGCAGGGGAGAGAGGTGGGCAGGGGAGAGAGGTGGGCAGGGGAGAGAGGTGGGCAGGGGAGAGAGGGGGGCAGGGGAGAGAGGTGGGCAGGAGAGAGGTGGGCAGGGGAGAGAGGGGGGCAGGGGAGAGAGGGGGGCAGGGGAGAGAGGTGGGCAGGGGAGAGAGGTGGGCAGGGGAGAGAGGTGGGCAGGGGAGAGGTGGGCAGGAGAGAGAGAGGTGGGCAGGGGAGAGAGGTGGGCAGGGGAGAGAGGTGGGCAGGGGAGAGAGGTGGGCAGGGGAGAGAGGTGGGCAGGGGAGAGAGGTGGGCAGGGGAGAGAGGTGGGCAGGGGAGAGAGGTGGGCAGGGGAGAGAGGTGGGCAGGAGAGAGGTGGGCAGGAGAGAGGTGGGCAGGGGAGAGAGGTGGGCAGGGGAGAGAGGTGGGCAGGGAGAGAGGTGGGCAGGGGAGAGAGGTGGGCAGGGGAGAGAGGTGGGCAGGAGAGAGAGAGGTGGGCAGGGGAGAGAGAGGTGGGCAGGGGAGAGAGAGGTGGGCAGGGGAGAGAGAGGTGGGCAGGGGAGAGAGGTGGGCAGGGGAGAGAGGTGGGCAGGGGAGAGAGGTGGGCAGGGGAGAGAGGTGGGCAGGAGAGAGGTGGGCAGGGGAGAGAGGTGGGCAGGAGAGAGAGAGGTGGGCAGGGGAGAGAGGTGGGCAGGAGAGAGGGGTGGGCAGGGGAGAGAGGTGGGCAGGGGAGAGAGGTGGGCAGGGGAGAGAGGTGGGCAGAGGAGGGAGTTCCTCAGCCCGGGCCCTTCCCTAGGCGAGCCAGGCTGGCAGCCTCACAAGGCCTCCCCTCCCCCGCCTCCTCCAACGCCTCCTCCTCAACGCGCTCTTGGCTCGCGGTGTCGCCACCACCACCACCACGTACCGACTGCCACGCCGGCGGGGCGGGTGCGACGGTCGAGGTGAGAACCTCTCACAGCATCGTCGCCTCTACCGCCATTCGGGGCGACGTCGCCTCCAAGATGAGCGCCTCGCCTAACGACAGCGCCAGGCCCGTGACGTCACGCGGCCCCTCCCTGGCGCGACATGACGTCATAGCGCGGCATGACGTCATAGCGCCGACAGATCGTGACGTCAGCACCGTGACTTCGCTGTGTTGCCACACTTGGGACCAATAGCGCGACGCGTCACCGCGAGCCGACGACTCGTCCCGTGACGGAGCTCCGCGTGCGGCTGGAGTCGTCGTCCCCAGCGACTCCCCGCGGCGCAACGCCTCCCGGTGACGTCACCACGTGCTGGAGCCACATTACATTATTTGCGACGTAGAATTGTAATGTATGACTTACTGTTAGTAGCTCAGCTTATTGGAGAGTATATTTAGTATTTTGATGATATTGATGTAGTTTATATTTTAGTTTTTTACGTGGTGGTTTGGCTGCTGCAGCTCCTTACTATTAAAATTCCTTCCCTTTATTACTGATAATCCTACTTCCTCCCTTGGATGCTGCTATTCCTGCACAATGCACGGGCATAATATGACTTTGAGACCCCCCCCCCCACCTCCTACGCATTCCACAAGTAGTGACTAATCCCATATCTGCATTTTCCATAAATATGCTAAATTCCTCTGTTGATATGCAAATTCCTTTGTCAAAGCGCCCTTCCTCCTCGAACCCAGCTTAAATATACGCTGCCAAGCTTGGTGGTGTTCATTCAGACGCTGTCTTTCCGACAGACCTGTTCTTCACCTGAGGACGGCTGCTTGCGTTGTGGCCGAAACGTGAGAGTTGTATTTTATTATGTTTAATTTTTATTATTTTATTATTTCCCTTCTACGTGACTTTACCAAAAGAACCAAGAAGATGAATCCCTGCAGTCACGAAAGCTTTGAATCGAAAAAGAAAATGGGGTGTCTCCTGAAACAGAAAGTAGCAATCAATATTCACAACAAACTAAAACTAATGAATATATTCATATAAAATGTATATCAATATCTCGAATAACAATACAACTGTATATGACTTCACACACTTCTCTTGAATTGGAACTTTATTGAAGATGCGTTCACTTGACATCAGGCGAAGACCCCACTCCAAACAGTCTCGAGTTTCCCGCATATATACCTTATATACCAACCGAGGCCACGCCCCCCTTCTCGATCATTCTCGCGGACTCTGGACGCTCGCTCCACCGGCAGACTCTACCATCCTCTTCCGTCACCTGATCACACTCCCTTCTCGATAATTCCCGTAGCCACCAGTCCCTACGCAGTCACAACTGATACCCCTGTCATTACCTCCCGTGGCCACTAGTGCATTCGCACTGCAGGCTGACTCCCCTGTCATTACCTCCCATGGCCACTTTTCCACTCACACCGCATGCAGGCTCCATTGTCATTACACAACTATTAAACTTTCTTTTTGGTTTATTCATTTTTGGACACCCTGTATAATTAATGTCAGCGTTGTGGGATACAATTAACATGGATTACGCTATATAACATGAAATCCTTACATGAACGAATTTTTATTAAAAGAAAATAAATATTGCTGGTACATTGCATTTTAGCGAGTACTGTTGTAGTGAGGTCAATGCATAAAGTGGAGCAAACAAATCTAGATTGGAGCAAACAAGTGCATAATTTAACAGGAATCGTTACAATTGTCATGCATGCATGAAACTTGCAAGATATTCACAACAGGGTGAATCTTTTGAGAAACAAAAATGGAGCCGCTTGAAAATCCAAGCTGGCAGCCAGTTTTCAAGATGGCCACCAATTATTTATATACATAAAAGAAAAAAAATGTCTGTTTGTGGGTTTGTGTCTGATTGCGTGCTTGTGAACGATTTGCCTCTCTAACGGTGGGGTTACGTTAAAAAAAAGCCAGGTACCAAGCCGTAAGCCCCGCGGTGAGCAAGCGCTATTCCCTTTTCATATCCGTCCACTTAAAATTTGTTTAATTAGCGATTTAGTGGGATTTGTGTGTGCTGCACTTTTATTTATTTATGACGCGTGCACGACCATACCAACTCACGTGCCTTTGGTGGGGGGGACGGTCCATGCCAAGTTGCACCCCTTCGGTGGGAGTGAGGGAGACATTTCCTTTCACGTTAAAAATGCTATAAAAATACTCTAAACGCTAACGTTAATTCTTCACTGTGTGATGTCCCCTCCACAACAATGTGTGCAGTTACTACTATACAGTCGGTAGATGCTACCACTATAGGCCGTAGATATTACTGCAGAGCGGCCGGGGAGACCGTGGCTGGGGGGGGGGGGGGGTCAGTGGTAGCAGCCCAGCCTGCCAAGGTGCCACCTCGGCTGGCTGGACAATCTAGGCGAGGCCGGAGGCTCTGCACGGGACTAGGCCTCACCACGCCACTCTGTCAGGTGTTATAGAGTCGATAAACACAGCTATAGAGTCAGCGTGTACGACTGTAGTGATAGCAGGTACCACCACAGTCGGTATGCACTGCTGTAATCATATCAGGTACCACCACAGTCGGTATGCACTTTTGTTAGATTTTTAAGAGTAAGTTTTAAATATTATTTTGACCCGGGCAACGCCGGGTACTTCCCGCTGGTTTTTAAAAAAATATAATTGACTAAGTTGTCCAGTTTAGAGGATTTAATTGTCCATTTCCATGTTCATGAGCATGCAGTAAGTTTTACAATTCTTTCAAACTTATCAGGTAATTTATATCCATCACTTCAGTACAATGTGAGGAGAATAGGTGAAAATAGTGAATGGAAATGCACTACCAGGGCACATTGGACACATCACTGCTGTGCAATTCAGCATGGGGTTCTGGGCCAGCTCATGCATTTGTATTCCACATTACGGGGATTTAAATATCCGAATGTTGTACAAATCACAATGGACTTAAATTGCACTGAATGAACCATTGATCAGGTTAGGTCTAAACCTATTTGTATCCCATATGTAGTGACATTGGGGATGTCACTGTGGGGTGCCGGCCCGGGAGGCCTGTGGCGTGCGATGTACTTATGTCGCGGATAGCATCGTGTATGTTGCTGAGTAAGACCGGCTCTAGCAGAGCACGGTGTGCGATGCATCGTCATCGCGTACACCCCGTAGGTGGGTGGCGTACCAGCCTTAGCAGGGCTTGGTGTACGCTGGGATAGCGTAGGCACCACACATGGCGTGCAATGCAGGCTCCTACAGGGGGGAGCGGGAGAGTGTCAGCCCGAGGACAGGGTTGCCCCGAGAGGCCCCCAGGTGGGGGGAGCTAGGGAGTGATCACGTTTCCGGGGAGAGCTCTCGAGAGGGATCGAGAGGGAGCTGGAACGTTCGTGAAGGTGGGCGGGGCCAAGGGCGGAGCCGGCCCCGACCCGGGAGGATATAAGGTGGGTCCCTGAGAGGGATTGGGGTCGCTTCGTTCTTCAAGCTGGAAGCTCCACGTCCTACGTCTGAAGAGGCACAAACACGTGGTCGGGACCCGAGTGAGGGTTCGGTCCATCGTAGCTCTAACTCCTGTGTGTAGTGTAGTTTAGCTGGGTGGTCACCACCCTAGGCTGTATCTGGTAAAGGGAAGTTACTCCTTTTGAATATACGTGTTGTGAATAAATGTGTTGCTTCTGAAGAACGTCTGCGACTCAGTTGGACTCGCTACACATACATTAAAGTACTTAGGTGAAAAGTCGTAAAAGGATAAACCCTTGGCCTTGAACGATTAATCTCAACCTCTTAAAATGACCATTCTCGCTTTTAATCTAAATGGAAGAACGACCAGAGCAAATGCTGCATTTGCTAATAGGACAAAAAAGAAAAGCAAGTCACCACAAACATTTCAGAAAGTGCAGATGAAAATCGCTTTAGCATAATTGCAACAAATGTTCCTGTTTCATGCTATCAATACTTTTACCTATCATCCTGGATCCAGCCAAATTAGATGGTGATGGTATAGACCAGGGGTCGGCAACCTACGGCTCCGGAGCCGCATGCGGCTCTTTACGGGCTGCTTCTTGACGATATGTACGTATGTACAGTATGTACTCAGATGCATTGCGGCTCTTGAAATACTGAATTTTGTACCGAATTGGAAAGAAATGGCTCTTCTTGTTATTTTGGTTGCCGACCCCTGGTATAGACAAAGATTCCTCATATAGCCATAACGGACTTTTGGGGCTAGTGCTGTTAGCGAGCATCTACGAAGGCCGGCACGGTACACAGGGTGGATGGCAAGCACCGCACCGACCGCATTTGTCTACCAAATGGCAGTTTATATAGCACCTCTGATTAGCCTGGTTGGCTACATAGTGTGAAAGAAGTTGTACATATGTAAGGACAGTACGGCTCCCCGTGGCCGTGGTTACTAATTGACGTGATGGGAACAGACAGGGTCACGTAAGGGTAATATGGGACCTAAGTGGTCGTTAATAATGATTGACGCGACAGGCATTGACAGGGTTTTGTGAGGATAAGCGACGTGGTCGTAAATAGTAATTGAGACAGACAGGGCCAGGTGCGTGAGTGTTAGGGGAAAAGGGGCGTGGCTGGGTCGTGAAGGGGATAAAAGCCGGCGTGGAAGAGGGCTCTGTGCTGCTGTTGGTTTGGACACCTTGTAGTCTTGGAAGGCTAGAGTTATGTTGTCTCCGTGACGACTATGTGTCCGCTCCTGTGTAGCCAGCCAGCTGCACAGGGAACGTCACGGAGAGTCACAAAAGTTACCCAGGTGTATATAGTCACTCGCGGTTACTCATTAAGTTATCAGTAAGTCACAATAAATATACATATAATCAGACAAGACGGTGTTTCTGAGAGCTACATTACACGTACATAGAGCACCAGGTACTTATTTGAGGCGGATAAACCTAGGTGAGGCCCATGACTGATTCAGATAATCGTCACAGGCGTTAGCCGAGTGGGAATCGAACACGCGTCGCTGGGTACGTAGCGCATTTCGCTAACCAGAGCCACTGCTCCCCATGAATCCACATTGATAAGGAACTAATGGAAATATCAAACCAGCAGATGGATGTTCAACAAAACCAAGTTACAATGGGCTAAAAAAAGACAACCTGTTGAAGCAGCTGTAGAAAAGTGAGAACTAGTAATTCTCAATCGTCCAAATGCTGATAATTGGTTCTTTACCCTTCTATCTGGCAACAAAACTGTCAGTTTTGTTGCCAGATAGAAGGGTAAAGAACCAATTATCATATTTTTACTGGCAAATGAGGTCCCCATAGTGTACGTCCAAATGCTGTTTGTGAGAAAGAGGCTTCAGAATCCTCGAGACAAGCAATAACCATGAAACTCAATGACAGTCTCCAATCATATTTCCCATCTCCCTGTGACGCATCTGTCTGGGCATTACTGCAGATGTAGCATCCCGCTATCAAATGTTTCAGAGAACTTGTCATTGAAAAGAATCCTAGTTTGGGTAAACGATTCCATTCCCGTCATTTTATGTATATCATTCTACTTTTGAGACCTCCACGAGTAGCGCAAACAACGCATACAAGACAGCACTCGATATGATATTGAAATGCTTTATTTGGTATAGCTATAATGGTGAATTTCTATTACAAAATGCATCTTTCATTAAGAACCAACATTGAAATAGTTAAGTTGGAGCTCGCACTACTCAGTGTGATTAAGGCACCAGTGGGCACAGGCATTTATCCATTCACCTGTGTCCAGTTTTGCTGTTAAGAGCACTTGCACAGGATCTTGAAGAGGAATGTCAATGAAATGTGTGTAAACCTTGCAGGGAAGAATCTTGGGAGCATTTGCGCTAAATCCCCAACCTTTCCCACTCTGCAAAACACACGAGGCTTTAATGGGCATTAAGACATCAATGCCTGCTCAGAGGCCTACAGGTTCAATTATAGTGCACCACTTCCAATTTGCTGGAAGTTTCCAATCAATTCGAAAATTTCAGCACAACATTCATGTATGATGGAAGATGCTTGTGATGTAGTGAAAATTACACAAGAAATTTGTCCATGACACTCCTTTGTGTTAAACTCAAATGGAAGTCACACTGCTTACTGTTGTAACTTCCTCTCTAACAGTAAGCACACAATGCATCTGCTAAGTGCTCACAAGTCTTCAAATTGTCTTTTTCTGTCCACGGGCAATTCAAGCTCTTCACACGTTCAGGAAGCCCCTCTTAAGACCACAACTCACAGCACAGCAAGGAGTTCAACAGATATGTTCTCGTTTGCGTAAAGGCAGCTTTTGGATTAAAAAAACATGAAAACAATGATTTTTTTAACAAAGTGCTGACGAGAAGTCAGCGCTTAGTGCTTGCATCTGTTACCCTAGTTGTGAAATTATTCTTTTAACAAAGTAAATGCTGACGAGAAGTCAGCACTTAGTGCTTGCATCTGTTACCCTAGAGGGCCCTCGCCGAAGCTCACAGGCCAGGTCACATGGCTAAAGGTCCTCTTCCCCTATACCCTCAAATGCGTCATTGCTGTGCACGTTGTCAGCTTTCTTGATTCCCGGCAGCCTGAGTGAAAGTCCCAAGGAGGAGTCCATATGTTTGCTCTGATAAACAGCACATGCACAAGCACATATCTGTTTTAGAACATGACTGTCTGCCTCAACAGCAAATCAGGAACAGTTTACATAACAGGTAATTTGGCTTCTCAAGCAATAATGAGGTGGGTACATGGGCTTGAGTTTGCTGCACTAGCAATGATCTGTGTAGTTCTCCTGCCTGGTACCACATGTTTATCAGTCGGCAGCGTCAAGGCCAAAATGATGGCAGTTGTGAGGCAGACTGTAATTGGCACATGGAGACCAATAGAATGAAAACATAGACGTTTGCTGGATCTTGGGTCATAATTCTTGTAACATCACCTGCAGTAATCCTTTCACCAAAATCAATGTTTGGGCTCTTTGACAGTATGCTTTCTGTACCTGCGATTAGCACGGTTGGCTATGTAAGGTGCGAAATAAATTCAACATACACCCAATATTGATTCTTATTTTTTTGGGTTACATCATGTGGGTATAATGTCAGGTGTTAGAGGCAGCATAACTCTCACGGACATTATAATCACAATATTAGACAAAATAGATTTAAAAAAATCTCCAATGTAGCCAGATCTTGCCACTAATTGGACTGTGAGCTCAAACAAATGTGCTAAACTTTACATACAACAGTTCTACTGGTTCCAATAAAAAATATATTTCCATTAAATCCACATACGGCTCATACTAGCGGGCATGTCTTTTATTTATATCCAGTTGAATGGCAAAGACAAAGATCTCTCCAATAGCCTTAATTGACCATTGGGGCCAGTGCTGTTAGATAGCATCTATGAAGGCCAACACGGCACATGAGGGGGTGGGCGGTCAGCACCATGCCCAGCTGCCTATGTTTCCAGTGCTGATGTTTGCACTCCAGACCAGCTCATTATCTGGGTCAACCTGGGGGAAGACCAGGACCAATTTAGATATTTCTCACTGTTATTGGTTGTGAGCAGGAATGGAAATTCGGTCGCTGGGTTTGTAGTGGTGTGCACTAACCACTACGCTACTGCTCCCCACAGCTGGACGGCACAAAACAAGACACACGAGCCTCACCGGAGCTGGTCTGATGAGGGCGTGCTCTCCATTAACCTTTGGGTCTTTGGCTCCATTCACAGATATCTGCAACAACACGATACCCTCCACTAGACATCGATACCAGGAACCTGTCACGAGACATCTAGACCAGCCATCCTCCACTTGACACCGAGACCAGGCAGCAGCAGGGTCACCTGGGTGCTGTCCGATGCTGCTCCTGAACTCATCTTCTCCTTGTCTCGCCCGGCTCGCTGCTGCAGGATCTCATTCACCATGGTTTGTAAGCACAGGCTGAGTGCAATGGCCTGAAATACACGTACCCATACATCCCACACACACATAAGACACGTGGTAAATATGGGTCGCACCACCAGTATGGTTGGCCTGTGACTATAACCAATCAGTAACAATATTATCACAGTACTGTACTTGCATAAAGGTTTTCCATTAGGAAAAAACTGTTAATGCTCATAAAGGAAATACCTATTACGTTGTTTGTTTCCTTGGCTGATGGTAATTATCTGCAAAACCCAAACTGCTGAATGTGGTTGCAGTGGAAGAGGCCATTTGAAGGAAGACCAGGCTATTATGCAATGTGACACCCAACCCAGGTGTGGGTCACCTGCTGCGTGCGTAGCTTGATCCAACGGAGTGTGTCGGGTCGCACCAGGTACTCGAAGGCCAGTTCCAGAACACTGCCAGAGCCCCCTTCTGTTCCACCACCTTCCTCACCACTTACCAAGATCTGTGCCACAGCATTCATAGCAGCAAGATCAGTTGCAATGCAAAACTGACAGCGCTGCAATGTATCCCGCACGCTTCACGTCAAATTGGCGCGAAGACTGGAGCAGCAGATAAACTTGCCAACAATCATCACCTACTTTAGACAAGCTCAAATTAATCATTAGCGTCGTTGCAGAGAATATTAATAAAATAAGCAGACGAACTCTCAGTTTGTTTGTCTGCTCAGGTGCATGCGTAAACACATGCACCTGAGCATACGTGTGCATGAATGTATATGCCCAAATCCAATGGGCACGTACACTCAGTGAATGCACGTGTGCTCACCCACCCGGCTGGTGACGGTCCAGCTGCGAATGCGCGTCACCCTGAAGGTACCCTCCTCCGTGGTCCCCTGGCCACCGGGGCGAGTGGAGCGGCAAGCCAGAACTCCACCACCGGCACGCACCGCAGCCCGGCTGTCTGGTTCAGGCCAGTCGCACTCACACTTGTCCAGGCGCACACAGCCGTACTGTGCAAGCGACTGCGCCACTCGCAAAAACTGCACACGCACGGCACAGCACCCTTTGTGCTTAGCTATTGCCTCAACCTCGTTGCAAGTGAGAAAGGCGAAACTGGTCACAAGCCGGTCAAGCTTTAAGTCCATCAAATAAAATAGGACAACAGGGATGAGAGATGATGAAGGATGGACGTGTCTTACCTCCTCGAATGTGCCATGATTGTGCAACTCGGCAAGTTTCTGTTTCTGTGCTGCATCAACTTCACACCAGCCTCGTTTAATATCAGCCACGGCCTAGCAATGCAACACATTATCCACATCACAACTGTCACCAACAGCTTAAATCTATAACACAATCCTTTTTCTGTAAATTATAGTCACTCAGTCCATCATATTAATGAGGTTCACCTGTTGGTAAAGGAGCTTGAGCCCTACAGCGTCAGCCATCAAGAACTTGTCTAATTCCCTGTCCAGGTAGCTGTATATATATACACACACACATGGTTAACATAACCAGCACACAGCTCACTTAGCAGGGTTTATCCAAGGTTTAGATTGATTAGGTGAGCTTGGTCAGGGTTTAGTTTATCAGGATTGTTTAACCATGTTTCAGGATTTTTTGGTAGGTCTGGCCAGGGTTGAACATACCAAAGACACAGGTTATTGATTTGTCAAAATACTAACCTTTCCATGATGGTGGGTGATACTGAATGAATGGTATTTGAAACTACCACATTGTGAAATGCAATGTGTGGAATGTGCAGAATACTCTGCTGCGTCACACATGGCATACATCAACAGTTATAGGTTACTCTTACATGAATAGGAAAATAAAAACCAGTCTAACCAGCTTGTTGGCTATGACAGACGTAACTCGTAAAAAATTTAATATTCCACAGGTTGTATGCAAATAGTCACGAATTTAACCTAACCATAGAAACACAAGATGAGAAGACAAGGAGAGACACCACCCCACCTGGTGCGAAGGAACAGGCAGGATCCTTTGATGGGCGAGCTGATCACGGATACAAACGGCAACTCAAACTCCTGCAGCCGCCGCACCACTGTAAAGGACAGCACTGCAATTGAGGAATGGGGACGACCAGCACTGACATCATAGGACTCTCATAGAAATAATACTGCCTGGAGCAGCTGCAAGACAGTGACAAAGGTGAATCTGAAGCCAGTTATGCATAGTAAAAAGGACCACCCAAAAGTAGCCGTCACTAATATCCATTATTTTAATGCAACACCAGAGCCAAGGGTCTAGCCATAATTCAAACTTTAACCGATCTACCCCTTTCAATTATTCAAGAGCTCCTCCATTACAGCAGCACAAATAGAAATTAATATTGAAAATACAATGAGTATTGACTACGTGAGCCGCAATGTACATGCATTGGCCCTTTTTCATAAGCATTTTGCAAAAATGTTACGAGGCAGTTTATGCAGTTTCAGTGTTTGTTGTTTTGTAAAATAATTTTTTTTTTAAAACACAGTGTCATGCATATAACTGTATATGCATGTGTGTGTGCAAGTGTGCGCGTGTGACATCGTACATGTTAGCTGCCTTTCCCCCTCCGAGTGTCCCAAAAAGAGACCAAAATTGGGAAGCAGATCATCTGGTATCCCTACAGCTACACCAACAGCCTGCACACTCACACAGGCAGAAGCACCCTGGTGGTTCCTTACAGGCTGCTCAAGCAGGTCCTCTTGGAAATCACTTCAGGACATCAAGGCACATCAGGAATGGTGTCTCCCCAGCCCAGATGTTCATACAATGCTTGAGGCACCATTTTTAGGCCAAGTGCAGTCCCCATATGCACTGACCCAGGATCATAAACAGGTAGACACCTGTGGACAGTGACAAATGCTATAACTAAATCATGACTAGTTTGCTAAAACTCAATTCAGTTACCTAAAACTCTGAAGGAACTATATAATTAGATGTGGAGCAAAGCACTCCTCTATATGGCTGAGTAAGCACCTTGTTCTCGTAATATAATTGTTAATAGACACTACAAATAGTTATGTGGTGTCTTTTACTGAAATTCTCACGGGTGGCTATGTGCTGTTAAGGATTTCCAAAACTACTTTTTTTCCGCTACCACGATACGTATAACAGCGAACACAAAGATAGTTGAAATATACCTACCACAGTTAACATGTTTTAAGCTGAATAGGTTACATGGTATAACAAACACAAGAGCTACCATTTAGAAATGCAAAAACACAGTAAGGAACAAGTTAAGGGATTTATGGGTATATGGTATGAACATTGGGTAGAGATACACAGAGGGAATGGGGGATGGGATGTGAAACAGACATGACTCAGTTCCGTGTTTAATATCACTTCCCGCACAGATGGCAACATATGGTGCAAAATATGTTCAACATACATACACTTCAGAGGAAACAGGGCGACTCCCATAACTGTGGTGGCGATGGCTCCTCATGCTAACCTGCAGCACGCTGTGCGTAGGGGACGTGTTGGGGATGACTACAGGTGAAGTCTCTCCACTTGGTAGCACCACATGCACCTCAACTTGTGCTTCGTGCACCTCCCAAGTGTCCTGCTCTCGCATATGAACACGCACGCAAGAACACACAAAAGATTGTTGAGTTAACTACCATAGCAAACCACTTTTTAAGGCCAGCATACATGGTCACATAGCATGGTGCGGTGACATGACCAAGTGGTAGCGCATTTGCTGTTCTTGGTTTGAGACCTGGGTAACACTATGGGTGTATTACAATAAATACGCATCTTCAGCTTCATAGCAGACATTAAAGATACAATGACATTATTCAGAATAGAGGCCACGTGTGCTGTGCAATGGTCCAAATAAAAAAAAATCGTGAAAATTACTTCAATCCTTCCAGAAATTCATGTGTTGTGATTTGATCAAGGACTGATTCATCTGTTTCATTTTGATCATGTCTTATTTGTATTTCTTGTTGCCTTTTTTGTATATGTTTTACTCCATTAGCTGAAACGTAACAGCATATATTTTCATCAATAACAACATATTTTAACTTATGATGAAATGCATGTATGAGCATAACAATCTACTTTATACATCGAACATCGTTACGTGCCGAACATTTAGGCTGACATGATACGTAAGGGCATGGTGGTAAGGTGTGAAACACAATCATGTGCCTCTACCAAGTGCTATTGTGTACGCACCACATCACAGGACTTAATTTAGGAAGAGTCAGCTCAGGAAAAGTTAAGGTCAAATGATTTGCCAAGAATCAAACGAGGTTTTAGTTATTGTAGTGCAGACTACATATTTCACATACTCCACCGCACATGCACACGGAACTGCTTTATAAATTCCTTCTGTACTTTAATTCCCTCAGCAGCGTTCTACTTCCTCTAATGGGCACCTAAAATGTCACTGATAATCCAGTTTTATTTGAATATACAAGCTTAAGTTGAGCAGTACTCGACATGGCTAGTTTTACAGAAGCTATAACATTTAAGCTTATCGAGTTGAATAGCTGCATTTTTCACAGTGTTAAGAAACATTAACCCAACTTTTCAAGAAACGTTTATATTATTTGAACTCGGCAAAGAGTGCATACACCAAACTGACACACTGAAGGGGCCAGGGGCCCGAGTACCGAACGACTGACACCATTTTATAAATTATCTAGGCCAAGATGTGTCCCAATTCTGTGCCACTACAATGGAATTCATATGATTTGGGTCTTTCGGTAAAGCCACGTAAATATAAAAATAATAACAATATCATGACGTTTCGATCGCAACACAAGCAATTTTCATCAGTTGAAAAATATAGCGGGAGAGCTGCTGAGGCAAAGGAATTGCGTAAATGTAATAGAGAACTTAAGGGCGGTCGGGAACAACGTTTAAATCCGTCATGACTCACATTCACAGACGAGCACTCTCACAAACACAAAATATCACAAATGTACACGCAGACACAAAATCAGTCACAAATACACACCCAGAGCCATGCATATAGCCACTTTCTCTCACACAAAAACCCATACACGTGCACAATCATAAATACTCTTCCCACACAGACATGCGTTGTTATAAACAGAAGATCCCACATGTCACCTTTTAAGAACCTGTTAGTGAGCAACCTTTATGGTCTGCAGGCACATAATAAACGATCACAGACATACCAATGCAAAGTAACACATTAACAATTACACATTTGCACTCACACACTTAAAAAAACATCAATAACAAATATGCAACCTGGACCGGCTGACGAGCATGGTGGCAAGACGTCACATTGCCATCCTGTACAGGGACTTGATGCAACAGCAACCATATTGCATTGGGTTTTCCTGGCAGCTGATTGGCTGCTGGTGCATTGGGACGATGACGTAATCTCTAGCGACCACTGACGCACGTCGTTGTTTTCGATACAGCTGGGACACGGACTCTGGGGGTTCTAAATAAGAATAGGTTTTACCCTTTCTGGAAATAAAACAGTTGTGTTAAGATGTTAAAACACCAAACTGAAACCTTTTGCAAGGAATCATGTCTGCATTAACCGCATGTACATCTGGTGAACATGCAAACAAAAACATGCTCTGGTAGTATGTGCATTGTCTTTGAAACTGATTGGTCCACACTAGAGACAGCTTCTTCAGAGCAGACATTATTCTTGAAAAAGGTTTCAGTTTGGTGTTTTAACATCTTAAAACCTGTTTTATTGCCAGAAAGGGCAAAAACTATTCTTATATTTTGATAGTGGCAAGGGAGGTCCCATGATCTGGGGGTTCTACATTTCTCCATATGGGAGCCGACGCAAATCGCCGCCTGGTTGGCTTTACACATTTGTTCTGAACTCGGGCTCCAGTTATTGCATTTGGTGGACACAGCCACAAATTAGCGTGGTTCACAAACTAGGGAACCAGCAGATGACGAAGTTGTGTAGCTACATAGCATGACGTAGTTGTGTAGTTGAATAGCATGACGTAGTTGTGTAGCTACATAGCATGACGTAGTTGTGTAGCTACATAGCATGACGTAGTTGTGTAGTTAAAGAGCATGACGTAGTTGTGTAGTTGAATAGCATGACGTAGTTGTGTAGCTACATAGCATGACGTAGTTGTGTAGCTACATAGCATGACGTAGTTGTGTAGCTGCATAGCATGACGTAGTTGTGTAGTTGAATAGCATGACGTAGTTGTGTAGCTACATAGCATGACGTAGTTGTGTAGCTACATAGCATGACGTAGTTGTGTAGTTAAAGAGCATGACGTAGTTGTGTAGCTACATAGCATGACGTAGTTGTGTAGTTAAAGAGCATGACGTAGTTGTGTAGCTACATAGCATGACGTAGTTGTGTAGCTACATAGCATGACGTAGTTGTGTAGCTACATAGCATGACGTAGTTGTGTAGCTACATAGCATGACGTAGTTGTGTAGTTGAATAGCATGACGTAGTTGTGTAGCTACATAGCATGACGTAGTTGTGTAGCTACATAGCATGACGTAGTTGTGTAGTTAAAGAGCATGACGTAGTTGTGTAGCTACATAGCATGACGTAGTTGTGTAGCTACATAGCATGACGTAGTTGTGTAGCTACATAGCATGACGAAGTTGTGTAGTTAAAGAGCATGACGTAGTTGTGTAGCTACATAGCATGACGTAGTTGCGTAGTTAAAGAGCATGACGTAGTTGTGTAGTTGAATAGCATGACGTAGTTGTGTAGCTACATAGCATGACGTAGTTGTGTAGCTACATAGCATGACGTAGTTGTGTAGCTACATAGCATGACGTAGTTGTGTAGCTGCATAGCATGACGTAGTTGTGTAGTTGAATAGCATGACGTAGTTGTGTAGCTACATAGCATGACGTAGTTGTGTAGCTACATAGCATGACGTAGTTGTGTAGTTAAAGAGCATGACGTAGTTGTGTAGCTACATAGCATGACGTAGTTGTGTAGTTAAAGAGCATGACGTAGTTGTGTAGCTACATAGCATGACGTAGTTGTGTAGCTACATAGCATGACGTAGTTGTGTAGCTACATAGCATGACGTAGTTGTGTAGCTACATAGCATGACGTAGTTGTGTAGTTGAATAGCATGACGTAGTTGTGTAGCTACATAGCATGACGTAGTTGTGTAGCTACATAGCATGACGTAGTTGTGTAGTTAAAGAGCATGACGTAGTTGTGTAGCTACATAGCATGACGTAGTTGTGTAGCTACATAGCATGACGTAGTTGTGTAGCTACATAGCATGACGAAGTTGTGTAGTTAAAGAGCATGACGTAGTTGTGTAGCTACATAGCATGACGTAGTTGTGTAGTTAAAGAGCATGACGTAGTTGTGTAGTTGAATAGCATGACGTAGTTGTGTAGCTACATAGCATGACGTAGTTGTGTAGCTACATAGCATGACGTAGTTGTGTAGTTAAAGAGCATGACGTAGTTGTGTAGCTACATAGCATGACGTAGTTGTGTAGCTACATAGCATGACGTAGTTGTGTAGCTACATAGCATGACGTAGTTGTGTAGCTACATAGCATGACGTAGTTGTGTAGCTACATAGCATGACGTAGTTGTGTAGCTACATAGCATGACGTAGTTGTGTAGCTACATAGCATGACGTAGTTGTGTAGCTACATAGCATGACGTAGTTGTGTAGCTACATAGCATGACGTAGTTGTGTAGCTACATAGCATGACGTAGTTGTGTAGCTACATAGCATGACGTAGTTGTGTAGCTACATAGCATGACGTAGTTGTGTAGCTACATAGCATGACGTAGTTGTGTAGCTACATAGCATGACGTAGTTGTGTAGCTACATAGCATGACGTAGTTGTGTAGCTACATAGCATGACGTAGTTGTGTAGCTACATAGCATGACGTAGTTGTGTAGCTACATAGCATGACGTAGTTGTGTAGCTACATAGCATGACGTAGTTGTGTAGCTACATAGCATGACGTAGTTGTGTAGTTGAATAGCATGATGTAGTTGTGTAGCTACATAGCAATGACGTAGTTGTGTAGCTACATAGCATGACCGTAGTTGTGTAGTTAAAGAGCATGACGTAGTTGTGTAGCTACATAGCATGACGTAGTTGTGTAGCTACATAGCATGACGTAGTTGTGTAGCTACATAGCATGACGAAGTTGTGTAGTTAAAAGCATGACGTAGTTGTGTAGCTACATAGCATGACGTAGTTGTGTAGTTAAATAGCATGACGTAGTTGTGTAGTTGAATAGCATGACGTAGTTGTGTAGCTACCTAGCATGACGTATGTTGTGTAGCTACATAGCATGACGTAGTTGTGTAGTTAAAGAGCATGACGTAGTTGTGTAGCTACATAGCATGACGTAGTTGTGTAGCTACATAGCATGACGTAGTTGTGTAGCTACATAGCATGACGTAGTTGTGTAGCTACATAGCATGACGTAGTTGTGTAGCTACATAGCATGACGTAGTTGTGTAGCTACATAGCATGACGTAGTTGTGTAGCTACATAGCATGACGTAGTTGTGTAGCTACATAGCATGACGTAGTTGTGTAGCTACATAGCATGACGTAGTTGTGTAGCTACATAGCATGACGTAGTTGTGTAGCTACATAGCATGACGTAGTTG